AGGCAGAGAGGAGGAGAGGCAGAGAGGAGGAGAGGCAGAGAGCAGGAGAGGCAGAGAGCAGGAGAGGCAACGAGCAGGAGAGGCAGAGAGCAGGAGAGGCAGAGAGCAGGAGAGGCAGAGAGCAGGAGAGGCAGAGAGCAGGAGAGGAGGCAGAGAGCAGGAGAGGCAGAGAGCAGGAGAGGCAGAGAGCAGGAGAGGTGGTCGTATGTGACAGAAGAGAGTCTGCAGGCGGCCGGCTCGGCTCAGGATGTTGTAAAGGAGGTTTGACTTTTTCTTTTAACTGTTGGCATCTTATGACATTTGTTTTTCACTCTCTCTCCCCCCCTCCTCCCCCCGCTTTCTTTGAATGGATTGCTGCCATTTTGAGGCTAAGGTTTGCTCTGTTGTGGCTTCAAGAGAACAAACATGAAGCCGGTAGAACAGAAGAATTCACTGGGTTTAACTAAAGGGAACAGTTAGTGAGAAAATCTTTCTGTCTTTGTTTTGTTTTGTTTTGTTTTGTTTTTTCTTTCTCATCTCTCCCTTTCTTTCCTTCTTTCCCTCTCTCCCTTTTGTCTTTCTTTTTTGTCTTTATTTATTTTTCTCTCCACTTCTCTTTTGTTTTTTCTTTCTGTCTCTCCTTCCTTCTTTCCTTGTTTCTTTCTCCTCTCTCGCTCTTTCTCCTCTTTCTTACTGTCTGTCCATGTGTCTTTCTCTCTTTCTGTCAAAAAGGGTCAACCATCCTCGCCTCCTGCATCCTGATATTATCTTCTCCCTCGGCCTGCAGGACCAGACATAATACAAACATAACCCCGATGACAGACTGTGTCAGCCATCGGGCCGTCCGTCCATTCAGTTATTGATTATCCATCAGCAGGAGGTCATAAATGACCCCGTGATCATCTGGCTGAAAAACATATTCCCCACATCTGACCTGTCACTGGAGGTTAATCAAATAAACCGTGCCGGCCTTATGGAGCAAGACTTTGCAATTACCCGTAACCTGCTCCTCCTGTACGGCCTTTTATTGCATCGTTAATACGCGGGGAGCCGGACGACAGCTGAGGGCGAGGGCGAGCGTTAAAAAAGAACGACATGTTGTGTTTACTGCCGTCGACGTTCAGGGGAAAGGTGCTAAAGAGGCCCCAAAAGACATCAGATATTTTAAAAGTGAACATAAACATTTCAAAGTTTTTACTGTGCATCAAAAAAATACCAAAAAATACAGTTAACCATATTCATGCTCGCCCTTTGAAACGGCCCTTACTCTAAAAAAAAGTCACATTCATTATTGTTAAAAGACGATAACAGGGACGCTGTGAGGCCGAAATGCACTTTTTTTTTTTATAGCTAAAAACCAACTCAAACTAAATCAACTAAAAACAAGCAGAAAAAAAGACCATGCTATCACTTCTGGTGTTCATTCAGTCGTCTTTGAGCGGCATTAAAGAAGCCGGATTCACTATAACAGCCGTGAAAATCTCTGCACACCTTAAACAGCTTTACCCACACCTGTTGGTCAAACTTTGTGGAAGCTTGTTGTAGGAGTTATTATTATTATTATTTTTTTTTTTTTTGTTATGTTTTGCTCCTTAAAAGGGTTTGATATCATTTCTGGTATTTTTCATTGGGAGTGTTTTTTACCTCATCTAACATTAGCATGTTGCTAACGTTTTACATTTTTAATCCCGGGTGGGAAATTCTGGTTTACGCTCTGATATTGAGAGAAATGCGTCACACACACACACAGGCCTGAATCACACACACAGGCCTGAATCACACACACATGCACAAACAGGAGCTGTGGACACGCACTAGTGGAGAGATGTCAGAGTGAGAGAGCTGGACACCTCGGCTGGACTTGTGGAAGTGAGTTTACACCTTTATTTATTTATCTGCAGAGAGACAAGTATGGAGCAAGTTAACCGTTACCTCACAGCTTTTATAGCCTAAGCTTATTGGCAGAGCCTGACCCTTGATGGGCATGTAGCCTTTCCAGCAACCTCTCAACTCAACTTTATTTATAAAGCAATCTACACACGACACAGTTGATCCAAACAGTTATGTCTGGTGTAACAATAAAACGTGCAGAGCTCTGGATCCCTGAGCTCGACGGGTTGATGAAAAAACTGAAGGCGATTGAGTAGAAATATGTTTGAAGGTCAGTCTTGAAAGGTCGAGAGTTCCACAATTTAGACCAATATCCATACTCTGGTCCGTACCAGGACTTGACCCGGCGACCCTCCGATTCTCAACCCAAAGCGACTATGGAATGAAGTAACGCCGCAGTGGAATATACAGACGTTCAATTTCTAATTTTGCTATTCAATCACATCATTTAAAGACCGCCTTCTTCCTGAAGTCGAGCCTTAGCCAGCAAAAAAAAAAAGAAAGCCAAATCTAGTCATGAACCGATAACTCTTAATCCATACTCAATATCTAAACGTGTTTGTGAGGCTGAATGTTTTCTGTGGATTAAACAAATAAACCAAATAGAAAGCGGTCTTACCTACAACTCTGAGGATCACATCCTTGTATTTTAATCTCTCTCTCAGGCCTGAGTCGGCCTGGCAGAGCAGCAGCAGCAGTCAGAGTGAAAGCCTGGGAATGTGTGCCATCCTGCATGATAAATATCAGTGATTCGCTCCAGGCTTCAGACTGTTACTCACAGGAAGTCACTGTTTGAGTGGGTTTACACAGATGGAGACCATTCTTAGTCAACATTCACATAAAATCAGTCTGGCCCTCTTTTTAGTTTCTGTTTTTTTCTCGCCTCCTTTTCTTTTTTTTCATTGTGCAGAGACAAGCAGCCGGGGCTTTTTACTGTTTTACTGGGGCGAGACAACAACACCTTTATGTTGTTTGAAGGATCTTTATAAGCTTTGACTTCACATTTCACACGGATCTAAACCTCCACACAGACACGAGTAAGCCAAACCTCATCATTCATCTTTTGGGAGTTAGACCAGTTTTAATCCACTGCTTTCACAGTCTTCATTTGCGACCTCTTTCCTCTGATGACGTGGCAGCTCGAGCTCAAAGCAGTCAAAGGCCTTCTGCTCAGGACTCTGCTTTTCCTCCTGGTGGGTGTCAGGATGCCTTCCCCGATCATTACTATGTCCTCTTCTCCGTCTCCTGCTGAGAGCCGAGCAGGACCAGGGGTCTAAAAACAAAATGTGTTACTCCGACGTGTCACAGATGCCTGCAGGGCCGCTCTCTCGCTGCGTCAGCATGTGTTTGTGAGCTTTTACTGGACATGTAGAAGTAACAGTGAAACACTTTTTGACCTTCATTCTAATTTAAATTGGAAATAACAGAAATGCATATCAGAAATAAAAGGTCCAGTTGTGAAAAATGTCTTTAAACAGGAGAGAGTTTTGATGTTGGAGCTGGTGGAGGGGATTTGATTTCAACTGTTTTATATGATAGTGGGCTTTAAAACCTTTACAAATGCATCCTCATGTTACAAACGGATGACTTTGTTGTATTTTCAAAGCTCAAAAATGTGTATTTGTGACTGTTAAGTAGGCACAAAGTACAATAGTTATCCCTCATATATACTTTATAAGAAGAACAAACTTAGGTGAGATGAAACGGCTTTAAAAAACGGTTAATCTGTAACTTTCGGGCTTTTTACAGATTTGTTCGGTGTTTTTTAAATAATTTCTAAGAATCTTTATATTTCCGTGATTCTTCCAGGACTTTTAAGAAGCTTCAACCGGAAAAACCTTCTTAAACTATAATATTATAAATGTTTGCTTGACTCAAACAGAAGCTGCCAAAACATCTCTTTAAAGAAAGAAATGAAGGTAGTTTTGAAAACGTCTCCAAAGCAGCCTCTGGTTAGTTGAGTTGAAGCGAACGTGAACACATCCCCGTTAAAAAATGATTTTCAGACTTTATCAGAGAGCCTCGGACTTTCAGTTTAGACCGTAGTTTCTTCACGACGATCTTTTTTAGTTCATCAGGACAGTCATTTATTCATAAGCTATGGGACTTCTGTCCACTGTTCATTGTTTATTCACTTGCAGCGCTCACTTCAACCCTTTTTCTTTTATCCAGTTTACATGACGTGTTTGTTGTGCTATTTCCGTTTGAGATCATAAAACAAACTCTGACACATTTCACCCACATTTTTAAATATCCATGGAACCAAAAACACGTTTGAGGTCACAATGTTGACACACACACACACACACTGACTTTTTAGTATGTTAGTTGCTCAGCAAAAGTCCTGTACCTTTACAAATGAAAGAAGAAACAAACTCTTTTAGTGACTCCTCATCACTGATGTCATCACATCATTTAGATACATGACCTCAGTTTAAGAATAAAGTTGTGTGATTGTTTTTCAGGATAGAAAAAAAAAACCCTCTGCCTTCAAAAAAGCACATCTGAATATCTTTAAAGTCAGCACTGAATCTAAAATATTCAGCCTTCTCATGAATACTTGAAAGGTTTCTCAGATGAAGTGACCGACAACTCGATTAGCTGTCGCAGTTCATATGAATTGTTTCTGTTAATGCAACAAAAGGTTTGTCTGCAGGCCGTCTGCTTTGTTAGTCGGCTCTGAAAGGACTTCTTACTCTTACTCTGTTCTGAAACAATCCATTCGTATGCGGGACGATTGTTCGCTCTAATTGTTTTCCTGGTTAAGAAAAGATGCATCCTGCTGGTGCATTCATGACCGACCCCTCTTTGTTTTTAGAAATCTTCTCCTCTGGAAAACTTCTTCTCTTTATTGTGAAACGTTCTTCTTTTTAGGCGCCAGAAAATAATCGGCTGAAAACAGGATGTTGTGTCATAACCGGGCCTGGTGTATTTCATGTAAAGGACGTGACTACACACTGACTTTTCCCTTTTCCAGTCTCACATTACTCGCTCACAGGTTGTAATTAACTACTGTTTTATTGCGTCCACACCAGTTTGTGAGAAGGAACCATTACCCTCCCCTTTTTTCCTGAAATCTGCAGCTTCTTTTTTTGCCGTCAGCTCGTTGTCATGTAAACTTGGACGGCAACAAAGTCACAAACACATCATTATGAAGCTTTAATGTGAACGAAAAAAAAGAGAGAGAGAACGAGAGAGAGAGATTACGTCAACACCTTCCTGCAGGAAATATTCTGTTGTCTTTTCTTTTAAAAAATATTTCCACCAAACTTTTAGAAATGTATTTCCTGTTTGTATTTCTGCACCTTCACCAGTTCGCTCCCCTTTGATCCCAGTCCGCTTGTATCATCAGCTTTCCTCATTTCAAGACTTGAAGGCGATCCTGACACCCGGGACGTCATGTGAAACCATGAAGGACAGGAGGCAATAAGCCTGAGAATAGCAGCAATCTTCAGGAAAGTTCCTCCATTCACTCTCACTCCCGTACTTCTCTGTCCTCTTATCCGGGGCCGGGGGAAGATAAAGAGAAAAAATCAATACAGAAACACAGTGTTAGATAAAAGGCGCAGAGCCAAGTTGGGTGTAGTGAATTAAAGCGATCAGAAATTTTCCCAGCCACTCGGGCCTCAGTCTACATAACCTAACAGCCCTGTCTCGCTGCTGTCTATCACCCCCAGCTCTCTGTTCAATCCCTCTTTGTTCACTTTTGATTTCTTTTTTGGTCTATTCCCCGTTTGCTTTGTGTTTTGGGATGAAGGACCCCGCTCCCATTCAGCGGCAATAACTGCTGAGTGAAGGTTTTGGATATTGCACCGCGGCCCGTCTGAGCTTCCATATCGCCTTTGACAATTGTTGGTCTCTCTGCAGGGACGTGAGGATGGGGCCGGATGATCAGGCTCTTGTTTTTAGCCGTGCGGGATGAGCAGCTCTAGGGAGCGTCTGATGCTCAGTCCACTACTTTGATTCAGGCTGAAGTATTTTTAACATTTTAAGGAGTGACTGCTCTCTCATTTACACAGCGCAGGTCTTACGCGTGGATCCCAGAAGACGGATAACAATTACTTTGTAGATCTTCAAACGTATTCAAAAAGTAACGCAAGGAGATTGAATGAATCCCAAGAGCTCTACAGCTGTTCTGAAAATGTTTACAGATATTCTCATAGGCTCAAGATGAACCAGGTTGTACCAGGAATGTAGGTTGAGTCTTTCATTTATTTTTGTCAAATATCCAAGCAAATTTGATTTTAAGTCTCTCTGAAAATGTGGACAGATGTTCATGGTCCCCAGAGGATGAATACTTATGAATATGATGAACCTCCTGTTTTTTAATCTGAAAACTGAAAGAGATTGATATTATTATTTTTGTGAGACTTCCTCCTGACAATATTCAAATCGAATGGTTAGAGAGTTTCCAAACATGTTCATGGTCCCCAGAGGATAGACACCAATGACCATGCTCGTCTACTTCCTTTTCCCACTGGAAGTCGAAGCAGATGGATGTAAGATGTTTTTTTTATGAGTGAAATATCTTCTGCAAATGTTCTGAAATGTTGTACAAATCGTTATGGTCCCCAGAGGATCTATGCCGATGGCTTTGCTGAACTCTTATGATAGAAGAACAGCAGACTGGTGAACTTTTCTTTGGTAAAATTTCAATAAATTGTAAAGACATTTTGAAAAGACATGCATGGTACCCAGAGGATAGATCCTACATGACTTTTCAAACTCCCTGACTTTTACTCTAATATAAGCAGATAGATATTTGTATGTTTTCGTAAAAGACTCTGAAATTTTGTCTGGACATTTGTGTTCCCCAGAGGATGAATACCAATAAATATTCTGCTCCTCGGATCTTTTTAACGGAAATACAAATAAATTCATTGTTTATTTATTTTGTCAAATACTTTTAAAATGATTTCTGAAATTTGGTACGGACGTTCATGCTCCCCTGAGGATGAACACTAATGACTATACTGATTTTAAATTGCAACCTCAAGCAGGTTGATACTCATATATTTTAGTGAAATATCCTGACTGTGTATTCATGGTCCCTAGAGAATAAAAAGACTTTAATCACTTTGATTTTATTTCCCTCCACAAGAAAAAGCAGTTGGATGTTTTTATGTGTTGTTAGAGAACATCCTGAGAAGTTTTTCATTCTTTTTTAGCATTAAGCTCAAATAACAGCTGGGTCTGAATACAGCCTCATAGAGATGCAAGAGTAGCTGATTTTTGTTGGCCTTGTTTATCCTGATTCTTGAACGAATCCATGTCCCCTCTCTTGTTCCTCCCCCTCCTCCCGCCTTGTCTTCAGCTCCTCAGGTACCAGATCGCATCGACATCTGACGAGCTGTGACGTGTGATGCTCTGCAGGACGTATTTCAAAAGGGACTGAGGTCATATTTCACTGTTTCAGGTCCGGGCTGCTGTCATGTATTAATTAAAATCCAAATACCCCGTATTGATTGTGTTATCAGGCTAGTGCAGCCCGGGCCCGGCGTATTGATCCAGCCTGTGATTTATGGTTATTTTCAGGAAAAATCCTTTTGTGTGATTATATGTGGAAACAAAGCCTGAGCGAGTGTAATTCTTTTAGATCTATTCTGTAGCACACGGAGAAGGTGCGAGGCCACCCTGAAGCCCCCCCGGAGGAGAGATATTCTCAACTAAAAAATTGTTATGATCCCGTCGGGTTCATCGAAAAGTAAATCAAACGGAGCAGGGGGCTCGGTGGGCTCATAAATTACAAACTAAGGCTGCAGCCTTTGGCACTTCTTACTGCTGGGTATTTCTAACCCTTCAACCCCCAGAGTAGGATATTTTAAAATTCCTAAAATATACTATAAAGGGTCAGTTCACTCAAATCACAAAAAAGTACATTTTTAATTGATCACTTCTGCTCAGTTGGCTCAGATTTAAGTCTTTAGATTTTTGCCTGGTAGAGTCTGTCCCGCACCTCGGTTCAAAAGCATTGAACTGATTTTTTTTTACTTCTTTATAAAGATCATTGATATTCCAAGGTTTTGCAAACATTAAAGTCCATGCAAAATCTTATGGACAAGACCATTGTCTGAGAATTTCACCATACTGTACAGTATCAGCTCAATAAGTCATGATTACTCAGGCTTTAACGATTGTGATAGTCTGTGTTTAGGAGTGTGTGTGTGTGTGTGTGTGTGTGTGTGTGTGTGTGTGCAGGTTTTTATACAGAAGGCTAGTGCACAGTTAGTGAGACGTATCAGACAGAGCAGACATGATGGTGGCTTTGATATAAGCTTTAATATAGAAGCCCTAAGTGGACATTTACTGTAATTAATTTTCCTGGGATATCAATAATTTCAGGCTGATTTCTGGAGATCTGGACTTCTGTTTCTTGTCTTCCTAGAATAGAAAATACACAAAACAAACATAGAAATAGGATTTACTTACCTCGTAAGTGTGGGCAATGACAGCATGACATTTCATGACCAGCCTGTTTTGTTTGCTAGATTGCATTGAAAAGTATAAATCCTGCATGCTACTCATGCTCAGCATCACCAAACTAAAATCACAACATTTCAGTCTCTCTGAACCAAGTGTCTCAAGGTTCAGAGAGACTGAAACGTGTTTTTTTTCCCCATAATACATCGGTGATGCTGACGTCCTACGCTTCTACTTCATGAGATATTTGGCTGCGCGAACACCTCCTTTAAAATGTTGTTTTCTAGATCACAAAAATGATACCACTACTACGAGAAAACAAGAAAAACACATCAGGATCTCGTGAAAAGAACTGATATTAACCTCTTTATCATGGGGAAATTAAGTAAATGAAAAGGGTGGATGTCCATCGAGGGCTTCCGTAGTTCACTGTATTTGCATATACAAACAAAGTATGTTTCTATTTTTGATGTATTTTAGCAAAGCATTTTAGATTGACTTCATTTGAGTTTGTTATTTATAAAAGTGGAATCTAATTTCTTGATCCATATATTTCTTCCTGTAGTTATATACTGCATGCTTATTATGGGATGTTGTATGTGTTTAATTAGCTGCTGCTTTTACACCAGTTCAAGTAAATATCTTGATCAATTTAAATCTACATACTTATCTGTGACAGTTTCTGATGCTGCAGAGTGTAAACAGAATCGCAGCGTCAGCTCAAAGGACTGAAAAATGAAAATGGAAGAGGTCAGCTCAAGGTGCCTTCAAAATAAAACGACACAGGAGGAGGAATGACATCATCAATCTGTCCTTCATTCAAATGTGGAGAGTGACCTGTACAGTATATATTAAACCGACGAGTGGTCTCGCAGTGATTGTGCTAATAGCTGTTTTTCCCCCCGAGGTGGAAGTCATGGAGATGTTCTGAAAGACACTGAAAAAACAAAAACTTCCCATTAACTGGGCCTCCAATAAATACAATAATATAAATAATGAAATGTGCTTTTAGCTGATGACTTATGTCTCTCTCTGCTCGTCCAAACATGGTCGCTTCTTGAGTAAAAAACAAAAAACAAGATGCCAAACTCAATGTTTTCAATACTAATCTACTAAGGATGGATTGGATTGAAAAATGTTTGGCTGCATTAATGAATCGTCCATTCTCGTGTCAGAGAGGTTAAAGAGAAGCAAATGTAGCTAACCCTGCCATGCAGATATTTCACTAAAATCCCTCCTGTTCAATCAAGTGTTTCTCTGACTCGGTTTACAGTTCGGTTTGAATTCATTGGGAGTCTCCAGGTTCTTCAGCCAAGCTCTCATCATGTCTTTAAGTCTGACTTATCCCTGCTGCAGAACTTTACATTTTTTCTCCCGGCTGATCGCTGTCTGTCTGAGCGGCGGGTCGGGGGGCCCATTAGCTCGTCGTAGCATAGCTCCGCTCAGCAGCTCTCACATTCCTCTGCTGGCAGCGGCTGACAGGACGCTGCTCTGTCTGCTCGTGCTCTCAGCTGACGGTAAATCACAGACTGTGATCTTCATACTGTATGAACACTGAAACACGTCACAGGGAATCTCCTCGACTCTGCACACTCCTCAGTTTTTTATGGAGTGGGTCATAAATAAAAGTACGTGTTTTATTCTTCAACTAAGTTTGGGGCTGACTTTTAAAACGTGTTCTCAGCTTTTATTGTAACTATACTGTAATATAGTGAAGTTTGATTGATGGATGGATAGATGACCCAACAGTGACAAAGATTATCTTTTGACAGAGCTCAAAAAATAAACAACAGCTGATAAAAAAAGTGTCTGTTTGATTTTGTTCAGGGAGATGATTGAAGAGGGAATTAAGGATTTCTTTTGTAGATGTTTTCCAGGTCGGAGAGACTTTGTAGCGTCCGCCTGATGGCAGTAACTGGAAGGAGTGGTGGAGGGGGTGAGAGGGGGGTCCTACTGGTTGTACAGTTCAGAGAGGGTAGGTTGGGATGAACTGATTATTATTCATGCAGGAGAGTTTTGTTTTGTGTTTGGTGGTGACATTTTTCGGGGATATTTGTTAATGTGAAGTGCTTGGAGATGGTCACATAAACACTCAATATAAAGGTTTGTAGCTTTAATCAGTTCTGCAAATGAGACAGTTGTGATTGGTTGTGTGTATTTATGGAGATCGGTATCATTTAAAAAATGTATAATTTTTTAACAACAGATATCCTGACATCTGTCATGTGCGATGTAGCTCCTCCTGATGCACAAACTCTATCACCTCGTCTTCATCAGTTTGTTATTTTCTCTTGAACAGTCCTAATTCACAGCTATGTCTCTTCAAGGTCTGGATGCTCATGATAATGTGATGATTCCAGGCTAAAATCACTCGTAATTAGCGGTCATCTCTTGTGATTTTATTCTGGGTAGTAAATCATTTTGACTTTATAATCTGAGTTTTTTTTTCCTGTAAATGTGCAATTCTGTAATCTCACAAAAATAGTTTTTTTCTCTGATTTTAATGGCGTCTTTTCCTTTTTTTAATTTGGATCGGCCCAACACACCATCTTAATTTTCTGTATTTTACAGTTTTATATTTTATATATATTTGGCGTACTTCCATGTATTCAATCCCTCCTCTATCACTTTTATTGACTGAAAAGTTAAACTAAGGAGTCATTTTTACAAGATGACTTGACCTTGTTTGGACATTGCTCATCTTACTAAAACAATACAGGATGAATTTGTTCCTCTAACAGATGTAGAATCATCAGAGTGAAGTGCTGCTTCAGGCTGGAGTGCAGTCTGCGACTCTGCGTTCGTGTAGGCCAAGTTAGAATCTGGAAGAGCTCATGGTCAAGTAGCTGCCGGTTTGATTCTGTGTGCCCACGCTGCTTACAAAGAATCAATATCGAATCAGGGAGGGTCGAGTTTCCAGATAAGGCCACTCTGGCTATTCATCATAAGTCTGTAGCAACCTGATAGGTCAGAAGAAATTATATTCCAGCAGGAGCAGGGCTCTCCTTATCTCTCCATAGCAGGGGAATAGGAGACATGCCGATCAATACCAGGCTGTTGTGTAGTACTTGCAATTATCAACAGCTGATTCTGTCCTCCCCCAGCTGCATCTTTTAATACCACATAATTACAAGTTTTGGGACAAAGCCTGGTGAGAGGGGATTACAGCTTTAGTCAAGTATCGTTCTTTGAAATAGCTACAGTCTGAGGAAGAAAAGGATCACACAGCCACATCTGAACTGGTTCACTTATAAACCTCACACTCACTGACTGTGTGTACCATGATGATCTGTAGCTGACAGCTTTAGTGAAAAGTAAGAGTTTGATATAAAAAAACAAACAATTAACCACTAAACCAATTTAAACTAAACTACAAAAATGAAAATCTAGTATGCCTATTTTTAATTTTAACTCCCTATTCTCTATAAACTCCAGCAGTTTAAAAACTAAATCCAGGTGGTTTTAACCTACAAACATCTCTGATCACCCACAAAGGACTCAAAGAGTTCTTTCCCAGCATAGAGACATTTTCAGTCCACAATGGCGCCAAATTGTGGGAGGTCGTAACAAATGAAGCAGGCGCTCCAACACCTCCTGTGGTATCCTGGCAGTAGCCTATCGCAGGCGGCTGAAGAGGCATCTAATGATGGACTGGAGGCGGAGGCAACAAGGAGAGCGCCGGTGCCTCGGTCCAGCCAGGGAGTCTCACTTCCGACAGGCAGTAGTGTGAGGTCGGATTTATCCGTGACCGGAGTGAAAAGTTCAACGCAACAAAGTTTGTTTTTACGCACTCCGTCTGAGAGATCTTTCGCCTTTTACGCAAGAATAATATATTTTTTTAAACGCATGGACGTGGGACTTTACGCATTTTATCCTGTCCCACTGTGGGAGGATAACAGCTCCTTTCATCGACAAATTCAAGCTGGACATCCTTCCATCCTCAGCTCGGGAATTTAGCTAAAACTGGAATCTCTTTTGTAACGAGAAATTCAACCAAGAGCCCAGAAAGGAAGCAGAAACTTAGATCTTAATCAACTTGGAGATGCAGCCTCTGGAAAGAAAGTTTTATCCCTGAGACACTAACGCAAAAGGAGTTCTGTTCGGACTAAAACCATGATGGAGCTGCTCGGAGTTGTGCGTAAAAGTCGCCGCGCACCGGACAGGAAGTGAACTAATTATTATTAAACCCCATCCCTCATTTCCATATCTAGCGTGAGCTGGCTGGAGCGCAGCCAATCACCCAGCGAAGGGCAGCAAGAGTCGTAAAAGCATTCTCCTTCCTCCATCACAATCACACTGACATGCGCAATCTGCACACGGACATCGACGGCAGCCTCACTTCGCTTATTTCACGGAGTCCGCTGCCTCTGAAGGGTCCCAGTCGCTGCTCGTAGATGAGTCGGCGGAAGGCAGCAGCGACTCGCACACGGAGAGCAACATGTCCCGCCGCAAGCAAGCCAAACCCAAGCACCTCCAGTCAGAGGAGGAGGCGACACGGAGCGGACTCCTCTGCACGAATGGTAGGTGTCCCGCAGGCTTTCAGCGACTTTTACCGGCTTTACTTCACCTGCTGTTCACAAAACACCAGCAGGAAGAGAAAAATAATTAATTGTAAGGTTGTAGGTCTAAGCAGAGTATGACTAATTAGAAGTTTTTCAAATCATTAACTTGGCAAATTAAAGAGTAAGTGTCCTTTTTGTTCGTTTTTTTAATTTTAAAATGTTTAAAATGTTAAAAATAAAATGATGGTTTAATCAGTCATGAAATCTTTAAAGTACAATAAATAAATGTAATGGCGCTAATTTAAACTCGTGTTGAACGTTTTTATCAAAAATCTGATCTTGATTTTTTTTTTTTTTTTAAACTCATTGTGGACACAGGACGAAGCAGAAACAAGCAGCAAACAGTGCAAACCTGCAGAGCGTGTGATGAACGAAATCAAACCTTTTTTCATATTTGATTTAATTCACTTTTAGCAGTTTTAGACGCAGGAACAGAGACAGGGCCTGTGGTGAACGACAGGACTGAATGAACTCACAGAAACAGAGAACAGTGTGTTTAGGAGTAGTGGGGCTGCAGGTTTTGTTTTTAAGGGGATTCAGTTTGGGCTCGAGGCCTTCTTCTCAACTTAAAAATAAACATTTAAATTCAAAAGATCAAACATTTGGAGACATTGAGAAAATATTCAGAGATGAAAACGTGGCCTTACAGTAACGAGCTGTAGCGAAATAAACGTGATATCGTGCACTAACGGTTACACAGCTTTATAACATGTTCTGTAAACTCAGAACAAAAGATCTTATAAATCTTATAAATCATTTAATAATTATTTTATAAAAAGTTAAGATTAGGTATCTCTCAACATCCTTTACTTTTTAATCTCAGCATGTTACCTTTAAAATATGAATTATTATTATAAAAAAAGATCTGCCTTGTGTGCATTATTTGTAACTGTGTCCCTCTTCTCCAACCTGCCTTAAATATTCTAATATTACATAATAAATAAATTTCATTTAACATTTTTATCTCCCCTCATGCAGTGTAAGTGCAGGACAAACTGGATTTTATTTAAACCTTTTAATCACAGCAAATAATTCATCATAAAGTCACATCAGGACCCATATCTGAACTTTTAGTTATTGTTAAATGTCTGGATTTTTGTTTCTTTTTAAATTGACTAAATTTGAAATTGGGATTTGGTGTGCGCTCTAAATTTAAAGCAAATTGGATCAAAACCTAAAACTCAAACAGGCATTAAAATTAAGGTTAATTAATATCATTTGATATCGTTCTTGTTACATGTATGTGTGTATTTATTTGTGTCAGTTTTTACTTTGTTCATCATTTATGTCACCATGACGACCAGCAAGAGGCCTTCAGAAATCTGTTTCAGTTTCACAAATCATCTTCAATCATCACCGCTCGTTTTTCCATTTCTAAGTTTTTCTGTTCATTTCTCGGTCAGTTTGTTTATTAATGTCATTGTTATTGTAATTTCTCCCTTTGTTATTATTTGTGTTATTATTTGTGGCTGTGACAAAGTGTCGAGTGTGGAACAGGCCCTCCCTCAGCCTTGCAGCCGGGCAGGAGGAGGGGGGGGGGGGTTCACTACACCACATTGAGCCTGCTGACTTAACCTTTGTCAGGCTCGCCCTGCGAGGGGCAAGTGCTCCACGACGGGATCATAATACAATTAGTACATCTGAACCGCTGACCTCTGCAGCCGGGGGTCACGCAGAGAGTCAAAGAGGCAACGCCGCCGTGCTGAGGGTCTGTTTGCTTTCCTCATTTTCTCATCTCTAACGCCAAACTACACAGAAAGACACGATCATAAATCTGTTTTCTGCTCCCAACACCGGGGATGGAGTCGCTCTGACTTTTTAAAATAAATTCCTGTCAGTTTTATTGTGTTTGGAAATAAATCCACAGCCTTATTTCAAAGCTGATCTTTTGGTTTGTTTTTCCTGGAAGTTAATGTTACAACGTGCAGACAAACTCCTGAGCTTTAACAGTAGAACTTTTTTTTTTTTTTAGCGCTTGTGTTTGCTGAATCGCCCGGGTGATGTTCAGACCACCCACCATGTGAGCCAGCGACTCCGATTATTTACTGACCACACCAGTTTGACTTTTAAAGAGATTTCTGAGCTCACACTCATCATCTCTAAACTGAAACAAACTGAAAATCAACTTTCAATATCTCTCACTTTACATCATTTTAACTTAAATGTTGTGATGCCTTCAAAAAAACGTGTAACTTCCAAACACAGGGAATGCACTTTGTGTTTGTCTCTTCTTTAGTTTCTTATAAAACTAAAGACACACCGGACGTCTCTGTCTGTGTTGAGCCTGAGCGCACTTTGACTCCTTCTTTCAGCGATGATTGGAGTGTATTAACTGAACAAACACACACACAGAAACACTCAACAACATGTTTACACACACGGCATGGACATGAGGGTGAACATAAACACACAAACACACACACAGACACTCGTCTACATTGCTTTCCTGTCCACATTTGCTGTGTTTAAGAACAAGCGTGCAGCTCTTATGTAGGCCACACACACACACACACACACACACACACACACACACACACACACACACACACATTATTTGTTATCCCTTTTTATAAATACGTGTCAATAAGTAAACAACAAAACAAAAAACATGAACTATTGCTGCATTGAAAATATCCTTTACATAATTATTTTCTTATCTTCACCTCATAATGAGCGTCTGTTTTTAGACCTCGTTTTAACCGTTCCTCTTAAATTGGAGCAGGGAAGCCCAAGCGTTTGTTTAATTTACTATTGATTTCCCCCACTTTTTTTTCCATCTGGTATTGCTGGCTGTTTCCTAATGGAGCAAAGCCTGAACAGATGCAACACTGAATCTAAAGTGTACTTTTCCTTCATTCTTTGAGGACACGTGTCAAATGAAGTGAACAAGAAGAATGGGAAACAAAGATGTGATAAGATCTTAAATATCAAACTTGAAGGAAGATGATGAAATTAGAATTCATTGGAAGTGTTGTTCAGAGATCTTTACAGATAAAAACAGTATAAACGTTTCTCTTAAACCGTGAACAGACAAAGGCCAAACAAGTTAGGACATGACAGCCATGTTAGTCACAGCAGGATGTTTTCTGCTTTCTTCTTCTTTTGTTTTAAATCAGGGCTTGCATTGAAAGAGGTGTTATTCATGTGTTGTCGTGGAAACAACATACGCTGTGATATTTTAGATTTGTTTAATAGATTTAAACACAAAGGCGCACAACCAGGGATTTTCAGACCAATGACAAAATACACTTTTTTTTTTTATGAAAAGAAAATCTACTCATGTTTAAATATTTTTTGGACCCCTCAGAATCTGACTTATTTTCTCCCTCATAAGATGCTCTTGTTTACACCATTGATTGTTTTATGTTGCTGACGCAGAATCAAAGATGTGTTGCTCTGCAAACAGGAATTTACAAGTAGCAGTAGTAGAGTGATTAAAGTAATAAATCAACAGTGTGTGTCCGACTGCTTGGAGAATCAGAAGTCTTTAATTGTACGGTTTTATATTCACACATCAGTCAGGTCGGACGAATACAAGAATAGTGTTAAAGTTGAATGTGGTGTAAAGATGATGCATATCAACTGAAATGTACGATTGAACAAAACAAAGAAATCAATATTTTCTGTATTGAGTTTCATTATCTGTATGGATGCACGATTGAGAGGTCAGATAACTTCATTGAACTTTATTGATTTTGTTGTGAAAATAGTATTAACATTTGAAAACGGGCTGTGAGTGTGAAGCCTTTGTTACGACGGGGTTCTAATGTTGATTTGATCATTTAAAGTGGTTACACAAAATAAAAACTAACGACACTTAGCTTGCAAACGTGGCGGCTGCAGTCATTGGAAGAGTTGACAAAATGTAAGGTTTCTGTCATATTATATTAAATATGATTACAGAACAATAACGGGCCATTAGTGGACTTTAAACTTGGACTCATCTTCAGTTTTCCCTTTTAAGGAGGGTAGAAAGTACAAATGATCAAAACTCTGTCTGTGTTTCATACATGTATGTAGTCAGTTTTTCTTAGAAGAAATCGAAGAGGTTTCATTTTCATGAATTTATGTTTTTCTTTGTGTGTATTTTTCTTTAAATAACTTAATAATCCAGCTTGATTTTGCACGTTATATTTCCACTCGTTGGGTATTTAAAAAAAAATGCTTTTAAGCAAACTGTGGTCAGATTGATGGACTCTGTGCTTTGTGTTTGGATTAACAACAGTTTACACAGTTTGATCCTCGGAAAAATATCTGAACAGTATGCTTTCAGTGTTGCGTTCTAAATCTGTCTCTTTTTCATACTTTCAGGCCTCGTACGGGGCACCGATGGAGGCAGCAGTGAGGAAACACACATCTGTGACAAATGCTGTGCTGAGTTCTTCACATGGACTGAACTGAGTAAACACCAGAAAGTCTGCACTGAGGACTCCTTAGTGCTGATAGTAAAGGACAATAACAGGGGTCCAGACCAGGGGCATCTCCTATCGGACCCTCTCCGGCTCCCAGTGTGGCGTCTAGTGACTCGTCTGTGGCAGAGTCCACAGATGCCGGCTTTGAGCTGGGGGAGACAATGCTGAATGACAATGACAGTCTGGATAATTTAGAGGAAGGCATTGATCGGGATGAAGCCATGGAGCATGAGCATTGCCGACCGGACGACTACAACGCACCCTCAAGCCCCCAGCCTCCTGATTCAGCGGAGTCCATTTCCCCCCAAATGTCGACTGCTGGCAGCTACAGCATGCCGAGTACGAACGTGACTCTGGAGATTCTACACAGCACGAGGGTGGCTGTCGCCCAGTTCTCGCAGGGGATAGACAGTTGTGGTACTGGAGGGAAGGCTGCCTCAGCTGCCATCCCCGTGATCCTGGAGCACCTGCTGGCTCTGCAGCAACAACAGGTCCACCAGCTGCAGCTTATTGAGCAGATCTGCAACCAAGTAGCCGTCATGAACAGGCAACCAACACAGGCGGCGTTAAACCCGGTGTCCAGGTCTCTGTCTCTGACATCTAACCCTTTTTCTTCTCAAGGCATCATCCCTCCTCCCATCCTGCCTCTGTCAGGTACAATGCCCTCGTCCGTCAATGGACAGGCTGCTGTTTCTTTGTCTTCTGGCCTTGAAAAGTCACAAAGTCTCCAACCACAAACTGTATCTGGACAATCCTCCTTCAGAGATGTAACATGCACCTCAGCCTCCTCAGAGAATTCAACCCCGCCTCTCTCCAGCAGCAGCATCTCCACGTTACTCCCTCCGTACACAGGCTCACACAGCAGCAGCATTAGTGGTACTCAGACGCTAAGCTCCTCCAGCCCCCTCCCAATGGGCCAGAGCAGCCTCCTCAGCTCATCCTCCAGCTTGCCATTTCTACCTCAGAGCCCTCCCAGCAGCGTCATCTTCCCAAATCCCTTGGCTAGCATTGCCGCCACAGCTAATGCACTTGACCCTCTTGCAGCCCTGATGAAGCACAGGAAAGGGAAACTGCCAAACGTGTCCTTGTTCGAAACCAAGCCCAGCCCAGAGGAGCCTTTCTTCAAGCATAAATGCAGGTTCTGTGCCAAAGTGTTTGGCAGCGACAGCGCTCTGCAGATCCACCTGCGCTCCCATACAGGAGAGCGGCCCTTCAAATGTAACATCTGCGGCAATCGCTTCTCCACAAAAGGGAACTTGAAGGTACACTTCCAGAGACACAAGGAGAAGTATCCTCACGTCCAGATGAACCCCTACCCGGTGCCAGAATATCTAGACAATGTGCCAACCACTACTGGGATTCCCTACGGTATGTCCATCCCTCCAGAAAAACCTGGCTCCTCATGGCTTGATAGCAAACCTGTTGTAGCAACTTTACCAGCCTCTATGGGTCTTCCACTTTCCTCCACTATTACTAGTACTGGAGGCTCAAATGACCCTGTAAGTGTAACTCCATCCGTTAAATCTCCCTTCCAGCCATCTCCTTTTGAATGTTTATCTTTGTCACCTAAACACAGAGGCAGTGAGGCTCATTTTTCTCCTGTTTCAGAGTCTCCGCTATCTAACCGTGAGACAGAAGCAGCCAATATATTAAAAGCAGAGGGGGTCCACTTGCCCCAAACCTGCTCCCTGAGACCAAGAGGCAACCCAGCAACGGAGGCAACCAGCACTACGATCCCAGTAGGGGCCACCACACCCGAACCTGTCTCCTCAGCATCCCCTGTCTCGAACTCTCCACCTATCTCAATCCACTCAGACGAAATAAAACTCCCAACCAGTAGCCCCCTGGACTCTATGCAAGCATCCGAAACCTCAAAGCTTCAGCAGCTGGTGGAGAACATCGACAAAAAGATCACAGACCCCAACCAGTGCGTCCTGTGTCACCGTGTCCTCAGCTGCCAGAGCGCGCTGAAGATGCACTACCGCATTCACACTGGGGAAAGGCCCTTCAAGTGTAAAGTCTGTGGCAGGGCTTTCACCACCAAAGGCAACTTGAAGGCTCATATTGGTGTTCACAGAGAGAACCCTCCCGTTCAGGTGCAACACTCCTGCCCTATTTGCCAGAAAAAGTTCACCAACGCTGTTGTCCTGCAGCAGCACATCCGCATGCACATGGTGGGGCAGATTCCAGACTCTACCCTGGTGGACAGGCTGCAGGACAAGGACAGCGAGTTCTCCATCAATGAGAGAAACTTTGACAGTCTAAGCAGCAATAGCAATGACCTCACTGACGATATTTCAATGGAGGAAGTTAACGAGGAAGAAGAAGACGAGGTAGAAACCATGGTGGAAGGTGTAAACCCGTCTAAACCCTTGATCTCCGATTGGAGTTCCCCTCCTAAGTCTTCCGCCATTATCTCAAGTATTGCTGCTCTTGAGAACCAAATGAGGATGATTGACTCTACTGTAAGCTTTACCCACTCTTTTGGTATAAAATCTCTAACAAATGGTTTTGGTGATGATAGCAGCAAATTCAGTGTTTATTCATCTGAGAAAAGGACGGACCATTGCAGCGCAAAAAGCCCAAATGGGTCAGAGTCGTCCTGTTCCCCCCATGTGTCCGCGTCTCTGATTGAAAACAACTCAGAAGGACCAACCACTAAATCCCCTGCTGAGAACAAGACCAGGCCAGAATACCATGAGCCTCTGGCAGCCTCAGTGAAGAGAGAGCAATCTGAGTCTCCTACCTCTGCATCAGGAGCTGCAGCGGCCCAAGAGCTGAAAGGAATGGAGACCGGCCATCTGAGTGTGAAAGAGGAGACTCCTTACAGCATGTCATTCCAACTGAGCAGAGAAAGAGGTAGGTTGGCAATCCTTTTGTTTTAAAAAAGTGTTCTTTCTTTTTTTTGGACATTGAAATAGTCTCATATGGATTTTCTTTTCAGCTGCAGGTCAAAGCATCCCTGGCTTGGTAACCAGCCCACTATCAGGCATGATAAAAACCGAGCTCAACGGTCACAGTCAACCAAGCACCCCGTCCGAAGGGCCGCACCCACTTTTCAGCGTCCACATCCCTCCAACTTACGCACCAATCGGCAGCCCAGGAATGACCTCCCTGCTCGGCCCCGTTCATCCTCGACGGACACCAAAGCAGCACAACTGCAACGCCTGTGGGAAGAACTTCTCGTCAGCCAGCGCCCTGCAGATCCACGAGCGCACACACACCGGAGAGAAACCGTTTGTGTGCTCCATCTGCGGCAGAGCGTTCACCACCAAAGGCAATCTGAAGGTAGATGAAGTTTTACTCAGCTGTGATCTCTGTGATTTAAGATGAGAGATTTGCTGGCACCTCCCTATGCTTGTAGAGTAATGAGGCACTTTCACAAAAACAAAAAAGTAAAGCCAGTTTGTAATATGAAACAATCCTAACACTGAAACCTTCTACATAGGATCCATGGCATTTCACCATTTCCTGTTAGTATTTTAGCACCACATCAGTACTGTGATTAATTGTTTAGGTATTTTATCTTCTCTGTAAAAAAACAAAGAAACCAAAAAAGAGTGAATTCCCCGAGGACTTTTTAATCTTTTTTGCACGCTTTGCATGTCTGCTTTTAATCACAGCATTTGTGAGCTATTTTCTCATTGATTTGTCATACTGTTTATTTTCTCTTTAATCAAGTCCTTGTGTAATAATGTCATAAAACACTAAAAGAAATCCAAATCCCCAAAGCCCTTTCCAACAGGAAACAGGCCCACAACCTTTTTTTTGTTTTTTAGTTAGGTCTCACACAAGACTATTCTTTGTGTTTTGGAAGCTTGAATCAGTATGTGCTAGGTAATTTTGCATACAGAAATCACAGAAAAAATATTGATTTATTGTCAAAATTGTTGCTGATTGAATTAATGGATGCCAAATTCTTTATCACATGATGAAGCACTTCTGCTCTGCATCAGTATTGCATCCAAAAACCCTACAAGGGTTAGGGGTTATAGCTATACTATTGTCAGAAGTTGTAAACACAGACCTCCATGAAATTTGTCAATTTGAAAAATGATGCATTCTTTGTTAAGACTTATGAATGAGGATATATCTTAGGAAGAGCAGAGTTCAGTATTGTGAGACAAATCACAGCTTTTTAAATGTCAATTTGTGCAATCCATGCCAAACAGGTTGAACAGTTTGAAATAAAGGCATCCACTAAATCTAAAATCTTATTTGTAATTGTCAGGTTCATATGGGAACTCACATGTGGAACAACGCACCAGCCAGGAGAGGCCGGCGGCTGTCGGTGGAGAACCCCATGGCCCTGCTGGGGGGAGAGGCGATGAAGTTTGGGGAAATGTTTCAGAAGGACCTGGCAGCCCGAGCGATGAACGTCGACACTGGATTTTGGAACCGTTATGCGACAGCCATCGCCAATAGCCTGGCCGCGAAAAACAACGAGATCTCAGTGATCCAGAACAGAGGCATCTCTCAGCTTCACCCTCTCACTGCAGGCATGGACCGGATGAGCACCGCAGGAAGTCCGATGACCAGTCGAACCAAGACAGGCATGGACCTGGGGAATAATAGACATTTTTCTATGCTGATTGACAACAGCAAAGACATTGGAATCAATTGAACAGAAGCTGGACGGTGACTTGATACTTATGCAATCTATGATGGACGTGTTTGTAAAACGCCTTGTTTGTTCTTATGTATTATATAGAGACTTAAAAAGAACTTTTTATCAATTGACAGAGAATAGAAGGGTATTCACATTTCGCTATTTTACTTCGCCATCATTTGTGAGTGTTTTTTTTTTTTATCTACACATTAAATGTTTAACTTGTACCTGAAGATTCCTACGGTGCTTAGACGTATGGTTGCTCTGAAGAAGGGAACATATGTTTGAATCAATAATGCAAAGAGTCTGCTATCTCCCCTGGACAGCTGCCCAATGCTGCTGGTGCAAAGCACAAAATATGCTCATAAATACCCACAACTATGAGTTGCAATGTTGTCATGTTATGTTGAGAAATTGTCTTCTTAAACAAGAGATGGACCGAATAAAACCTAGAACAATCTCTGTACATGTTTTAATTTATTTCCTGTCTGTTAAAACACTGATCACAGCTTTCTGGTCTTGATGTTTTTGGAGAAGAAACTTCATTGTATGAGTTAAAACAGCAAGACAAACGTAAATGGACATATGAACAAATATGGCAAAATGTATGAAAAATATTTAAAAAATGAAAATAGCTGCACAGGAGATAATGGAGCGTGCACATTTTTTAACGAGAGATGTGCAAATGTCTGCTGAATGTGAAGTTTAAAGCTTCTGTGAGGATTTTTTTGCAGGTTGTGAAACAGACTATAAATAATTTTGATGCCTTTTTATAGGCTATACAAGCAAACTACACTGTGAGAATAAAATATTGATTATCTATTTTATTTATTTTTCATGCAGGAAACTGCTGCCAGATGGTAGGTGTCAGACATGAAGATTTACATCAGCTTGAAAAAAAACGTTTCAACATTGAATAGTCTTGATTAGGGACATGATTGAATATTATAAGAAATCAGGATGAGATTTATTTTGTTAAAAAAACAACACTTACAAATTTTAACTATATCAACTTAAAGGTAAGAGGTTTCATTTTGTCCACAAGGGGCAGCAGACTTAACACGAACTAAGAGCTCTCCACAGGAGCGTCAAAGAATATGTTCCCATGACATTATTCATTATTAGCAGAACATTATTAGCAGATCTGTTTAATAGAAGTCTATGTAGACTAATAAAGCATTAAAAAATAGGGTCCAACAAACGAAACAAAGTGCATTCATTGCACACTAATCCTGATTTGTTGTTAATCCGTTATGCCCTGTTGCCTGGTGAAAGACTCTTCAAGTTAAAGCATAACTCAAAACAATAATAGTATTGTTAGTATTCTAAAATGAATCCTATTTATAATGGCAATACTATTAACATGTTTTAACTTATCTCTCTACATTATCTATCCCTACAGATAGGACTATGTAAAAAAATATGTTTTTAACTGGGCTAACCATTTCTTTGGGTGGTTTTAGAAAGTCAGGGTGTTACAGATTAATTGAGATTTATTTAAAATGGCCTGACGTTAAAAACTCGTTAAGCCATTTTGATATATTTTTTACTTTTTAGGACTTCAGGGGCTCTGTATTAATGGGTGACTACAGGGACAATGGTGAAATATTTAAAACATCCTACATATCAAAGAGAAAACCATTGACCCCTTGTTAGTTTTTCATACTTTTAATATCACACCATGCTTATTATATATATATCATGGAATATCTGCTATAGGCTTAATCTGTTTTCACCAGCGTGGGGCCAATTGGTAGTTCTCTAATTTATGTAGCCTATAGATGAACACAATATGCGACTCAACATAAATTTACAATTGTATTTTCACCAATCAAACAAAGCGTCACGGTCTAATTTCTTCATAAACTAGTCAACAAATGAACATTTTAACGCTCATTGACAGTGACAGCGATAACTTTCTGTTAATTGTGCTGCCTTCAGAAACCTCTGGAAAACGCATTCTTCATTTTGTGAAGTCAGATCAGACACCATCCGCTGCCGCGTTCAAAAACAATTTACTTTGTTTCCCGAGGGTCTTAGTTATAGTGTAAGATATACGGAAATATGATGGAAAATATCGCATATATTGTGTCTTATTTAACCTCAGTCCTAGCATTAATGTATTTATTTTTGTGATATTCACATTTACGAGACTTTTCCCGGCGCTTGAATGTAGCATAAATCCTAAACAGTTTTTTTTTAAGGTGACGTCAGAATGTGTCCTGCCCAGCCAAGATGGCTGACAGCATCCCGTTGAATCCGGTGCGGAAGAACTCGAAGAGGATCCCGTATTACAACTCTGCCAGACATTCACGGTAAGAGTGGGCGGGTGGGTTTTGTTTGGCTGTATAAACCGAGTCGCTAACTGAGGAAACAGCCGCCTGTCTTGAGATAATAACACATTCCTGCCTCGCTTTTGCCGCCTGAGCTCCGTGTCTTGTGTGCGGGGTCTGTTAGCTTGTGTTGCTATTAGCGCTGCGTCTGACAGCTCCTCCGCATCCTCTCCCGTTTTGACATGTGCTTGGCTTGCTAATACCATCTTTTCATGAAGCTCTTAAATCCTTCTCACGACTAATTTGTCTTTCCTAATCCACCACAATGTCCTGATAACTTGTCTGTACGCTTTAACATCAGATACCTGCTCTGCTCCCCCGCACACGATAGATCACCTGTGTTAGCAACAACAACAACAACAACAACAACTTCACCTCATGTTATTAAAGTGTTTTTGCATGCTGTAGACATCCTTCACAAGCTTGTTCATTTTACAGACTGGACGAGGATGAGCTTTTAAAGCCTTCTGGTTCAGGAATGGACAGGAAGTGAACTAGTCCCATGACCAGGTACTTAAAGAGCAAGTAGTAGGTTGTTTCTGACTGTTGACATAATGTAGGTGTTTGTGTTTTGTTTTGGTAACCTGCCTCTTTATATATGAACTTAGATTGGTTTGGCGTATGATTAGATCATCTTAGGTTATAAGGGTGTTTACTGACCTGATTTGAAGCTCAGATATATAATGGAAACACTTTTCTGCAATCCTTTTTCTCTCAGTAATAAAATTCATGTGACAGGTAATTGGACCCTGACCTCACTAGAGGTCACACTGCTGGGTAAGCTAAAGAGCACAGGCCCTGGAGCGGTAAACAATAAAGCTTTTTCCACTGGAACAGGAAACATTTGTTGGCAACAATCGCTGCACTTAAAGCCAGAAAACCTTTCTTTTTTTCTTTTTTTTTACAAACCTGCCCACAACTCGGCTCTGTGTAGAGTTGAGTTATTATGCAATCAGATGTAGGAGTTCCATAGCAAGAAACACTGCGGCTATTAACGCTTTCTTGTTGGCAAGTCTCAGCGGTGTGTGTAAACAAAGAACAACAACTGCAGCGGTGGAAAAGCCGCTGGTGATTCATACGCATTCCTCGAGGCCGAGTTGTTGCTGAGGAACGAAAGCGCAGGACTTGTTGGTTTCAAACTAAACCCGACTTCATCACAAATGCTTGTTAATATTCACTTTGGGGTAAATCTTTTAGTTTGCTTCCAGCACTTCCATTTTAAAGCCAATCACTCAGCTCTGGTCCTCTGTGGTCCTGAAGCTGCGGGATCTCTCAGTTAAAACAGGAGATTCTGGATGTTTTGCTCTTGAGGGCTGTAACAATGAGAACCAGTGTGCATGATGGATATTAAGCTCACAATCCTGCCGAGTTTAATTTTATACTTTTAAATGTCGATTACATGACACTTAACGATGCACACAGGACTGAGCTCTCATACTGCTCATATTCCAAAGATTCATGAATTAAGATTTGATTTTCTGCGGCCTGCCCACACACGTTTTCACATCATGTTTTTCTAGCCTAAAACTGGAATTTGAAATGCAGGCTGTTTATAAGCATTTCTAGAATTATACATTATGCAAGCAGTTGAATAAATACAATCCAAAACACAATCCAGCTTGTGAATGCGGTCAAGTTTTGCAACCAGCTTTATAATGTTTGGAAATAACTAACCTGTGCAGTGCAAAGTCTCTGACATACTGCATGCACAACGTCTATGTGTTCTAGTTAATTATGACTCACCTGTTGTGTTGCAATTCAGCTTTCACAGAAGTTTCTCTGCATATGTAAAAAGGGGGGTTATTTTTATCATTAGTCCTCGGCTTTTGTGAAAATTCGCAGTCTGCTTGCAGGAAAACATTTAAAACATTCATCAGCGGTACACAGCAGGTCTCTACACCTGCGGTTATCACTTTCTCTGACTCTCTCACAACCAGCTTTTAACAGCAAGAGTCATTTTCTGAAGTGTTAATGATGTGATAGAAAATCCATGGACTATGATTATGTGGATTTTATGAGAGAGAGAGAGAGAGAGAGAGAGAGAGAGAGAGAGAGAGAGAGAGAGAGAGAGAGAGAGAGAGAGAGAGAGAGAGAGAGAGAGAGAGAGAGAGAGAGAGAGAGAGAGAGAGAGAGAGAGAGAGAGAGAGAGAGAGAGAGAGAGAGAGAGAGAGAGAGAGAGAGAGAGAGAGAGAGAGAGGTCAGACCTGAACCCAGACCTCCCGCTAAGAGGACCAGAGCCTCTGTACAGTACATGGGGTGCACACACTAACCACTAGGCCACCAGCGTCCAGCCTTCCCCAATTTAAAACTTCAATAAGATGCTAGTAAAAGTTAATCAATATAAAAACCTGTTAAGATACCACAGCAGTTTTAAAGTTTCATAACGCACTTTACATTAAAAGCAAACCTTAAAGTGCTCAAATCAAATCAAAAACTGAAATCAAACAAGTAAAAAAAAAAGTAAAATCATATAATATATATATAATAAGCTCTCCTGTTAGTGATATATAGATATATCTTTCTTTAAATGTGTTCACAGAGAGAGAATTGTTCTTTACTTTTCTATAAAGAAAAGGTTTAATATCTTCATTTCTTTTCTTCTAAGTTTGTTCTGAGTAAATTCTGAAACCAGTTTCTTTTCATGTATGACACAAAGGTTTGCTCGTCTTTCTAGCTCCTCCTTCAATATATTTTTTATTCCATCAGAAGAATCTGACACCTCTTTTTGTGTTTTGTTCATCTGACTTGAGTTTCTCCCGTATGGAGAGAGAGTGTGTAGGTTCTTCCTGTACGGCTGCAGACTCTCATGATCCTTCGGAGTGGCCTCATGAATAAGACATGACGAGCCTCTCCAGAGTGTTTCCACTGTTCCTTTAGAACGTGAATAGGGGACGTTCTCAACGGCACTTGGTGATGGAGAAACGGGGCCAACTGCTCTGACTAGTTTTAATCTGAGCTTTCTTCAGTCTTTGGAGCATTTAGGTATTCCTCCTCTAAATGTTTGGAGTTGGCCACACAGCCCGTTTCTAGATAAAGAACAATATGACTCCCATAGGGATCAAAACAAGTAGAGTCACTTTTTAAAAGTTTTAAGTGTTTCAAGTTTTCAAGTGAATGATAATCTCAAGTGAATAAAGAAGTTTGGAATAGAAAGCACAGGGTTCCCTCTGAACTCGATCCATCCCCATTCCTCCATATGTGACCGTCCTCTGTCCTGACAGATACTCTCTAGAAGATGAGCCCTCTAACCTGGACGAGATGCCTCTGATGATGTCGGAGGAGGGCTTTGAAAATGAAGAGAGCGACTACCAGACGCTGCCTCGGGCTCGAGTCAACCAGCGACACAGAGGCCTCGGCTGGTTCCTGTGCGGAGGGTGGAAAGTCCTCTGTGGCAGGTACGTCTACACCATCGCTCGGTTATTACTTAAAAGAGGGGTTTGTTTTTTAACCAGGTAGTGACATTGTGTCGGTTATCTGTGTGGGATGATTCATGTTCTCGTCTCATGCGTCAGCTCAGTCTCACTTCTTTGGAGAAGTGAGACATTTATGAATACACTCAATTTATACATGCTTCTTCAAATAGTTTCTGTTTCTGCTTCCCCGCCAAAACCCCCCCTCTCTGACATTTTTCTTTACCACACACTGTCTGGGCATTTCAATGTAATCTGTAACATTAAGTGTTTTCAGTTATCACAACATTGATTTTTAATTTGCAAGATTTCTGTAAGAGAGTTTTCAGTTCACTGCAAAAAAAGATTTTTACTGTAGCCCGAAACTGATTACCCATTTGTTTTTAGGGAATAATCCACAGTGATGTGATCTAGAGTTGTCACAATACCAGAATTTTAAACTTCAATATGACACTATTTCAAAATCAAACAACAGCGACACATATCAACAAAATAGAAACCCAAGGTTCCCCACTATTGAGGATGTTCTTGTTTTTAATTGGCAAAAATTGCAAGCACTCTCCTGCAAAGTGTCTAAAATTCAAACCTTTATTTAGTCTCAAAAGGACACTGAGGTTTCTCTCATTTCCAATGCCACCGAGCAAAAGCAACAACAACAACAACAACAACAAACACTTCTAATCAATTATAAAAAGCACAGAGATGAATTAAAAACAGTTACAATTTGAAACAAAGTGGCTAGAATTTAAATCCTTAAACTCTGCAATAGAGGGAAGAACTCCGATCCTTAAGTGTTTGCTGGAGGGCGCTCCATGAGTTCTGGGCATCAAAAGAAAATGCAGATTTACCGAGTTCAGTAAAAGCTTGAGGGACAACCCACCTTCTCATACAGGTCACAGCGATGATTGCCAAATCCATCACGAGTTACAAACCTGAGGGCCGAGTGATGGAGAGCATCAAGAGGCTTTAGAGATGAACTTCAGCAAAGCAAGAAGCTATTCTTCCTGCTTTGCTGAAGTTAATGGGCATCCAAATAAACAAACAAAACAAGCCTCCCCCGTCTCCTCCTCTGCTCTGTGTCTGTAAGACACATAAACAACTGTTGCAACTTTATGAGACGCTAAAAGGACTTGAGAAATGTAAGGGTAGCTCACTACTTTACGGTATAAAAAAAGAGATTGTAATGTTTTCAAACATGCAGTATAAGGGTTTTGAAAATGTTTGACACCCTTCATATGTGCTGTTTCAAATCCGAGACAATCGCCTGACTGTGAAGTCCAATGGAGGGTTTTATAAATCTGTAGATTTCAGTTACTGTGCCGGAGCCTGAACTGCTCTGAAAGTCGTCGGTGTTTAGTCATTCTGTAAATGTGTATAACGTGTATAATGTCGGTGAGCGCCGCGCCCCCGTGATGATCAGTTTGGCTTTCAAACGCACCGGTAGCTGTGCATGAAGTGCAAAGAGAGGATAAGGGCATGTTTTTTGGTCGGGTTCCTCGATGCGCACCATCAGCCCAAAAAGATTTTCAGGTCAAACAGAACGACGAGGTTTATCCAGCCGATGATTAATGTGACAGGTTTCGCCCTCTAAAGATGCAGCTGTCTGGCTAAGAGGAGCGTGTTTGTTTACGTACCAACAATACAATGCAACATTTATTAGCAAATGTTTGAGCAGCACCCCCCCTTCCCACCCTTCCTAAAAAAAAGAAAAGAAACTGTGATTGATGCAGGAATTTCATTGAATCATTTCTGTGCTGTTTTGTCTTTAGTGGTGCGTCTCCAGTTAAAGCTGCATATTGATCCCCCCCGTCCCCCCTCTCCACCCCCCCACTAATGAACAAATCGGATTTTTCACAGCTGACCAGTTTGATGCTTTCCAGTAATTTTATGTGTGCTTAGTGTGGGATTATAAAACACAAATAATTCACACTGAATAAGCCCTGACTGTTCAAATGGCATATTATTTGAATAGCATTCATTTGCTTAAATAATCTCTCTTATGAAAGTGGACCGGGAGTGCACAGGGACCGAGAACACGGAGGCCAACACAAACAAGACTTTTACCAAAGTTGATTTATTTAGCTTCATGTTTTGCCAACTTGCTTAAAAAGTGGAAAAGCCAAGTCGATCAGCATGACGGTATACACTGCCACTCTCCCATCGCTCCCCCGTGAGGTGCCAGTTCAGGTCACATCACGCTGCTCCCGTTGTAATTCATCCCCCCACACTACACCTCTTGTTTGCATTTGATATCAGATATGGTCGATAAGCACCAATGTAGTCATTAGCAGGTTGATGGAAAGTCAAATACTTTCTAAAAAAAAAAAAAAAAAAAAAAAAAGTACATTTTAATCTGCGACCCATCTCCTCTTCTCTCTTAATCTCCTCTCAGAAATGTGATGATGTCAGAATCTGTGCAAAGGAACGTGTTTGACTTTTCATGTCGGAGTCAAAGTGAGATTAAAAACAAACACGATGACAAATGTGTCTCATCCTGATGTACACTATGTTTGTGCACATGAAGCTTTGGGCTGGGCAATATATCACGTTTTTAAGATATTGGGATATATTTTCAAAACATATATAGGGTAAGAAAATATCGTTTAAATCGATACAATTTATGTCAAGTTAAATTAACCTTATACGTTTCTTTTATGAAGCCACCAGTTCACCTATTTCTCCTCCCACTTTCGGTCCTTCGTCACTCTTCTCCACTTCTCCCTCTCTGATTAAAAAATTAAAAACCACCTGTATAATCAAATACACAGCTGTGTGTCTTTTTGTAGTGCAGGAAAGTAACATTTTGGACCTATTTTATTTAATATTTTTTTATTTCACCAACAGGTAGTTTATTTTTACGACATTTTTCATGTCCATGTTGACGTTGTGTAGCAGACTGTGACAGGGTGCAGGTATTTTAGTGGTTAGTGTGTGCGCCCCATATACAGAGGCTTAGTCCTCCAGGCTCGGGCCTGGACTGCCCACCTGGAGGACAATAGCGTCCATACATGAGGCGCATGCACTAACCACTAGGCTACCGGCACCCCATTTGTTACAATATTTGCATTATACTTTTTTAAATCAGCCCTTAAGCAATAACAAACATTATATATTTTTTAAAACACTCCCAGGCATCAGTGGGTATTTTTCCATTTTATACTTGGTTACTATGGGTTTAATTAAAACTTAAAAACAAACCTTTAAAACGCTCCACCAAAGCCAATCAGGTTAATATGTCGATCATAAATTGATTGATAAATTGTTGAAGTAACTACATCAATCTATCGTTCTTGGAGCTGAATGAAGTCGGTTGTTGTCTGCAGCCCGGTACAGTTGGCAGCATGTAAATGATGTAATGTGTGTTTACATCTCTTCCCCTCTCAGCTGCTGTGACTGTCTGGCCCACATATGTCGGAGGAAGAAGGAGCTGAAGGCCAGGACGGTGTGGCTCGGCTGTCCGGAGAAATGTGAAGAGAAGTACCCCAAAAACGCCATCAAGAACCAGAAGTACAACATCTTCACGTTTGTGCCTGGGGTGAGGAAGTCAGGATTTTGTCCTTGTATGACAAATTCCACATTAATAGGGCTTACACAGTTTGCATTACGTTTTTTGTTCTTCTCTGTACTTTTGGTGATATTGAGATTATGTGGAACTACAAGTGGCATTGATATAAAAGCAAATATTCTCATTATAGCGCCATATAGGGGACTTCTGCGTGATCATGTTTTACTTCAGGAGACCCCCCCCCCCAGCTTCCCCTCACGTCTGATAGTCTCCTGCTGTGAGGTGCATGTGTGAGCAAACAGATCAGGAGGATTTCAGGGGCAGCCCTCCTGATATTATCTAGAAATCTTCAGTGTGTATATGTGAAAACAGCTTAAATTTGCTGAGCGGCAGAAAAATGTGGGCATTTTGAGAAAATATTCCAACTATGAGTGACTTTAATAATCCCCACATTCCTCCAGATGAAATATCTCGTCATAGTCAAACAGTGAATTAAACCTCGTAGCATGTACTAGATCTCATTGTTAACTGCTCCTTCTTTAAGTTAAGGGTTTCCACTGTAGGGGATCCATCAGACTAACTAATGGTGCCATGATTAAGCAGGGCTGCCTTTAGCCCAGGCTATAAAATGTCAACTGTCTATTAGAGACGTAGATATTCCCATCGACGGTGAGCCAAACGGCTGTGTTTCCTCCCTTTACTTTGAATTATTAAATACACACAAATTGAGTTTAGCAGTGTGCATTTTCCCCTAAAGGTCAGCGGGTTCATTAACTGTAGAGCATCGTCCATTGATCCTTTTGTCTCTGATAATCTGTGACTAGATGCTAGACTCTCATTATTGCACACATTATTCAAAATGTGACCTTAGATGAATAGAACGCTAAAGCTGCTGACGGATGGTCCATTAGCCAAGAGCCATCAGTAAGTCACAGGTGGCACTTTGGTCCGTGTGATTGAGGGAAAGTTTGCCTGTTTTTGTCTTCGTTCATTATTTTTATTCTCAGGTCAGTTTGTTTAATCTGCAGAGCAACACTGGACCACGTTACTGCGGAAACAACTGCCTGAATGCCTTAAAGGGGACATATTCTGAAAAATGCATTTAAAGAGACACACACCAAAACGGAGCGTTCTGAGAGAGCTGGTTTATACAGGGTCACAAACCTCCTCTGGTGCTTGATTCATGTTATATTTTGACCAAAGCACAGCACAGATGTTTCATTTAGACCACAGGGGGACTGTTTGAGAAGGTGGAGAAGGGGATAATATGTCCTTTTTAAAAAGAGCTTTTCTGAGTTTTTATCAGGTTAGGTCAACTTAACAGCGCTGACTCGTATCTTAAACCATCTCGTACAGTTACCCATGCAGACTTTTTTTTTTTGGCAGCTGTCGTCGTCTCTGACTCGCCTCACTGAATCCTTTTCTCCCCTCAGGTTCTCTATCAGCAGTTCAAGTTCTTCCTCAATCTCTACTTCCTGGTGGTGGCCTGCTCCCAGTTTGTGCCATCACTGAAGATCGGTTATTTGTACACATACTGGGCACCGCTGGTAAAGTCACATCTTGGTTTTTATTACCTAAGGGGGAGATTGAAAAACACACCTCTGTTTGAGAGTAAATGCTTACAGGTTGTTTTTTGGTAACCTCTTTTTTAATAGACTCATTAAGTTCCAAAGTTACTCAACTTATTCAACAATAAACATCTTCAAATAATGAAGCTTTGTGAGTGATCATGGTGTGAGTGATCATGGTTGGAGTGATCTGAATTTGCTTCCTCTTCTGTCACTCAGGGTTTTGTGATGGCCGTTACCATGGTGCGTGAGGCTGTGGATGAAGTGCGACGGTACCAACGGGACAAAGAGATGAACTCTCAACTCTACAGCAAGCTCACAGTGCGAGGTCAGTGAGAAGTCTGAAAGAAGTCTTGTATGCTCGGAGGTTCTAGAGAGCACTCCGCTGGGTCTACACTTGTAACAGGAGTCGATGTTCTTGCTGTGATTTGCATTGATTTATTTTCTCAGTTTCTAAAGACCGTGTGATGATTGGCCCGTTTGTTAAATATGTGATGAATCCCTCTGTGTGGTATCTTTAACAATACTGAGGATGTAGCTTCACGACTCCCTCATGTGCATTTTAAGAATGTAAAAAAACTTTTTTATGCTTCTCACATTTTTTCGAAACCAAATATTTCAAAACAATACAATCTTTATTCCTTTAATGATTTATAGTATCAGAGAGTTCTGAAGCTTTAAAAACTTCAGATCTTCAGTCATTTTTGAACCCAAAGCTGCTCCGGGCAAAGGAGAGATTGTTGTGGTGGTCTTTTCAAATTCACAGGTCCTTTAAAGTATTGACCCCTTTGCAAAAATGACGTTTATGTCTCCTATTAACAGACAGAGAGGTGACAGCGGAGGAGACTCAAAACACATCAATTTGTGTAATTTAGACAGTGTGCAGAAGTTTGCTGGCAATTTTTGGAAATTAAAATCAAGAGATTGCCAATAATAAATCCCTAGGACTTCTATTATTGCCATGGTATTGATATTGTTTGATTTTTACTAGTATCATATGGAAGTTTAAAATTCTACTATAGTGATAACCCTAGTGCTCGTTTACATTCACTAGTGGAGAAGACGGGTTCTTTGTGGGCATTGAGGCGACACATCTGAGTGTGCCGTCGTTTTTGTTTGTGCCTCAGAGCAGAGATGAAAACAGAAGGGTATTACATGATCACGTAGGAGGTAATCAATCTGTTAGGAGGTGAGAGAGAAAGAGAAGAGCGACAGCACAGAGTGGCTTGTGGTTTTAAGAGTCGGGGTCATTTTCAAGGAGCCAGAGATCAATACTTGTCTTTTATTTCATAGATTTGAAAAAACGCACAGCAGCTTTGTCCTTAAAAAATCAAATGTAAAAGGTGAAGATAGATCAGGTCTTCTTCTGTCTGTTTCCTTTTTCATAAAGCTGTTGTCATCCTCAGGTAAAATCCAAGTGAAGAGTTCAGACATACAAGTTGGGGACCTGATCATTGTTGAGAAGGTAAGGCTGAAATGTTTCTGCAGATGTCTTCACATGCAAAGTTTAAAAAGACTGGGACACCAGAATGTTGCGCCATTGAGGAATCGATATGAATGTCTTAAGGCGTAATGATGTTGGGGAGTTGCACGATGAAGAAGTCTGATTTGTTTGTTAAAAGGCAGCAGGAGGAGATTTCTCATCAGATAACACATCATTAGCTATGAGACAAGAAGTAGCACTTTGTCCACAGGGGGCGCCAGATTAACACCAACAGAGATGTTCTCACAGGAGCTTTAAGTTTCCAAAAATATGTTGGCATGATTTGAGTCCAGTCCTGGTTAAACTTAGGACAACCTCCAATACGAAGCTGACTGTCCTCTGCAAAGTGAATGAATGACTGGATTTAAAGTCACAGTACACAGCTTTTATCAAACTTCGGCTTTTCTGTCATTCTGATACCGTAAATGTTCTTTCAGTACTAAAAACTTCACTGATCTGGTAACCATCTGCTCGGCTAACCTCAATGTAAATTCGGATTATTGATGGATAAGCCCCTTGAGATGAACCACCTTGTTTTCAAGGGGGTCCAGCACAAAAAAACACCAAACAGTACAGTGTGATACAGACACAGTCACACACCACATCCCTCCTACAAACCCACAGAGATAGAGACACATATAATGACATATAATGCAACCAAGAAAATAGAAGTAACAACAATTAATTGACAAAGGATATTAAACCTGAAATCTAGCCGCAGCTAGGGTAAGGTGTCATGACTTTGTGGTAGAGATCCTTTAAAAAGCATTCGCTCCTTCACCCTCTGGTTCAGGTGTTGACCTTGTTCTCTTATTCATGATAAAATACTGCAGATCTCAATAACATGTCACTCTTGTTTTCTTTGTGTAGAACCAAAGGATTCCTGCAGACATGATCTTCCTGAGAACTTCAGAGAAAGCAGGTGAGCAGGCAAACGTTGGTGTGACTCTATGAATGTGAAGCAGGTCGGTGCTGAAAAACACAACGATCACGGTCGGCCAAAAACCTCCTCCTGGATTGACTCGGGTCTTAAAATACGTACAGTTGAACTTTGTTTGCCCTTTTTGGCCCTTTAACAAACTGTGTCAAGATCATCCGGGTGAGAAATGTGATTTTTTTTTTTCCCGCACTTCCAGTCCCTTGACATCATCCGATCGAGGCGGCCTGTGATTTATATGATTTATGCCACATTCTTCTGGTGACTGACGATGCAGATTCCACTTAATCAATGAGCCTGCATCAGATCCGGCTCTTTTTCTGAGGGGCATCGGGAGGAAATGTTCAGAGGACATCATTTCCATCAATCATTGATGTGCCAATATGCTTGGCAGGGAGTTGTTGATGTCTTTATGCCTCCAACACACACACACATAAACACACACATAAACACATCTCTGTCTTTACTTTGTCTTTCACATACTCTCACACACACACAGAAACACACACTGATCTCAGTGATGTTATGTGCGGAGCTGAAGTGCCATCGCAGCAGAAGGAAAGCATGAATCATCCTCCTTGTGTTAATGTTTTCCATCATAGTTAACCCTCCAGGGACGGTTTATCGCTGCCCTTTAACCTCTCTGTCAAATAGTTGCTCTCATCCATCAGTTTCATATGTAATATTACCTCCGATCAATACAGGTCACCACTGCTCAACGTTTAGCGGAGCTCACAGTTTCCGCAGCAGCTGCTCAGACACTCTGGATCGTGCTGCAGGCTCAATCAATGTACACCGTGCTGCTCTGCTGCTCTGCCAGTTTGTTACACATACATCATTTTAAGGTTTTTTTATTGTTTGATAGATGCTATCAAACAAAAAAGTGAGAACTATAATGTGCAAATTAACTTGTAAGGTCTATAAACAGTGTCTTTAACAATCTGCCTGAACTTTAGACATCAGTGGTAACAGTCTACATGCACGTCTAAAAGAAATTGCGGGGGGGGTTAACGTGTGTTCAGCGTTTCCGTGCCTGAACCAAAAAAACTGAGCTTTATTTTCCTTTTAACCTCTTGGCTTTACATCACATGAATGATTATTTATTTATTTATCTAATACATGAAATTAAGACACTCATTTATGACTTATGAACTTAAAGTTTTTATGGAACAGTACTTACACTTGTTAACACTCGTTTCCAACAAACATTGGACTTCTCTTAAATGTTTGTACTTCCTTAGAGACTTAGTCAAATAATGACGGCAGAGCTTTTTTACTGCGCCGCTGTGAGAAGAGCTTCAGAGACCTCATGGAACATAACAACTCAACCTTCTTTAAAGATGCCTTTACTTGAGAGATAGGACAGTGGATAGAGTCCGAAATCAGGGAGAGAGAGAGAGTGGGGAATGACATGCGGGAAAGGATCCACAGGCCGGATTCAAAACCTGGGCCGCCCACTGTGAGGACTACAGCCTCCATACATGGGGCGAGCGCACTAACCACTGCGCCACCAGCGCCCCAACAACACAACGTGAATGATGGCGTCAACTCTCCTCTTTGTCAGGTTCCTGCTTCATCAGAACAGATCAGCTGGACGGAGAAACGGACTGGAAGCTGAAGGTTGCTGTCGGCTGCACGCAGAGACTTCCAGCAGTGGGGGTAAGGAAACACAACACGCAGAGAATCTAAGTGTGTCTCCAAAAGCGCCGTCAAATAAAGTCCTCTAACTGTTCTGGAGACTGACGATAAAACCTGAACCTGACAGCAGCTTCCGTTAGCTGGAGGTACATTCAACGCTGCGTCATGTGATCGGAGAATTAAAATTTCAGAAAGTAATTTGATGTTTGAGACATGGCGTCCATATTGGATTTCAAGAGGACTAATGATAGGAAGAGTTAAACCATTATGAATCCTCTGTTTGCTCTTAACGGCTAAATAAGTCCACTTTTTATAACTCCATGTTCAGCCGCCGCTTAGACCAATATGACTTTTATCAGGCTCTAATGCGTCTCTGAGCCTTCTTCTTCTTCTGTAAAATGCAGCAGCAGCAACCGTACCCTCCAGAGGGGGTTTGAGTAAAACAATCCACCCTGCTCCCCTCTAACCGCTCTGCCCGTGTTCTCACCAGGAGAACACTATCTGAGCATGACTGAGGGGTTGCCTGGCTGCTGCAGAGGCCGCCTGCCTGAATAATTTAATATTTACAATCAATTTTGTTTCACTCGGGGCGAGACTTTGGTCCTTAACAGGCTGAAGGCTGCAGAGACGACAGAGACATGCAGATGATTGAAGCCTTGTGATTTATTGTTTATAATGAAGTCTTATTTTAGGTTCTGCTTCCTTTTTGATTCCACATTTGTGTGAATGTCAAAACAAAAGGTAGAAGGCCACATTTATCTCCCCCCAGAAAAAAAAAAACTTGTGTATGTTTCATCTTGTTGTGCTAAAATCTAAATTAATTTGTAAAAACTCTAATTTCCTCCATAAACGAATAATGACATGTTAGATAAATTAAATGACGTCGAAGTGTTCATGGTCTCTCTTCTGGCTTTTTGTCTCAGGATCTCTTCTCCATCAGCGCCTACGTCTACGCCCAGAAGCCTCAGCTGGACATCCACAGTTTCGAGGGGAACTTCACCCGGGTACAGTAGCTCGTTGACATATTTATAAGCTGTTAAACGAGTCTCAAACACCTGCTGATTTCTCTTCTCCAGCAGCTGGGTTGACAACAAAAGATGTGTATCGCTGCAATGTGTTGACAAGCGGCAACAATGAGAGCTTGTGTGTGTCCGTCCGGGGCCTCGCTGTTATCTCCGGCAGGCGTACCTCTTACATCACAGGCAGGTTCTCGCTGCTCCAGCTCCATCCATCCCGTCTTGGTTGTTGCTCAGTGATTTTTCTTTTTTTTTTTTCTTTCTTTTTTTTTTTTTTTTATTAATAGCAGATTAGCGCAGCCCCCACAGAGAGGAGAGCTCCGGTACAAAGGGAGGCTTTGTGGCCCGTCTTCACTCTTGGCCACACACCAGGCTTAGTGAGGGAGCACTTCCTCCGCTCATTCATCCTCCGCGGCCTTCCTTTGCATAGCGTGTGCTTTTAGTCCGAGCAGGATGGGAAAAAAAATGGGTTCCCACAGATCCGCAGCAAATGAACTTACCTATTTATGAGGGTGGGGGGGGGGGGGGTGAGTTTTTTTTCTTCCTTGGGACGGATATGGTGGCTTTGTTTCTGCCGTCCTTATTGAGACCCTGCGCAGTTATGAACACCGTTAAGTTTGATGCCAATGTCAGCGCGGTCAAGCTTTTCCGCAAGCTGCCATTTATTTTTCATGCACCTCTTCCCATGTTTGAGTGCAGTGCCAGGATGTGGCTGCTTAGGTATCATAATTATCATATCAGAGAGGCAATTTGAGCCGAAACTGGAGCCTTGACTCTGCACTCCTGACTCGAGCCGTTTCCAGCGCTGGTCTTTATTTAAGAGAGGGGTAAAATGGGCAGGGTGAAACAAGAGGCTCTCCGGGGGCTTATTTATCTCTGAAATCTCATCTATGTGCACTCTCTATACTGTTCTTTTAAAAAGGAGACTCTATCGCCATGCCAAATCTAGAGCAAGTATTGATGAAGGGACTACTGTATTGCTTCAGTCTGCACTACTGTGTCAGGTGCTTGTGAGAATTAATCGCACAGCAGAACCAGAGAGCTGGATTCACTCTGAGGCGGGCTCATGTTCCTCAGCTCTGAGCGCCACAAATCTTTGTTTTCAGGGACTTTTTGATCACCTTGTTTGCTCGTTTGTCGCAAAACAGAAGAAATGATTTAACTGAGACTTTTACGGTTTGTGTGAAATGTTTTAGTTTTCCTCTAAAAGGATTTAAAAACACCAAAAATGACATCACACCCAAGAAAGAGTACAACTCAAGAACAGAACAGCTCTGTGATGGCAAACTTTCATCATATCTAATTAATATTCATTCTCAAACGTTCACCTCGTTAATGAGTCTAATCGCTCTTTTCTGTAATACATACAAAAGTTATTACTCATACACATGTTGGCCCAGACGTCGGTGCAATAACTGAAATGAAGAAGAAAAAGAAATGAACAATACGAAACAGGAAAAGAAGCAGAATCCAAACTGTCCTAAACACCAACACATTGACACTCTTTATGTTTTCTATGTGTGGTTTCCATATCAGTTTTTTATCTGTTATGACTCTCAGACATTTCATGTTTGAGTCGTAAATACTGAAATATATCAGGATTAAAAGGCGGGTTTCTGTTAATCGTTAATGAAATAGTAATGATTAACACGGGACTAGGTTTTGTATATCTTATGATACATTATTTTCTGGTTTAGTTTTCTTTTATTCTCTACGAAGAATAATCCTGACTCAAAGTTTCCTGACTGGTAAAATAAATGATTAACATGGAGCGGCTTTTTCCCTTTAATGACTCTGAAGTTTTATTTGAGATTTTATTTTCTGCTTACAAAAATTTTATCAGAAACAACTACATTTAAATTTGTCAAACTTTTAGTTTTTTTTGCGGGTCAATCAGCTGCAGCTTACATGCTTAAAAAATAATATATGTTTAATGTTTTTTTTCTTTGAGGTCACATATTTAGAATTAAGCAGATTATCCATTATTCATCATCTTTAGTCTTAAAGGTCACATATTCTCCTCCTTTTCAACCAGTTTAAATAAGTCTCAGAGCTCCTCAAAACATGTCTGTGAAGTGTCTTGTTCTAAATCCACTCTGATCCTGTATTTGATCATGCCTATAAACCCCTCTATTTCAGCCCTGCTCAGAACAGGCTGTTTCTGTGTCTGTACCTTTAAATATGTAAATGAGCTGTGTCTGACCACGCTCCCTCTCTGGAAGGGCTTGGGTGGCTCAGGTTTTCTCGCTCCATGTCCTATTGTTTATGATGAGAAGGCAGACTCAGAGGGCAGAACAAACACCTAGCTGTGGGAGTGTCACCCACCTGGGGGAGGGGTTACTGCCCTTTGTGATGTCATGAAGGGAAAATCTCCAAACGGCCTGTTTGAGCACACATTTTCTGAAAAGTGGAGCAGGCAAAAGATGGAGAGGATGGACTTTTCTCATCATTGGGGGGGTTTGTAGACGGACTAGAGACGCATATTAGTGTTAGAGAAACATGGTGAAGAGTATTTTACATACGGTAATATGAGACCTTTAATTAGTTTAAATTAATTAATTCTGTTGTGTCCTGTAGGAAGACGCAGATCCACAGATCAACGAGAGCCTGAGCATCGAGAACACTCTTTGGGCCAGCACAGTCGTTGCATCTGGTAAGTTTAATACAACTTGTGTTCAAATTCCTGAAATTAGATACAAAGTTTAATACACAGTTTATTTCTGTCAAAGATTTTAAACAGAGACCTGTATTATTTTCATCAGAAGTTTTGTTTATATGCACAGTGTCATTTCACACGTTTGAAGAAGCAGAGTAGATATTTCTTTAGGTTTTACAATCTCAAACTGGGACTCAGCATTTCTTGACACCACTCCACGAATAAAAGGGGGGACGGATGAAAAGAGGGAATGTATGTAACCTCAGCGACCCTGGTTCAAGTGTAGAGACGGGCCTTTGTTTGAATTCCATCTCCCCTTAAAAACCATAGAGGCATTCAGGAGCCTGAAAGGGATCAGTAGAGTACGTCTTTTAACACAGATGTAAGTGATGAAAACACGGAATGATTAACACTTTTTTTTTTTAAAGCTTTTGATGGAACAGCTCCTGTGGGGATCAATAAAGTACTATCCTAAAGATGCGTCAGGACATGTAGTTGAACCTGCAACCTGTGTGACGAGGACTGCCGCCTCTGTACATAAAAACCAGTGTCCCCGAATGATCATTTTTCATTTCCAGGGCGGGTGCTGAGTCGAGAAAAAAATCACTTAAAACAAAGAGAAAGACGCCTCGTGCATTGCAGTGTTCCAATATTCCAGAAATGTCACCATGGTGACATTTGGGTCAACCCCTCTCAACCCACTCTCTTTATTTTATATATTTGTAGACACATTTCTACCTTTAGAATTTATTGTCCCCATGGGGAATTTCCTTTTCACAGCGCCATTTCTGTCCAACAGACAATTCCCACCAAAGAACACTAAATACACAAAACACAGAGTATAAAACGGAGTTAAACAACAATCAAGAGTTTCCATTCTGGCTTGTTCAGCGAGGCCTTCAGTTCAGGGAAGCTCTAACAGCAGGGATCAGGCTTTTCCCGAGGCGAGACCTTCTGCACCTCAGGGCTCTGTGCCTCCGTCCTGAGGGGAGTAGGGGTGAGGTGGCAGTTTCTGCATCATGCAGTAAATCACTTTTTCTGACCCTTACCTGAATGCAGCAGAGACAGGCTGCTTCATAACAAGATGAGAACTCCTCACAGGAGCTTTGAACACACAATTAAACGATGTGAAAATCTCCGACATCAGGTTGAAGAATTCCCTCTTTACAGTCAGAGCAGGCCGACCAATCCTTGCCCGTGTGTTTTAGCAGCGGTGAGGATACGTGGCATTAAGCCTCCGGGGTGTTTGATTTGATACCACTTGTGTGCTTGTTTGGAGAGCTCTGAGAAAGGGGGAAAAAAAAAAAACCCACAGTTGAGGTAATCTTCCCCTCGCTCCGTCTCAGCGATTCCCCACAGAAACGGTTGTGTCAGTTGAGAGTGTTTGTGACGCTCTCAGCGATGCCTACACCATTGATTTGCGGTGTTGCTCTCCCCTCCGGCCTGACCTTGACCAGAAGAACTAACACACACTTACACACACTCTCACACAAAGAGCCTAACTTAGACCCCTTACATCATCTTCTGCTCGGGAATGTCATTGTCCTCCTCAAGCTTCTCCCTGACACTTCACGGCCTCTGCAGTGGCATTCTGGGGACTTGAACCGGCCCTCGTCTCGCTCTCTTACAGGCCGGCAGCAGTCCAGCTGTGACGAGTGAATTAGTCGTTCGTATATATTCAAATTGAAGCCCCTCTGCATGCTGAGCCACACACCATTTGTCACTTTTCTCAAATTTTTTTGAAGTCAGCGAGAGCGATTCATCAAATTCACCTCCTCTGCTCGTTTAACGGCTTGACTTCCCTCTTTCTTTTCTCTCGCTTCACTTTTCCTCGTTTTGCTTTTTAACTTTCCATTTTTATCGTTTTGGGATTTCCAGGGCTGTGTTTCGTTTTTTATTATTGCTCTCTGCTCTCCCATTAAGCTCATTTAATATTAATGACTCATTAATCCTCTGTAATAAGGCGGCCGTAATGAATTGGCAAATAAAGATGGCAGCGTATTGATCAGGTTTTATGAGCTTCCATAGGGTGCTGAAGGCCCTGAGAGCCTAAACGTATTAAACTCCTGTCTGTTGGCTTGAGCGGCAACGAGATGAAACTGCCTCAGCTCGGCCTTATTGTGTTTCCTCTCATGCAGTTCATCTTACTTGACCAAGATAAGTGCATCTGTGTTTTTGCATATGTGTGTGTGTGTGTGTGTGTGTGTGTGTGTGTGTGTGTGTGTGAGACGGTGGTGGTGGGGGGGCAGTTAATGAGCAGCATTACTTTCCTTGTCTCTCTCATTGGCAGGCACGGTGATCGGAGTGGTGATCTACACGGGCAAAGAGACCAGGAGCGTACTGAACACGTCCTTTGCCAAGAATAAGGTGAATACTTTTTTTAGTTTTTGCAGGAAAAAACAGGAAGTTCAGTGAACTGTGTGAGAGTTATTTTTGATGTAGATGCTTTAAAGGGACGCTTTAAATTCTCTTAAAGTAAATGTTTTTATGCAGAGAGTAAGTCATACTGATATATTTTAAAGGTCAGTGTTTAAAATGCCCTGAAAAGTTTTCCAAAAGCTCCCTCTGTATGTGTTAGTTTGAGCGCCCCCTGTTGGTGCCTCATATCTCTTTGCTGATCTTGTCCTGTACATGTGTAAGTAATTTTTTCTGATTATAAATCTTAGTTTTACAGATATGACCTCAGTTTAAGAAAAAAAAACAACAACGAGCAAACAGACGAGTCAAAAAGCGAAATAAGATAAAAGCAACGAGATGGATTGTCTCGCTTTGTCCACAGGGGGCGCCAAAATCCACACAACCCCAGAGTTCCCCCTAGTACCTTCAAAGCACTTTCTAAACTTCTCAATGATATGAAAACTAAATAATAAGGTCTTTGATGTGATGCCTGCATAAACTCAAATATCTTTATAAAAGCTGCAGAGAGAGAAACACCTCAGAAGGTAACGTCTGCTCCAGGTTTTCCTCCCCCTGCCTCTAATCACCAATCAATCACTTTGGCGAGCTGCTTTTCTAACCTTGACTTTCTAGATAAAGTTGGACCTGTCAATGCAAAAGGTCGGAGCCAGTTGCTAATTAACCAAAAGGGAAATTAACTAAGGGAGGATTTAAATGACATTTTCAGGGAAAGTTAATCCCACAGAATCCCCATCGAGCGTCCTGTCCCCAGATCGAGGAGATTAATGAAAATTTGAGTCTAAATATAAGATTTTACCCTGAAGAGAGTTAGGATAGATAGACCAGAGTTCCCTGATAGAGTCGGGGAATCAGCAGCATCTCAGAGACGGCGTTTTGATGCGTGCGACTTTCACACACAGAGATATCACCTACAGCTGTCTGCAGCACTAAAGCTCCCCGTGGTTCTACATAGCCTCGTCTTACTGCGGCACAGTTTTGACACCAGTGTCTTTTATTAAGAACGCTGATGTGGCCGGTCGAACGGTGAGAGCCGCTGTTTTGTGTAAGCTCCACTGTTGAGAGGAATTCAATATTTCAAGGAGATGATGTCAGAAGTGCCAATATGGAGACTGGAGATTGGGGGAGAAAGTCGATACAGTGAGGCTGAAGTCGCAGGAACGTTTTGGCCTCATATAATCTGCTGTGACACCGGCCAGGACAAAGCCAGCACTTGATCAATCTGACAGGACGTCAGACATAGATTCACTCTTTGTCTCAGTGTTGTTAGACGGGCCTCTGTCTGAGGAAAGAGACGGAACAATGTCGTTTGACAGGAGGCTGCCCGCCAATAAAGATCTTTGTTCTTTGAAGTACATTTCCAAGGCCCAGTACTCTGTCCTCTTCACATGTCTCTCAAGCTCTTATTGTAAAAAAAAAAATGAAGAGGGCTGTACCAGAGGAAGAGCGTTTTTCAGTCGATCCGATTTCCCTCTCCAGTACAAGGCTTTAAATATCTGCTCATCTCACCAAACTGCAGGAGTTGCATTCTTTACCAAACACCAGTACATGAAAACATTCACAGCCAATTTAAGCTTGCCAAACACACCAGACCAATTAAGGCCTGATTTAAAAAAAACGATCAGTGGGCATGTCCTGATTTGAGGCTCGTCGTATCCGTTGTTTTTTTTTTAATTTTTAAGTGTGTTGTGTCAATACGATTATTTTACTGCCCCCCCCCCCCACCACCTTGAGTCGGAGCCTGCCCCATCTCGAATCGTGCATATCAAACATGTTTGATATTTGTTTGGCTAGTGAGATACATTTTGCAGAAGAACGATCTCTTTAAAGAGGATTGGATACCTGGTCAGTTTGTTTTGAAGCAGCAGAGACCCAAAGAATAAAATGTGGCTCAGGGTAAACAAACATAAAAACAGGGACATATGATCCTAGAAGCAAGTTAATCTCTGTCAACCAGGTTAGCATCAGATTGGGCTGCAGACGCCTCTGACGTCCTGAGGATTCCTGCACGAGATGAGAAGAATTTACGTTGTGCAATAACATTACTCAATATTATGATAAAGATGTGAGATGTGCTAAAGACACTTGAATTAAAGAGCGCCTTTTAGCTTTTAGCACACTGTTTTTCAGTCTGTTCACTGTTGTGTGTGTTTGAGACATGTCGCTCTCAAATCCAAAATAAATCTAAAACGTACTTTAATTTTTGAATCACCACTGAAGGGGCACAAATTAATCTGAGGGCAGCTGACATTTAGCTATGATCATTATACATGGGCCTCGATCCAACAGTACAGGTAAAATTCACTCATTGAGGTTTCCTGTCAAAAAAAACAAAAACAAAAAAGTCAGACCTGTGCAGGTGATTTCTGAATGCATGTATCAGGATAACAAAGAAGTGAAATGTTCAGTCCTGGTCCTGAGACTGATGATGAAAAGTGTCAAAGAAACTTTCAACCTTTAACTTCTTTATTCAGTGTTTTAAAGAGACTGCAGCACTCTTTGCTAGTGCAAATATTCGACTAAGGAAATTATGATTTGATTCAATAAATGATTCAACTCGTTTACTTTTATTAGTCAGCTGGAAAGCTTGAGCCACTTTCAGTTTACCTCTCTAACTCTTCCCCCCTTTGTACTGCCCCCCTTTTACAGTAGGTAAAAGGGGGGCAGTACACTTCTTTCTGAGTGGAGTCCTGATATTCTTTGGTTTTAACTCGATGAATATTCATGTCCTCGGGCTGCAAACCGTCACCACATTTCACACGCATGCTAGAAAAAACAAAACGAGCCACACAGGCAGATCGAATCATTCCTTTCACTTTTAATGGCATGGGGATGAATGGAGTAAAATATGCACTTTTTTATTCATTGATAGCATCTTTAGGTCGAGGTAATTGAGTCCCTCTCTCCCTCCCTTCTCTTGACTGAATGAATAATGACTTCATCTGATCCCCGGCAAGGCCTGGAAAAAATGTCCAGCAGCCATTGTTCGAGCAGAAGGGGATCCTTTGCTTTTCAGGCATGCACTGTGCTCTGTGTCTTAATTTTTCTTCATTTTAATCCACCCAAACCCCCTATTTTTCTCAATAGCTCAACCATGAACCATGTAGTGAGGCTGAGGGGTGGGGAGATACCCACCCACTCACTCGCTCCCTTTACTCTCCTCCTCTCCGCTCTGTGCTCCTGGGAGTTTAACGGCGACTGATAAATCAGTCACACTGGTCTCCCTGCTCTCCCAGTCCTCAGGGGAATGGGCCTGGTGGGGGTTTAGACACTGGAGGAATTTTGCTGCTTTTTATACTTCCGTGCCCCCCTCCCCTCCTTTTCAGAGCAGCTCCTTTATATGAGGGAGGAGAGATGTTATGTTCTGCTGTTTTTGTAAGCGTGGTGCGTCAGAAGAAAGCCCTCTGTGTACAGAGCTTCGCTGTGAGCGCTGCCAGAAAGGGGAAGGGCGCTTCTTTATTTGACATCTTTTTCCCACATGCTCCATTGGCTGGGAGATACACTCGAAAAAGAAAAGACAACTCTGACCCCTTTTCTGTCCTTTTTTTTTTTTTTTTTTTTTCATCTCAAGAACTTTATTTATTTTTGAGGCCTTTTGACCTTCTGGTGCATTCATGGATAATACTTCAATATGCAAATAATGAAGTTCATAGTGTACAATAAAATACCGTCAGCGATAAAAGTATTTATGTAGAAAAGACGGTTTGCATGATAAAAGCCTGCAGCTAAGAATGTCTTTCAGTGGCTTTGTCTTTGTTTTCCTGTGCAGCATATTGTACAGCTTTGAGAGCAGATGGGGAAGTTAAAAAGAGTTTTCTCCAGTAAAATGAGTCAGGAAAGGAACAAGATGTTTCCCCAAATATCCAGTTCAGACTATCAGGTCAGGACAGGTGAGGTTTACTTTATTTGTTTTACAGTGAGTGATTGAGTGATCCCGCCTCCTTTTCTACAACAATTATCCAATTCACTTAGCAGACGCTTTTCTCCAAAGCGACGTAAACAAAGAGATTAAGTACAGCACAAGCAAGGATCTAGAAAAAAGGGAACAATGTCAGTAAGAGCAAACGATCAGCTTTGAGTCTGATTGGACACACAGGTGCTGACAGAGGCAAACCACAACATCGACAGCTGTTCTTGAGAGCTCTAATCAGTAAAGAAACTATCTTAAAATCATCATCACCATCATCATGAACGAGCTGGGCCTTTAGCTTTTTCTTAAAGGAGCAAAGGGACTCTGCAGATCAAATGGAGTTTGGAAGGTCATTCCACCACCCGGGGTCGACTTTTTACACAAACAAACAGCACGGGACGAGACATGATGAACAAAGTGACCACAGTGTTCAAGACTCAAAATGGTAACCTTTAGGAAGACCAGATCAAAACGAGGTGGATCAAAAGCAGTGAAGAATAAAAACATACCGTCAGTCAGACTTTGCCGGCTTCGCACCATGTGCTTGTAAACAATAATAATAACTTTATTTACAAAGTGCTTTGACTGACCAAGCAAAGAGATGAACTCAGGACGACAACTTAACAGACGTCATCAGTCAAAGCCAAACAGAGAGGAGTCTACAAAGATAATATAAATGCAAAACAGAGGAACAAGAAAGATACAACAGGCAGCTCTCAAAATCCAGTTTAAGGGTTTCACACTGGGGGACCCAGGGCAGGATCTGAGTACGCTTGACCCCAGAGTCTGGTCCATTTGATCAGAGTGAACACAAACGTACCGTACTCGAGCACAGTGTCTTGAGTCCGTCTTGAAGAGGTGGTCTCGGGCATGATTCAACGGCTTCTGTGGCTTCAAAAACCATTGTATCCACACAGCACTGGCCCGGTTCATCCTCTGAGCTGCTGTTTTATGTTTTATTTGAAATATTTCAAGTTTACAACTTGTGTGATTCCCACTGAAAGAAAACTACAGCGTAGCATGATGATGCTAATATCTATTCCGTCTTCATGTCCCGATAGGTCGGCCTCCTGGACCTGGAGCTGAACCGCCTCACCAAGGCCCTGTTTCTGGCCCAGGTGGTTCTGTCTATTGTCATGGTAGCGGTGCAGGGGTTTGTGGGTCCGTGGTTCCGGAACCTTTTTCGATTCGTCGTGCTCTTCTCGTACATCATCCCCATCAGGTACTTCATGATTCTTTTGCTTTATTTTCAGAAACCTGTTGATGTTTAAAATCGGTTTATTTTGCCGTCACAATCGAATAAGCCAATCACGTCTGGACAGAGAATATTTAGTTCTAGATATTAAAAAATTAAACAGCTTTGAAACCGGAGCTACCCCTCAGTTTTACACTTCACAGAATAATTTCTGAAGATAGATAGATACTTTATTGATCCCGAGGGAAATTCCCAAAAAAAAAAAAAAAAAAGGATGGTGCATTGGCCGGGAATCGAACCCGGGCCGCTTAAATCACACTTCATTCTTTATTTTGGTTTGGTTGCATGTTTGGCCGTTTGTTTTTGTCTCCTGTGGTAGGTAACCGCCTTGTTTTTGTCATGTGTAGTTTGCGTGTAAACCTGGACATGGGGAAGTCGGCCTACGGTTGGATGATCATGAAAGATGAAAACATCCCCGGCACAGTGGTGAGAACCAGCACCATCCCAGAAGAGCTGGGCCGCCTCGTCTACCTGCTGACCGACAAGACAGGTACGTGTCCAGCCATCCAAAACACATGATCTGTTTGTGATGTTCTAATAAACGCAAAATAACATTTCACCATCTGATTTAATAAACTATCAAACTCAAAGTTTAAAAACGTTTGTCCATAGTTTAAAGAAATAAAACAGATTAAAGTGACTTCTTGGCAGCAGACAGCGGTAGGAAGCCTTTCTTGCCCGCCATGGAAGGGCCGATCCGTAAGCGTGTGATGTCACTGTGAAGCTATAAATAGAAATAAAGTCATAATACTTTAATTCATGTCAAAATTCTGATTAAAATAAATACACAATGGACAAAAGTTAAAAATGTCCAGGCGTTATTTATTCTCCTCCCTGGACTCTTTCAGTCAGGGTCTGATTCTCTAACAACGAGCAGTGAGTGTCAGAGTGATGAACTCCGGCTGTTGCAGGTAGGAATAGATTAATCTGTTGGGAGCATTCATCCTGGTGGAAAGTTAAAGCACATGGAGAGAAGAAGAAACTATCGATCCAGGAGAATTGGATAACCTTATGGCCCTGATGTTTTTGGAGGTGAGACGCCCTCTAAGCATTCATTCTGACAATCAGAATCCTAAAACAAGGCTGACCTGTTTGTTCTTCTTGTTTTTTTCAAAAGTCGACCCAGTCATTGTACGTAAAGCCACAATATGCAGGAATTCGCTTTGTGCAACTTTGGCACTCAAGTGAAACTGCACTGTCGCAGAATGCACAGCAAATACGACTCTGCAAGCGTCTACCGTCCGTTGTAGAGATGAGTTTTGGTGTAAAATGGATTAAATGTAAAAACTGTTGTTGTTGTGTTTATGTTAACATGACCATCTACTGGAGTCTGAACAAGTATTATCAATATATCAGAGTCTGCTTTGAAACCTTGTCTTGTTCTGGTTCAACAATCAATCAAACTTTATTTATATAGCACCTTTTAGACAAATTAAATTGCAATTCAAAGTGCTTTACAAGAGTGCAGAAAAGTTATTGACGAAAAAGTAGTTTCTAAAACCATGGAGAGACTAATGCAAACCAATAACAATTTAGTTCTGCCTTTTGTTTTTCTTTTGGGCTCCAAAGATATCAGAAATCAAATCATGAATTATTCACCTTTTAATGAAACTGTTCCTCTGATCTGCAGGAACTCTGACACAAAACGAAATGGTCTTCAAGCGGCTGCACCTGGGAACAGTTTCTTACGGCACCGACACCATGGACGAGATACAGAGCCACATCATCCAGTCGTATGGACAGGTAGGACTTCTTCATCTCTAACAAAAACCCATTAAACCATCATCCATTTACCTGAAGAGTTTTATCTCATTTTATTCTGTCACCTTAAAAAAAAACCTCTTGAATCTGTGAAAAAGCTGAAACCACATTCTCCATAATCCATTCACTCCACGTCTTGTTACAGCTTCATCCGGCCTCTCCCTGCTGTTTGGTTCAATCCATTTTTATATTTAAACTGAGGAGTCTTTTTCCAGGAAAAAACGTCTCATATCGTTCATTCATCATGCAGCGTCCCCGAGCGACTCCTCGTACTGTAAGCGAGTGTTTTTTCCTCGCTGGGTGGCTGCAGATCTGGCTGCCGTGTTGACAGAATGAGATTGTTCTTACTCAGCCAGCTCCAAACAGCTGCTCGCCTCTGACACCATCTGCCCCACGCCCTCATGTGTAATCTCAGCTAATGAAAAATGACTCATCTGTTTCAGGCTGCAGAGCCGGAGCAGAGCTGCAGATTTCCACTGTGTTGTTGTTGTTTCTTTACCGCCACAGTGACAACATGATAATCTTATTTCAAACATTGTCATCACCGTTTTTAAGCATTATTCCAACTTGTTGACTTTTTTACTGTTCAATCATCAATATAACAAAAAGCAGCAACTTATACTCCTCACAGTTTTCCTGGAGATGAAGGTGAATTCTGATTGTTAGTTTTGTTTATCAGTCAAATATGGAAACAGACTTAATTTACTATCATATTGAACAAAGACAAAGTAATAACTCCTCATATTTGAGAAAGTGGAAACAGCAGATATTTGACATTTTCTGCCTTTCAACCATTCGATGAATTGTTTCATATTTGATCCACATCAGAGCATATTTAAAATGTTCTGACCTCTAGAATACTTACAATTTTTGCACAAAAAAAAACCAAATAGCAACAGCAACTGCATTTGCATATGCATACTTTGAATATGTATTAACTATGTATACATATGTGGAGGTGGGGTGGGGGGGGGGCTGTGGGTCAGTTCCAGAGTCTGTATTCTCTCATCTTGAAAGATCAGGGGCTTCGTAGATCATAGATTTCTTCCACGTCTCACATTTCTCGTTATTGATTTCAGGGGACGTCCCAGACCTCCACCAGTGCCACCAGCGGCTCCACTCCATCGCGGAAGACCCAGACGTCGGGCCCGAAGGTCCGAAAGAGCGTCAGCAGCCGCATCCACGAGGCGGTGAAGGCCATCGCCCTGTGCCACAACGTCACCCCCGTCTACGAGTCCCACGCCGGAGTCAACGGGGAAACAGAGTCTGCCGAAGCCGACCAGGACTTCAGTGACGACAACCGAACCTACCAGGCCTCCAGTCCGGACGAGGTAGATATCAAATGCAGTTTGAGCACGTGCCGCTTGATTAGAAACCACAAAGGGGAGGTGGAGAAGACTTGAAATATTCCACTTTGACTGATTTGGATAGGAGAGATTGACGGCTTTTATAATGTCTTTCATTCCCAAAATATCACTACGTTTACTTTGACAATGAAAGAAGTTGTATTTTCTAGCACTGTATTGAAGTCTTGAAGGGTAGTTAATCTTCCAGCACGCACCAGGTTCACTCCTGTGGACACGTTTATCAGCCATGACATGTGAGGCTTCTTGCATGCTCTGCGTCGAGCCCCCCCAGCCAAGACGAGCAGTCAAAAAGAAGATAAAAAAAAAAAGGTGGTGAAAGATTTATCAGCGTTTTGCCGATGTGTCCTCCCTCCTGTGTTGATGTATATATTTATTTATAAATCCGACTCACTTAGCTCCGCCTGCCCTCTCTGTGTCGTTTCACACTGCCTGGATTGATCAATATTTAATTTTCTCTCCGGAGCGATGAGAGCTGGAGGTCTGTGATTGTTGATAGCGCTCTACCTTCCGTCTCTACCATATTCTTTGTTCTGTCACACTTCTTTTATTTCCACCTCTCTCTCTCTCTTCTCTCCTCACTCTCACTGACTGCAGCCTCAGATCTTGGCCGCTGCGCCTCTGTCAGTGTTGGTTTGTTTGGCCCCAGCTCTCTGCTCAGCCTCTCTAATGTGATGAGCCGTCATTAAGGAGATGAAGTGTGCTGGTCGCTAAGGGGGACATCTGACCTGCTGGTCGGTCAGGCTGCAAACAGGGTCCTCCTGTGACCTTTGACCCTCGTAATATCAGACAAAAGCATTAGACTGTGGCCCTTAATGACTGCCATGTTTTGGAAAGTAGGTGCTTTATCATTTCTGATTGGATGAGACAGCAGGAGCACCGTCATGGCGGAAGACAGTATCCAAAATATACGAATAAAGGTGTTATTAGGAGGAGAGCCAGATGTGAAGAATTACAAATCTTTTAATCACAGAAACATTTCACTCAATTCACTCTCTGTTCATGAAGCAAATTTGAGTTGTGTTTGATCTGGAGATGAAATATTAAAGCATAAAAACAGTTAAATAAAGTCAATCAACTGAAGTGATTCCTTCTGTATAAATCCAGCACTGGAAGTAGAAAATATCAAATCAATGCCCTCAGTAAAAAATAAAGTTGATATAAAACTATATTTCACAATAAAACTGTAAGAGATGAGGTCATGTGTTTAAACTGCTTTAAGAAATGATATGATTGGACCATCACAGAATCCTCTACATTCATTTCCCAAAGTACCTGAGCATCTTACTGCCTCTCTCGTCTTGCTGTTTTTAACCTCTTATTTTATCATCAAAATAAAAACAATCTTTGTAGTGCACTCTTAGAGCGCCGTATAATGTTCACACTTTGACCTCAAAATACTGAACTGAACTTTGCCTTCCACATGAGTTCATACATTTATCTTTTTAAGTATATTACGATATCATCATGTAGGGTTTTTGTGTTAGAGCTTTGAGGTTTTAGGGCACCAGTTTGGCCTCGAGGTCAGGATGTGCGCCCGATGTGCTGAGGATACAGCCCTCACGGCCGTTCAGGGTTCAGGTCCAAACCCTCGACATTTCCTGCATGTCATCCCCTTCTCTCTTCCTCAAGCACTTCCTGTCTGTCTCTCCACTGTCCTTTAGAAATAAAAGAAAAAATCACCCAAAAATGTTATTTTTTTCTCCTGGATCAAAATATTTACATTGTCATGCTCTTTGTTAAAGTCTCGTACCGCAGGAAGATGCAAAGACGAACATTTCTGTTATTGCTTTCATTAGTAGTACAGTATAAATCCAAGATGGTGGATTAGATGCTGTATATGTTCTCCAAACTACAAAGTAAAAGTTCAAGCATGCACTTAATGCCGGCGACACTACAGGAGAGAAATTCACCTTCCAAGGGTTAATATTCATTATGACGGGCTGTAGTTGCTGATCATTTGTAAGGTGATGCAGACGTTGTGATGTACATGATCACTACACAGCTTATAGAACAGAGCTGCGATGTTTGATCGGGTCGTTTAAGCCACTCTCGTCGGTTTATTTTTCTCTTTAAGCTGCAACACATGATTCATTGATTCATGTGCAGCTCGTATCAAAGCTGACATAGCTTAGTCGTTTCTGTAGAGCTGATAAAGAAGATTTAAGAGCAAGGTTTAGGATCCTCAGCTCATGATGTTTGTGTCCATTCACACACACACACACACACACACACACCAGGATAATGACACACAGATGTGTGTTAAGTAAATATAGGCAGCCCTTTTTACGGAGCTCAAAGGGGGAGCGGGAGAAATGATGGGGTATTAACAGGAAGTTCCAATTTGTAGGTCAGAGTATAATAACAACCTTTGAGTGAGCAAATTGAAAATGAAGCCATTGAGAATTGAGTCGTGTGCAGCTGAACGCTCACTCGGGGGGCCGCAGTTCCTGCTGAGGAGAGAAGGAGGAAAGAGAAACAGAAAAACACTTATGAGGAGCTGAATGAGGAGCGCTCAGCAGCTCTGGAGATACAACTACTCACTCATGCCGTTCTTTTTTCTTTTCTTTTTTTTATAAACCAAAGCTGAAATAAGATCCAATCAGCTTATGGTCAACAATCGTTGTTGATTTTTTTTCGCTTGAGAAATACTTGTTGGGAGTGATCATACTTAAAAATCTACAAAGAGACTATTATTTGATGAGTTTAAATACATTTATTCTCAAAAACCCTCCCATGATTTATTATAAATGTTTGATTTCATATTAAAGCCTATGTGAGGGTTTTTATCTGTTCATGAAAGTTACTGAAGTTTTTAATGTTGCTACTTTTTTTTATAGCTACAAAGGTGAAAGAAAACACTCAGTGACAAACATTTTTTTAATGCCTCTAACCATGACTGGGGGGGGGGTAGGTGCCAGGCAAGGAAATAACCAAAACAAATCAAATGCATCACTCTCCCTTAAATTTTTGCTGTGGAAAAAGGAAAACAGGATGAGATTATCAGAAAACACTACGTTTGCATGTACAGTACAAGACCAGCAAAGAGCTGAGTTGCACCATTTTGTCCACAGGGGGGCGCCAAAATCAACCCAAACTAAAAGTTCCTCACAGGAGCTTTAAGAAACTAAATAATCAACTTACATTTTCAGACTGTTCCAGAGGTCTAATCAATCTGAACAGATTTTTAGTTTTAAGTTGCTGTAACTCTTACAGCAACAGATTTGAAACAAGGCGTCTTAATAAAGCACCATGTTGTGTGTCAGTCACAGCGTTTAAAAAAACATGGCCTGAATGACACGAGATCAGTATGCCAATAAAACTGTTCAATTTATTGCGATTGACGATGTGAGTTGCAATGAGCATACCAAATAGTGTGGTCTTTTCTGCTTCACTGAGAGGTTCATGTTCACGTGTTCTCCTTCAGGTGGAGCTGGTGCGTTGGACCCAGAGCGTCGGTCTGACCCTGGTGAACAGAGACCTGACCTCCCTGCAGCTGAGGACTCCCTCGGGACAGATCCTCTCCTTCTTCATCCTGCAGATCTTCCCCTTCACCTCCGAGAGCAAGAGGATGGGCATCATCGTCAGGGTGTGTGAACTCGTATTACAACAATGTGATGTGTGGATGCTGCGTCCTGTGTGGGTCTTTGCTCCTGAACCACGAGTTTAATATTCTTCACACAGACTTTCAATGTGGTTCTGTAGCTGTCAGAGCCTTCACTGTGTGTTGTGACTTTGTGTTTCACAGAGAGCCTGCTAATGTTCATTTAAACTTTGATTTAGGAGGAGTCAACGGGGGATATCACTTTCTACATGAAAGGTGCTGATGTTGCCATGGCGAGCATCGTCCAGTATAACGACTGGCTGGAAGAAGAGGTAAAGACTCTAGATGTGTCTCGGATCTAAACTACAGTATGTTTACAGAATGAGAAGGACAGGAAGATGTGTGTGTGTATTACACATATTAGACTAATGCGGCCCGGCCTCCCCTCACTGGTAACCTTTCAGTCGTATGGGAGGGAGGGGAGGGGAGGTGTTGTTCTATACTTACAGAGTTTAATTTAATGTCACAATGTTGGATCTTCATACTAAATGTGTGCAAATGATAATCTCTTAGTCATCAGAGCTCAGCCTGTGAGCTGCTCTTTAACATCAGGTTTCACACATTTTTTTTCTACCGTTGACTTTTTGTGACATCACAAAGTCACAGAACTCCTTTTATGGTCATATGCCCCCCCCAGGCCACAGCCGAACAAACAGGCCCACATTCCCGGGCTTCTGGAGAGCTGCTAAATCAGAACTTTAAGGAGACAGTACCTGAGGTCACCTGTGTCAGTCAGAGGCTGAACTGAGGCCTCCAGGACGAGATAAAAATGACTTTATTTATTGTAAATTAAGCAAAGCTATCACAGAGGTTTCCAAAAGTGAAAATATTAAATATTAAATGATCATATTGTTGCCACTTTAAAAAACCTAAATTAGTCTTGAAGTTGAACCAGATGGAAACACATTGAGTAGCTTCTTTTTTTCTTTCACTCCCTGACCCTGTGGTTGGTAAGTCACCTCTTCATGTAACACCTTTGAATTCTGATGGCTCTATTGTGCTGCTTGAGTTTAGATTTAACTGCCAGCAGTCGGGGCTGAAAGCAGATTTTGTTAGCAGCCTGTTGACACTGTTGTTGCTGCTGCGACTAAGACTCATATGCTGCTCTTTCCTAACTCTTACTGTAGAGGAGCTGAATGTGAGCAGCACTTTGATAAAGGGTATCATATGGCATCAAACCATTTCTCATTGAATCGTTTCACATCGTATCAAGACAAATCGACTGAGGCTGATTGCTCATATTTACCTCCTTTTATTATAAGACTCAAAAACACCACATGTCAAAAATTCTGAAATAGTACCCACAGGTTTCAGTATTCAGACTCTGATAACACACTACTTTGTTGTCTGCTGTAGATTAACACTCCCCCTACTTGTGATGGAAAATTAAAATGAGGAGTTTCCAGAGGCTATACAACAAAAAAACGATATATATATTAATTATTGTCCAAAATGTTTGCTAAATCTTTTTGTTTCCATTTGCCAGTTTGCCGTGAGTCATGTGTCAGAAATATTCACCTGTTCACTTAAAATGAGCCGGACATGAGGAGAACTTTTTTAATTCTCATGAAACAGAGACGTATAAAACAATCTCTGTGTTCACATACAAAATGATATCTTTGTTGTCCAGCTCCCTCCTCCAATCAGAACGTTCCTGCAGAGATACGCAGCCGTGTCTCCACCGGCGTGGTGGCTGAAGGTCTCGTGTGCGTATGTTCATAATTATATTGGCGTTATTGAGTCACTTAGCACTGGGGGCAGCGTTTGATTTAATTAGTGACCTACATAAAGTCGTGGTAATTACAGTATGTCATATTCTTGAACAATGGTGCTAATGATGTCCTGTTGGCTGTAATATCCCGCTGTCAAATCAGCCAGCGCTACGGTTCCTCTGCTCGTCAATAACCAATCAGCAGGACAGATTCGCCCCATCGGTGTTTCATATCAAAAATAAACCGCCATCCATCCCTTTGTTTTACTGTGTCCTCTGAATTCCTCCCCGGGCGATGTTATTCACTATTGATTTCTTTGGTGTTGGTAACAATATGCTGCTATCGACGGCTCTGAACATGGTGTTCTTATACTGCAGCTGCTCTGACAGATCCCATGATCTGCCCTCTATTTCAATCATATTTATCTATATTAGGAAAGGACTTCATCCCCATTTATTTCACAGTTCAAATTCAGCCGTTCAGTAAATCATTGAACAAACATTTAAACCATGAAATCCTCCTCAACAGAATCAGCGTACACCTTGGTTCACCAGCATCTTTCTTTTCCTTCCTGTCAGTGTGGAAACATGGCCAGAGAAGGTCTGAGGACGCTCGTAGTGGCCAAGAAGTCTCTGTCCGAGGAGCAGTATCAGGACTTTGAGGTATGGACTGTGTTGTAGTTCATCTATGTGAGTTAGTCTGTCCTCTTACAGCTCCTTAATGCATCATCCTAACGGAGGATGTGATTTCTATCCTTTAATGTAAAAAGAGAGGAAGTGTTCAAATGCATTAATTTGAACATTATCTGTATTCAGCAGAGGAAGTATCACCATCTGCAATTGTCTCCTTTGCTTGTTTCCTTTCATTTGGTTTGATTATTTTGCAGCTTTTGATCCCACGCCCTGAGTTATTGCCTCATGCTTTGCTTGTATGCTTTTATTCTCATTGTTGTCAAGTTTATTTCTCCATTTTTCTTTACTTCCACAACCGTTCCCTCATGCGTCTCCTTCTACCTCTTTTCCTCTTCCCCTCTGCAGAGCCGCTACAACCAGGCCAAGCTGAGTATCCACGACCGCGGCCTGAAGGTGGCAGCGGTGGTGGAGAGCCTGGAGAGAGAGATGGAGCTTCTGTGTCTGACCGGTGTGGAGGATCAGCTGCAGGCGGACGTCAGACCCACGCTGGAGCTGCTGAGAAACGCTGGCATCAAGGTGAGCAAGGATGTAGAAACGTCTTCCAGGTTAATGCTGCTGACGTCTGAATGAGAAAAACTATAAAACCCTCAAATCTCGATGTAGGCTTGTAAACAGATAAACAAAAATAAGAACACTTTTATTCATCATTGTTTGTATTTAGGTGTTAATAAAAAGCAACAGTATTTAAGATGTGTGTTCATGGTGATGTTTTTTTCTCTCTCTGCTCAGATCTGGATGCTGACAGGAGACAAGCTTGAAACGGCCACATGCATCGCCAAGAGCTCCCATTTGGTCTCCAGAAACCAGGACATCCACATCTTTAAACCGGTATGCTTATTTAAAAAAAAAACCTCTCCTCTGATTTAAAGCATCATTATGTAGTACATCAGTGTGATGCGATCTTGCTGGGTGCCGGGTTGCCTTGTGGTTGTTTGGGACGATCCATGTGCAGAAGCTGTGATCAGCGTTGCTGCAGATGTGGGTTCGAGTCTGGCCTCGGTCCTCTGCTGCGTGTCACCCCCCACTTTCTCCTCCAAGTATTTCCTGTCTTTTGTCAGCAGAAGGCAGAAACGGACCAAAAGCATTTTTAAATCGTGCTTCTTGCTCGGTCACTCTCTCTCTTTGTCTCTTATTAGCATCCGTCAGCCTCCTCTTTCGTCTTTTAGCCTCAGCCATATCAAACATTACCCGACTGTCTAACTACTTCTGTTTAGCTGAAGTCTGGTGTGTTAGATTGTACCATGAAGCCTTAAAGCCGTACACCGGCTGCTAAAGTTACATGGTGCTGAAAACAGGCGACCAGGGTGCTCTGTGGAAGACTTTTGAAACTATGTTAAGAGGTACAAGCTACATATTGTTGCTTTAAAGTCACAAAGAACCTACTTATTAATAAATGACTAAAGTCCCTAATATCCTCACTGCTGATTGTGTTGTATGACTCTTGAGCAGGTCTCGAACAGAGGAGAGGCCCATCTGGAGCTGAACGCCTTCAGAAGGAAACATGACTGTGCTCTGGTCATCTCTGGAGACTCCTTAGAGGTACTACACAACACACAGCACACAGTGACGCTTCCTGATGCTGCAGATGATGCAGAGGATGAAGCCAAACATGCAATGAAAGAATAAAAACTCGCTCCAAGCCAAAGCTAATATGAAGGAGTTCAATGAAGGCCTTTGGGGATTTGGAGGGGAAACAGATAAAACAAACATATTGTTCATGGCTTCTCAAGGCAGAACAATTTGAACTTGTTAGTTTTGAGCTAAGGAAGAGAAACTATATGTTCTGCTCTGATTCTCCGTCTCTGTTTGTATTGCAGGTTTGTTTGCGGTATTACGAGCACGAGTTTGTGGAGCTGGCGTGTCAGTGTCCAGCGGTGGTCTGCTGTCGCTGCTCCCCGACTCAGAAGGCCCAGATCGTCACGCTCCTGCAGCAGCACACGGCCAACAGAACCTGCGCTATAGGTGAGTGTTAGCAGACTCTGTGGCTGCAGCATTATGAGCCCTGAAAGGTGTGGGGGGGCTTCAGCCTCAGCTTGTAATCTTCCTAATGTGTTGTACAGCCTGTATTACCCATTGTTTCCACAAGATGGCAGTCAAAGCTCACCAAGCAGCCCCACACTTTGTGGAGCAGTGTGAAGCTTTTTTAAAATTAGAATGATATATGTTTCTTTTTGGGTTGCAGGTGATGGAGGAAACGATGTGAGCATGATCCAGGCTGCAGACTGTGGGATCGGGATTGAAGGAAAGGTAAAGGCCATCTTAAAGAAGCTCTATGTGCTTGTGGAGTTAAAAAAAAAGTTTTCATCCTGTTACTTATTCAACGCTCAATGTTACCCTGAGTGAACGTAATAAACACTCAGTTCTTAAAGTCTTAACAAAATGTGAAGAACAATGTGAACGTCACAAAGAGACCTCTTCAAATAATCACACAGAGCCACGCTACCTTGGAGCTGATGTAACACAGTCCGTCTCTGATTTGTTAGAATCAGACATCAGCTTCATTTATCACAGGTTGAGCTCTTGTAAAGAATATTAGCAAGGAATATATATGATGAGAAGTGAGAAATATACAATACAATACTTTCTTGTCCTCCAGGGGGAAATTTGTTCTCAGAGCGTTGCTCAGTTTGTACACATAAAGAAAACGTAGAAACACAACAAAGGCTTGTTTAGGGCTTCAGTCGCTGAGGGGAGCGTGCCCTCTTCCAGGTCAGGTTTCTGTATCTCCGACCTGATGGCAGAAAAGAAAAGAGTGGATGGAGTGGGTGTGAGGGGTCCTGGGCTGTGGTGAGTCAGGGCCCTGTAGTCGAGTTGTGAGAGGTTTTGGGTAGGTAGGCCTATTATTTTTTTGAAATAGGTAAAATATATTTACATTACAAGTATACAACTCAACATATAGGGAGAAATAGGAATAAAAAAATAACATTTATAAGCACTCATTACTCCAAATATTCATTTTATTTATTTATTGGATTAGGACTGAGCACATTATCAACATGTCATCAAATCACATCCATGTAATTTTGCCAGAATTAGCACAAAAGGTCAATAGTATCTGTGCAGTAAGGCAGGTACTAACAGAAAACATTCAACAAATGTGCAATCCCCGGACACCTCACAGGACAATCTACTCATTTCATGTTTTTTTATAAATAAGTAGTTTGTTCTGAATTATCTGCTTTACGACCTCGCTGTAGCTTTGCATCATTCCCTTGTGTTCCAACAGGAGGGGAAGCAGGCGTCTCTGGCTGCAGACTTCTCCATCACTCAGTTTAAACACATCGGCCGCCTGCTCATGGTCCACGGCAGGAACAGCTACAAGCGCTCTGCTGCGTTGGGTCAGTTCGTCATGCACAGAGGCATGATCATCAGCACCATGCAGGTACTGAGACCGTTAAAGCGCTGACTGAGTGTGTTCATGTTTTGAATAAAGGTTCAAAAAAACAAAAACATCTTATGATCATCTGCGTCTTATTAAGTTTGTTGTCGTTTTGTTTTTTTTATTGTCTGTTTTCAGTTATTTTCATTTGCTCTGCGGTGAGGCCAAAGACGATTTTCTTTCCAGACTGCGGACTATAAAGTTTACGAGTAACTTAAACTAACTGTGACTTTTGTTTTCTCTCCTCAGGCTGTCTTCTCCTCAGTCTTCTACTTCGCCTCCGTGCCCCTGTACCAGGGTTTCCTCATGGTCGGGTATGTTTCCCTTCTGAACGCTGTGTGCACCTCCTGTGAAGAATTTGGAAAAATACAATTAAAGACTGACACACCACCTCACAGATTCACCCGGTCGTTAAAGTAACCATAGTGACAGTAACTGCTGACTATGATAAGTCTGTCTCAGGGGGCTTTCTTCTGCATTAACATTTTAAAAAGACAATAAAAGAGAAGCGTGCTGAACTCAAATAAAGGCCCAACCAAAACACAGCTCGTTCATATGAGCTTCTAGCTTACCCGCCTATTTTCTCCATCTGATGGTGTCTTTTATTTCCACTCGTTTCTGTGCAGGTATGCCACCATGTACACCATGTTCCCCGTGTTCTCGCTGGTTCTGGACCAAGATGTGAAGCCAGAGATGGCTCTTCTGTACCCAGAGCTTTATAAAGACCTCACCAAGGTACACTTTGTCTAGAATTTATTTTTACTATACTAAGTTTTTACAACCTTTAGGCAAGGAAAGTTTAACGCTTTAAATAAAATGCATAAAAATATGACATTAAAGGGGACATATTGTGAAAAATCCACTGCTACAGTGTTGTTTAACATATATTTGGGTAACCTGAGTGTCTACCGACCCACAAAATGTGAAATAAATCCTTTGATTGTGGTCTGCATAAGTATTACAACCAAGAGAAAAATGCTCTGTTTCAAATTTGCTCTCCTTGTGACGTCACAGTGGGATTCTGGTTTAAAAAAAAAAAAAAAAAAAAAAAAAATTCCCCCGATCGCTCTGTTCTCGATTTCGGACTAGAAATAAAGGCAACGAGTCCCAAAATGAAAAAATATGACCTAACAATGCAAGTTGTTAAAAGACGAGATTTGAGATTTGGCCGAATTAAGACTTTGTATAACAAAATACATAAAAATATCATCAAATTGTGGTTTTCTTTTGTGTGGTTAAAAACCTTTCGTCTGTGTGTTGGGCCTTCTCTGATTTAGTGGGCGGGTCTTACCAGGTGAAAACAGTGCGTAACATTTATTCATGTTTTCTATTTCAGGGACGCTCGTTGTCCTTTAAGACGTTCCTCATCTGGGTTTTGATCAGCGTGTATCAAGGTAAGGTGCTCCGACTCGTTCTTAAAGCTTATAATATAACACCAGTGTCTGTCAGATAAAAACGTTAGCTTCATTAAGATAATCTGTGTGACCTCATCATGACCATCTGTAACTAAAGACCCGTCTGGTGTTGTAAACTGTCACATCAAGACTTCAACCACCATTTCATCATTTCTGCTCCGTCTCATACCGGAGTCCCCGGGCCCCTTCAACCTCCCAGACACTCTGCTTCTCAGTAGCTTAAGTTTCCAGCCGCCATCCGCTTTTTACACGCAGGCTTTTGTCTGTCCAGTAAATCGATATTTCTGTAATCGCTAAGCCATGCAGCGTGTGAGAAAGATCTATGTTCCAGCTCGAGCGTGACTTCCTGACAGCTCCAGGGTTTTAATTAAAAGCCAAATCCAGGTCTGTGAGAAGAAACATGAAGACGTACATTAGGCAGCGATCTGGCTTAATTTATTACAGAGTGTGCCTCGCTGGAATGCGCTGTATGAAGACTGAATAAGAAGAAGCAATAATTTCATCAGTTAGCGGCTATCAAGCTCAATTAGTATGGTGTTATGATAAACTGGAAGATTATCAAGATAAAGGCGGCGCCCAAAGATGAGTGAGCGTCTGGGAGCTGAAAGATGAGAACACACTGAAGCTTATTGTGTGTCTTTCACCCTCATAAAGTTATTAAATTAGTGCTCATGTCCAGACAGTAAGAATGTGAACAAGTCAGACACAATCCCATTCTATTAAACAAATAAACTAAAACACTACTGTGATCCATCTGTCGCCACTAGGTGGCATCCTCATGTACGGAGCGCTGGTGCTGTTTGAGTCGGAGTTTGTGCACGTGGTCGCCATCTCCTTCACGGCGCTCATCCTGACCGAGCTGCTGATGGTGGCGCTCACCATCCGGACCTGGCACTGGCTCATGGTGGTCGCCGAGTTCTTCAGCCTGGGCTGCTACCTAGCATCGCTCGCCTTCCTCAACGAGTACTTTGGTGAGTAACCATTTATTTCTCCTGTAAGTTTTTTAAACTTCTAAACCTTAGAGGTAGAATATGCAGCTTTCAGAGAAGATGTCCAGTAGGTGTGGCGCTTCAGCAGCAGTCTCTCAGACAAAAAAAAAAACCCTCTTCTTTGGCTCCTCTGTCCCTCAGCACTCGCCTCCCCTCCTCCACCACCCCACTCTTAGTGTATCGACCGACTGCAGCCATTTGTTGGACAGATCTCTTTTCTGATATAAAACCCAAAGATGATTTTGTTATTCCTTTTTTCGAAGTATTTTGCACCAAACACGTTTTTTCCTTTGTTTGGAAAGTGTGTTGGTCCTCCTTCAGTTGTACTCTTGTGATGAAAATCCGCCGCTATGCCTCTACTAACAGTGTCCCTGACTCTGAGTGGGCGGGGCTGTCTCTCTTCACCCATGTGGTGGCAGGCTTAGCGGTTGGAGAGGGGCGGGTTTCAAGTAAAAAAAAGAAAACAGTTTAAAACACGTTTGAACCTCTGAGCGTTTGACTTTTTTTTTTTTTTAGAAAGTCCTCAACTATATATCAAGTAAGGTGTCTTTAATATCTGCTGTATTAATGATTAAAATGTTGCATATTATACCTTTTTTTTAAGAATGTGATGTAAATATGGGTTCAATAAACACATCGCTGAACATTTGCAATCTACAACTACCGTCATAAAACTACACAAGAGAGGATTTAGGTGAGGAAAAGTGGATGATGTTTTTGTTACTGCTTCTGATTGCTTAATTTGTCTGTTATAATTTGTGTCTGTACAATGTTGCAGGGAAGACATAATGCTGATTTTTGACCCCAAAGAACCGAAGAGGAATCATTCCAAATGTTATTATCCGTCCATCAACCAAATCTTAAACTAAAAGAACTTCCTGCAGCAGCAGAGCCAATTCCTACATTTGCATCCCTACACCAGCTGCTCACATTAAATGTGCTCGGAAACTGTTGCAGCTTGACCTTGATGTGCCATGTAGCCTCAACCTTTTGATCTGTTTGTTTGATTTTAGTCTTGAGTTGAATAGATGGAGACCAAAGTCTTCTTCACTTGCACCCGCTCCTCTGTGTTGATTTTAATGTAACACTACCCGACACCGACGTGTTGATACTGCACTAGTTCAGCCCTTTGAGTTCTGTGCTTTTATTGCTTCTCCTCTTTCTGTCCGTCTCTTAATTTTTTGCTTCTCTCTACCCCGCTAACCTTTTGTCCTTCACTGCCGCTTCCTTTTGCCGCTGTTTGTTGGCCGCCACAGGCATAGGCAGGGTGTCCTTAGGAGCTTTTCTTGGTAGGTGTGCAGCCTGTAAATTCACCTCCTCTTGTCTGTTTCTGTTAGTTTGTGATGTGTAACCTGTCTGCACTTCAGGTCTTTGTCACAGTGTGGTATTTGTGTCATTGCATCGTACGGTTTTAAGCTCATGATGTCACATTATTCATATTCTCCAAAATGTTTGAAACAGCCGATTTTGGACGCAGGTTCTCTGCTGTTCATGTCGCTTTAATCTCTCGTTACAAGCGACGTCATCTCTTGCACGACTTCTCTTGAATGCTCCCTCTCCTTTTTCAAATTCACTACCAGATTTGAAGACGTGTTCAGTGACGCTGTTTTTTTTTTTTCTCTCTCTCTCCTCTTTGCTCTCCCAGACTTGTCCTTCATCACGACTTGGCCTTTCCTGTGGAAGGTGTCGGCCATCACGTTGGTCAGCTGTCTTCCTCTCTACATAATCAAATACCTGAAGCGAAAGTTTTCACCGCCGAGCTACTCCAAACTCTCCTCGTGAGCTCGAACTTCGGATTACCTGGTTTGTTTTTTGTAGCTTCCTGCTTTCGCTGAGCTTTCGCGCTATTTGCAGCACTTTTTTTGTAACTCCTGACCCTCTGGGACGGCGGGGTCGAGGAAACACTGGAACAATCAAAAAAAAAAATAAAGGATGAAGAAAATGTAAAAACTAAAACCTTGGATTATGTCACACTGACACGTGGGATAACTTGAAAAAAACAGAGCACATAAAATAAGACTATAAAAGGATGCATTCAGTCGGACAGGTGGGGGGGGGGGAGATGGTGTCTGCACTTAGAAGGTCTGAATGAAACACTGGACCCCCCCACCCCCCGCTGTGAGGGGTCAATCTGCCTTCTCTGGTTTTAAACCGCTTCAAACGTCATTTTATACTCTTCTGATGCATTACTTTCGATGTTCAACTTTTTATATGTTGACTTTTTTTAAGTGTTATTTTTTATCCTGGGTATTAAGTACAGCTGCCGGCCTGCATCTTTGAACAGTGTTGAGTTGCTTTAAGGGGGAGGGATCCTATATTTTAATGTTTTCCTACGTTCCTGTAAATAAAGCCTTCACATGCAGCATTGATTCCCTCTGCTGTCAGAGTTAAATCAAGAGAAACACGCGTTACAATAAAAAAAACATGAACAATGGCGGTCGTGAAGAAAATGCTGGAACTCACTTCAAACTGACTTCCTTTTCCATTTGCTGCTCAAATTTCTATCCGTCACCTTAATCGTATAAAACCAGCACTCCATAGCGACGTCACACGCAGCATCGTCGGCCTTCATCACTCTGCATACTTTTAAGAAGTCTGTGTCTGTGGCCAGCAGTCCTCCACATCAGGACCGCGGCGGCTCAGTTTGTGCCTCATCATGATGTTTATTTGAAATGTGCTGAAGCTGCATCGTCACAACATCGTTTGTTCAACAATCAGAGGTTTCTGTGAGCGTTTTGTTTTTGTCACGTCCTCGGCCAGGTGTGGATGTCTTGGCTCTTGAATCCTGCTGCTTTCTCTCCCCTGATTTCTCTGATGGTAAGAGTACTTTAAGAGTCACAAGAAGAAGGACCCTGATGTGTATTTTTAGGTCTTTATTGACTGTATGACTCCCCTGGGCCTCCCTGTGACTCATGGCGTGGAGCAGACGTTGACAGATCTTTTCCTTTAAAGGAGGAATGAGTTTTATCATTCACTCCGTGCACTGTGAGTGTTGAGTCTGTTTTAAGCACAGTGACGAGAGGAAGGTAAAGTGATCTTTAAAGTGGCTAATGAAGGAAACAGTTTAAGACGTGTTTTTTTTCGTTTCTTTTTTTTAGTCGGGTCACCGTTTATTTCGCTGAATCATAATTGAGTTGAACTCAGGTGAATGAATCATTCCTAAACACAGCTGTGTTGTTTAGTTACACATTGGGACCAGAGCTGTAAAATGTAGCTACACAATCAGAGAGCTGAAAATAGGTGGAGGTAATGATTTGGGACTTTAGGGTTCAAATGTTCTGATGCAGAGAAATTCCAAATGTTGATTCCTGTGTTTAGCGTCGGGATCTTTGTTCTGTGTGTGTTTGATGTCGTTTCAACTTTTCCTTTCTGTGAACTTTGCTTTCCGTGTCCCACACTGCGATTTCTAACAATGTCTGTTATTTATAATATTGTTATTGTTTGATGAATAATAAAAGGAACCTCAGATGCCATTGACTTACTTTGTCTCGTACTACCACTCTACACTTATATCAGTCTGTCTTCATGTTTTTTATTTATCATGTAGTTTATTATTTGGCCACTAGGTGGAGCCAGACACCAAACTTCTTGTCAAGAGAAGTTTCATGTATTTATTTAGGATCCCCACAATCTATGGGACCAACAACTATTCTTCCTGCGTTTGCTATAATAAAAAAAATAAGTCAAAACATTTAAAAAAGTAGAAACAAGTAAAACAATCAAAAACGTGGTGGTGCGCCCGCCCCGTGTGTGTAGGCTGTGGTCCTTCGGGTGGGCGGCCCGGGTTCATGTCCGGCCTGTGGCTCCTTTCCCACATGTCTACCAGACTCTCTCTCTCCCTTCCTGATTTCCGGCTCTGTCCACTGTCCTATCTCTAAATAAAGGCACAAAAATCCCAAAAATAAATCTTAAAAAAAAAAAAAAAAAGCTGTCCCAAACTGTCCCCAGCAATCGATGGTTAAAACAGAAGTTCACTTAGATTAGATTAGAAAACGGTATTAATCCCCAGAGAAGAAACTCAACGACCACTCTGTCAATATTCACACAACAAACAATATAGACTATACACAGAAAGTAAATAAACAACAAACACCATTGAGACCATTTCAGAAATCATTTACAGCCATGAGGAAAAGTCAGAACTAAGTGCAAGTTTCTGCAGTTTTTTCGAGTGTCTGCTGAAGTCACATACACACCCATTAAAAAAGCTTGTTTTTACTGCTGAAATTAAAACGTTTACATACATACAAAAAACAATATCAGTGATTAGCTCATGTCTCAGTCAGCTCACTGTACGGGAGGGGATTTCTGCGATAACTCGTTTATTTTGATTTTGTGAAGGATACAGTTATTCACCTGATTGACAGACGGGCGCCTGTTTGTCAAGAGGCTTAAAACCCGCCTCAGCTCTCAGCCTCTCGTTAGGATGAGACAGGATTTCCAGCATGGCGGCCGCCGTTGATGGGACTCCAAAGCGCCCTGCAGTAACTGATAGGTGACGTCAATCAGGCTTCACACATTCATATTTACAGTCTACGTTCTGAACACAACAGAACTTACTTTCATGGGAAAAATAAACACTTGCCCACCAAAAGGCCGTCTAAATCTTCCACAAACGATGATTTAAAACATGTGCTGAAGCAGATTTTAAATATTCTATTTCCTTTATGTAAGGAGAGCTAAATATATGAAACTGTTTTGAAACATGTATTTAGCACTGATTGTGCTTTCACATGAGCACACTGCAGGAGAAACTGGAGCGCATACAGCGAAGAAAGATGAGTTCTGCTGTGTAATCAAAGGCAGTTCTTGCAGACAGAGAATGTGTTATCAATTTGTCCTGAAGAGGAGGAAGTAGTCTGAGGAGGAGGGCGACGCAGTGATGGATGTGATGGTCTGATGGCTTTTACATGTTAAGAACTTTCATCCGCTGGTTTTCACTTTAAAGCTGCATGGAGGGGGGACCCCCTGTTTCAACAGACATCATGTTGAACTGTCCCTGCAGTGTGTTTGCGGCTTGTTTTCCAAACCAGCTGCCCGTAATGTGCTGCATGAGGAGCTGTGATGGAGCGGCTAATGTTCATATGACTAATGATTTATAGCCCGGACGTAGAACAGGCCGTCTTTGTTGGACTCCTCTTCTTTTATGTCTATTAATTTAATTGATGGTGACTTGATGAAACAGTGGAGGCTCTGAGTCTTCTCCGTGTGTAATACAAAATATATTAAGAGAAAACCAGATGATTAGAATTAATGGACTCTCTTATTGATTCACTTTCAAGTGGTTTAAAGAATACTTTAGCCAAGCCTATAAAAAAAAAAAATCTTTGTTAAATGTTACATTAGTGAGGCCTGAAGTTGCTCACGATAGATAAGAAAAGATAAAGTGTATCGATCCCACATTTGGAGAAAGTAATTTCTTCCAGCAGCTAAAAAAGCATCGGCGATTCTAGAGTCTGTGTCCGGCCCTCCAACCAGCGTGCATCACCTTTATCTTATTAATAATAGAGACCATCATCAGCGTTTGTTTGTAAATGGACTTGAGCTTGTATCACGTTTTTCAAGTCTTCTGACTAGAAAACACCGCAGGTCACACCTACACATTCACACACTGATGATCTGCTGTGTAAAGTGTCCATCAGAAGTAACTAATCGCATTCATACACCGCCGACGAAGCAGCAGGAGCAACTTGGGGTGAAGTGTCTTGCCCAAGGACACATCGGACATGTAGCTGCAGGAGCCCTCGACCTTCAGGTTGAGAGACGACAGACTTATTTAGATCCCCATTAGCTTTTTTGTATAGCAGCAGCAGCAGCTACTCTTCCTGGGGTCAACATGATCTCCAAAAGAACAAAATACACAAAACATCGCAGCACAAACAACAACAATACAGCAACTTAATGACAACACCAAAACAACATTATTATTTTGGACTCTGTTTTCTTTTGCCTGCATGGTATGAGAAAAAATCTGATACACAATTTGAGATTATCTTATGAAGTGCAATAAATAAATAAATGTTGAAGAATCCATATTAGCTAAAGCTGTTTGCAAGAAAAAGCTTTTTTTTTAGCACTAAATTTGCACAAACAAACTTTAGGGTGGCTGAAGGTTAGCTTGAGTTTCATCTCACACATGCTGGGTGTGAAAGCATCGCTTGCTTATATAAAATACTTTTCATGATTGCCATAAACTAACTTTTACGAGGTGTTTATTGAGAATGCTTATATTGTGATAACGATCACATTTTGATTTGTTGTGCAGCCCGAGCACTCAGGCACTTCAGCGTCCTCTGAATAAAGTTTCTTGAGACAATGGAGAACTAGACGCAGAAACTAAAGCAGTGATCGTGAAGGTCTGTGTTTAGTTATCCTGCTGGCACTTGTTTTTAATCAGTTTAATCTCATCCTTGTTTCCTTCTTTTCCATTGGATCTTCTCATATTTAACACGTTTGTTTCACCTGTAGGCATTTAGCTACAACGTCTTTGCTGGTTTGGCTGTAGTAACAAGTCAAACATTATACACACAAGTGAGTTGGAGAGCTGGTCTCAGCGTCTCTGGTGGGCCAACGACTGCTGGGTGATTGGAAACACGTGATTCATAGAGAGCAGTGTGTGATTTCTCCCCATAATGTCGCCACAAACACCCAACCTCCTTAACGCTGAAAATGCATAAACGCTTTCAACTGTGGGCCAAAAGCTCAAACTAACTGAGAAGCTTTTGATTCCAGTCTAAACTCCTCGAGATAATGACTTTAAAGATTATATTTTATCACTTTTCTTTTAGCAGAAGAAGCCAACATTGTGTTTATTCATGCTCCAGACTGAGATTTAAAGTCAGTCATAACCAACGCTCTGATATCTGAGCGCTGTTTGTTTTTGTCTCTCCTTACAGCACTTTGACAGTCAAATGTGTTTACATACATCGAGAGTGCACACTTTATGTAAAACCTCCGCAGACCTTCACTGCACCGCACACCGCTCTGAGCTTTTAGCCGTCTGCAGGAGAAGCTGCTGCATGAGCTGCTCGCTCAGATTGGACTCTGAAGTGTGGAGCTGCTGCAGAGACAAAATGAAAGTTAGCAAACTAACTTTCACATCAGATAGTCAGCTGTATAAAAAAAAACTGTATAGACTTTATTCTAAGCCCTGAAAGATGATGTGCCTCTTTAAAAAGCACTTCTTGTCTAAACTCAATTTGAGCCGTGAGTGCACGCAACACTTATGCTGCAGAAATCTCAGATGCATGGAACATTAAGCGTCAAATAAGTGTTTTTTCGTTTTTCAATATTGCTGCTTTTTATACGCAGGAGTAAGACCTGCCATTATGCCATTATGCTATCTTGTTACCCAGCAGCTAAGTGGCTTATGTAGTCTTATTCCATGTGACTGAGCTTGTTATAAAATTCCACAGCTCCCAGTTTAAAGACAGAAACAACAACCATCAGAGGTAAAGTTACAGGGATGATGTTCCCTCGCTGGCTGGAGTTAAGATGTCTTGGAAAAGACGAGGCCGTCTCTCATCCAAAGGGTCCAGTTGGTAAAAATGTTTCCAACTTCTTTAATATACTTAAACAGTATATATTCACATTTCAATATCAGCAAGGCTTCTTACAAACTATGAGTACTCTTGACAACATTTAAACCTTGTATTCTTTTGTCGTGTTGAATTTAAGAGCAGAGTGACTGTTAGTGAGGTGAAGTCTGTTGTTGAGTAGGGCGTTCCTGAAAATGACAAAATCACTCTGATGATTTTTACTTTTCACAGCTCAGATCTGTGCAGCGGATTGTTGTCTATACCTAATTACAAACAGACTCTTTGAAGGCCACATCCTACTTAAAAAAAACTAAAAAAAAGTCTCAGAGTGCCCCAAAACATGTGTGAAGTTTCTTATTCTAAATCCACTCTGATCCTGTATTTGATCATGTCTATTAACCCCTCTATTTCAGCCGTGCTCAGAACAGGCTGTTTCTGTGTTGTAGCTTTAAATGTAAATGAGCTGTGTTGACCACGCCCCCTCTCTGGAAGGACTTGGGTGGCTCGGTGCTTTCTCGCTCCATGCCCTATTGTTTACGGTGAGAAGGCAGACTCAGAGGGCAGAACAAACACCTAGCTGTGGGAGTGTCACCCACCTGGGGGAGGGGCTACTGCCCTTTGTGATGTCATGAAGGGAAAATCTCCAAACGGCCTGTTTGAGCACACATTTTCTGAAAAGTTGAACAGGTTAAAGACAGAGAGGATGGACTTTTCTCATCATTGGGGGTTTGTAGACGGACTAGAGACACATATTAGAGTTAGAAAAACATGGTGAAGTGTTTACTGCATATGTGACCTTTAACTACCAACAATGATAACTTTATCCCATGCTATTTTGTCCCTTTAGGTGCACCGTGGGACCTCTGCAGTGTCTCCCTGTAGTCACACTGCTGTGTCACCACATCAGAAATCCTCATCAGTGTAAATATGCAGGCTGCAGGAAGGTTTTTTTGTCCTGACAAAAGCATATTTCTGTTCATGCACTTGATTAGTCGTTCCATTATTTGGTCAGATTCACAATGAATATAGTGAGGAAACATGTTGAAAGGTGAAATTAATACGTTTTTCACTTTACTCTGAGGGGTTCTGTTAAAACCAGCAAAACAAACTTTAAACAAACTGTGTTGGTTCAAACTTCCTCATGTCTTCAGATGGTTCACAGATTGATCTTTGTGTACCACAGCAACAAACTGGTCTATGGCAACCACCCTCCTCTGTTGTTACACTCGCTCCAGGCTTGACTTATGCCAGACGACCTCTGACACATGGAGTCTGAGCAGCCTGACCAACAGCTGAGAGAGAGAGAGTAAAAGAGCGGAGAGCCTCTGGGTGCTGACGCTCAGTGTTGTGCTCCAGCTTTAGAAAACTGAACCTCCCAGCCTCCTCCTGCAAACTCCTCCCTCTGCTGTTACCGAGCAACGGGCCTTCACAACAGGAAACAGAGCAGGGGATTCCGTCAGAGCGGCCGAGAAAAAAGGAGAACATTGACGGGAGACAGGAAGTCTGACTGTAAGGGCGAGCAGGGAGGGTGGAGCGGTGTGTGATGCTGTGAGGGGGTCAACAGTCGTCTTACCGGCTGAATTGCAACAACAGATCCTCAAAACAGGCAATTTAAAAGGTGAAAAAGACAGATATGTTACTTAAACTGACTGTGACGTTCAAACAGGGTTTATCAATACCACAGACACTATAAAGATATGACCAGAACTCTGCTCAAGAAGAAGTACAAAAAAGCAGCTGTTAAAGACAAGGACTGGTTAAAAATATTAAATTCATCAACCCCTCTGTCTCTGTCAGAGTGTATATAACATGGACAGAGTCTCAGTGACGTCGCCCATTGGTTCTGAAAAACTGTTTTGAAGCCTGACAATGACGGACCCCATGTTTGAAACACTGTCTCCACCTAACTTGTGATAAGTGTTTGGACTGACGCGTTACTGTAATGTCTAAAAGCAGTTACTATAACATATCTATTCAGGGGCGAGTCTATAGTCTGTTGGGGTCTTGGGCAAAAATCAATTGGGGGCCCTCCAACCCGCGACCTCCAACCTGCGACCTCCAACCTGCAACCTCCAACCAGCAACCTCCAACCAGTGTTCAGCAGGGCAACGAGACTGATTGCTGTCAAATGGGGCCCCCTTAGGGAGGCTTCCTACCGTCAATTAAAAATTTGCACATTTTCGACCGCTGCTTTGGGGCCCCCTAATGTTAGTTATTTCCAGATTCAATGACACCCTTACAATTACTGACATTTAACAGCATGTGTTACTCGTTACTTTTATGTGAAACAGCCGACGACAACACAAGATTCCGGTGGTTTTTGACATCGTTTCTGCGGGCGAGGTTATGCTAACGTCTGAGCAGTAGCATCCTGGGAGAAAGAACGTTGCACGCTGTAAAGAAACGCAGACAAGTGATCATTCAGCCGTGAGCTTTCTGTCTTTGAAATACAGAAATTGATTTCCTCTGCTCGAGTTAAAAGAAGAATGTAGCAGTGAGTTGTCGTCTATGTGAAGCAAAGGAATAGTAGTTTGGTAAATTTGCATTTGTAGTCAGAGTAATATTTGTAGTCCACTAGCGTTACTGCAGGCGGCAGGAAAAGCATTTGTGTGAAGAGCAAAAGAGACGGACATCCTCACTAATGCAATCACAAAACTGTTTTGGCTTTATACTGATCTCTATAAACACACATATTTGATTTATGCAGCAAAAAAAAATCAGTTTTAGACATCGCCTCCAGAAACAGTATTTTTCATCACAACTCTGCTAGATGCAACATTTCTGCCGATGAAAACTCAACACTTCAGATCCCAATCAGTGAAAAGAGGCAGCATCCTTCATGTCTGTTCCAGCCTAACCAAATGTATTTGTTTAATCTCAGCTCTCACTATCGTAATTCTGATGTCTTGTGTTTCTAAAGGTCACGCTGCGCAGCTCAAAAAGTTTGTTTTATAGATGTTTCGCTTGCCAGTAAAGGTTGATTGCTTCACGTCTCCTGTAGCCAGATTTCTGGTCACAGTCCTGACTCAACTTGTGGCCACAGAGACTCTTTTTTTATGTGTTATTATTCTTCATCAAGAAACACTTTATAAAATAGCGGTTCAGAGTGCACATATGGTTAGAGGGGTGTGTGAGCAGACACAGAAACACAAAGAGCTACAGTAATATCGTTTTTTTTAATTTTTTTTTTCAGTTTCCTTCCAATCCATTTTTCCAAAACAAACAGGTGATTCAGCAGTGGGAAAGGCAGCGTTTTGGGCCCGCTTGTTTCTCAGTTTATGAATAACTTAAAACGCGGTCCAATGTTCCTTCGTGTTTTTGTTCAGACACAAATAAATCCAGACGCTGGATTTTGAGGGTTAGAAATGTGGAAAGAAAAGCGAGTTGAGGTCTTTTCCACCTCGCTGCGGCCAAACCACGTCATACCGAGCAGAGTATTCACCAGATTTGGCGCTGGTCACATACGGGATGGTAGACCTGAAAGAAAAAAAAATATGTGTGGGTTTTTTTTTTTTTAAAAGTGAGAGCAACCCCCTAAATCTGATGTCCAATCATGACCACTCCTAGACTTCTAAAATGATGATGTTCAAGACAATAACAAGGGAACGCTGGGCAACTCTCCAGGCAGCGAGGATCCCAGAGAGACGGGGGGGGTCAGGAATTAATTTCCAGGACACAAGATGATCTACAGCCGGACTAAATTAAGCACTCTGATTGTGCCACTCAAAAGATTGCAACATCTGAATGCAGTGTATGTTGCTTTGTGTTTGTGCTGTTGTAAACTCTCAGCATGAAAAACTCCCTCGACCATTTTCAATGAAGGGACTGAAACCTTCCTTTTGTCAGGATGCGACATCTTTGTAACGGCAAAAAAACACATTTTCACATGTAAACCATCTAAAATCGCTTAACTTAATAGAAGCACATTGGCGATCACGATGAGCTAAAAAAGTGTGCCGTGGGGTTTTGTTAACTTGTTTCCTGGGAACGGGATGTTCCTATTGGATTAAAGGAACAGCAACGAGCCAGTTTCCCTGTGTAACAGTAATGAAGGAGAAAGTCAGTCTTTGTTTGGCTTTTCAAATAGCTTTTAAGGTTAAACTCATTACTTTGCTTCACTGATGATAACGTCTTCTCTAGGGGCATGTCAGCACATTGTGACATCACTGATGGACATGGTTACAAACACACTTTAAAGCAGTGAAACACGGCTTTTATGGCCTGGTTTGAACCTCATGATATCTTTAGAAATTTAATTATTTGATTGACAAACATTTTTAAAGGTGCTCTTGCAGCTTGCTGGCTAACTGTATATTTACACTAAAAGGGCCTTTTGCACCGACAGCGACCACAGCCTCCTTCTGACCAGCGCTCGTTGTTGCTAGGTTACGAAAGTTAACCTTCTGTTTCCCTCAGTAATGCCTCCTAGGTGTGTTTTAGATCGCTTAGTGTGCTTCATATTTGCTTTACCTCAAGGAACTATCACCAAAAAAAAACATGAAAACAATGTAAAGGAGTCATGTCCTGACATTAGCAGCAACTCTACACCCGGAAATTAGCGTCTCCTCCGCCATTGTTGTTGACAAAGCTGATGTTAAAAGTCCCGCCCCTTCTTGATCTTGATTGGTGGAGGCAGTGTGAGCTGATGTGTGGGAAATATTCGAACTACAGGTTGCATAGACATGAAGGCAAAAGGGATTATCACAGTGTCGGACTCTGTTTCTTCATCCAGCACTTCTGCATCGTTCTTTTTACATGATGTTTTGCCTCTTCAGATCCCCGCCCCACTCTTCTCCGACAGGGTTAATCTCCCGCTGTGAGGAGCATGTGTCAACAGGATAACTCAGGTAGAATACAGGGGAAGTCTGCACATTATATTTCAGGGGAGCATTTGCCAAAAAATTGCTCGTCTGATCTGTGACTTTATCTCTACATCTCCAATGAAACTTAAAAAACGACTTCAGTTTTAAATAAACTCAGAGTTTTGAGTTTCTGGCTCGAGCAGTCTTGAGCAGCTTGTTGATATCAAAGCGAGTCTATGTGCTCACTCTGCTCTGTCTACATTATCAACTCAGGATGCCGGTGTTGTTTCTCATTATCTGCTGTGCTCTTCCTTCACTTCACTGGCTCTCGCTCTATCCGGTCCGTGGCCGGCCTGTTGCTAAGGTGTCCGCTAACCAACAGCAGGCCCCGTCTGGCAAAAACTACGAGTCCCAGCACTGGCCTGACGTAGAGCGGTCCACGAGTCAATCAGCAGCAGAGCTATTTATTAACTGCAGACGGGTGGAAGTGTTTACTGCAGCACATGTTTCAGTTACATGTAACTTTGGAGTGGCAACACCGCCCCCCCTCTCTCTCTCTCTCAGTCCCATGAGAGCTTTCCATGAGGTCAAAGAAAGTAGCGGGGTTCTTCAAATGATTGGAGCGCCGCAGAGCCACGTCCCCATGATGAAACGGACGGCTAGGGTTTCACAAGTGCCGTCACTCCCTCGCATACTCGGCAGGAGAGCACGCTCTGCCAAAATAACGGCCCAACGGGCGAGGAGGGAATATTACTTTGGATTCAGGGGGCATGCATACCATCTTGTTGCACAAAAAGAGTTGATTACTAAAACAGTTCCTCTGCAACCAACCAATCACTGATATCTAAGAGAGGGGAGGGGAAGATATCTTTGTGCAGTTTGATACTTAAAGGGAACAGAGAGGAGTTATTTCCTCGATGCAGGGATTAGAAAGACGCACACTCCAAAAGATTTCATGCAAGAAAACTTATGAAAAGAGATCTTTTTCTAAGTTCGATTATTTGGGCCATTTTTGCTTTTATTGGATAAGACAGCTGAAGAGAGGCAGGAAATGTTGGGAAGAGAGAGAGGCGTGACATGCAGCAAATGGCTGAGGTTAGGTTTAAACCCACAGACGCTGTGGCGAGGATTAGACGACAAACCAAATGTCCAAGCCACAGCGTAAGTTTTGATATGAACGTTTATTCATTTATTTCAAGTCCATGATCAGGATACCAATTATCAACAAACAAGAATCTGTTTAATCCAATACAAACCCAACAAACATAAAACAGATAAACTCAAACCTGACTCACTGTCAGAGCTCGGCTCACCTGCTCTGCACTTTTCCACTTTGCCTGCCGGCCACGCCCGCCTCATCAAGCTCAGCTCAGCTCACCTGTGCACACAGCTGCTCGTCATCAGTGATCATAAGGCAGTGTTTAAGCCTCTCCTGCTCACTCAAAGTTTGCCAGATCATTCTTTGTCATTGACGCAGGCCTTTCCAGCACTCCTCTTTGGACTGATTCCCTGTTGGTGACCCTTCCTGCTTTTTATGTAATGGTGGAAATTACATCAGCCCTCTGTCCCTGACCACCAGTTCTGCCTCTGTACCCTTGTTTCAGTCGACTTCTCCCCTTGGCTTCTTGGTGTATGACAGCGTTTCAGAAAGACTTTTCCTGTTTTTTACCCGTCGACTTCTTTGACTTACCTGCAGCCTCCCTGACCCCTCAGCCTGCTTCTGTCTCGCGTCATGCTTTCCCCTCTCAGAACTGTTTGTTCATGATTACTTATCTGGCTCTGGACATGCTGCTAAGCGGACCACATCACCTGCTTGTCCCCCTACAGAACTGGACCCCCTCTAGTAGGAGACTTTCAGGGTGTGAAAAATCAGAGTTCAAGTGGGGGGCCTGACCCTGGCCACATGAGCAGTGTGGTTCCAGGAATTTCTCTCAGTCGGTTGGACAGCGTCTTTGATTTCACGACGTTTCCATCGGTCTCAAACTGATTCCTACTGGAGGCAACCTAGACGTCAGAACTCTGTAATTTCAGTTTTTCAGCAGGCAGGCACAGCTAAGTGTTGCTTGTTTGAAAAAGAAGTAAACACAAGTGTAGTGCACCCGGGTGTCCAGAGCTCCAAGGAAAACTGGCTAAATCTTTGAAGTGCTTCTGCAGAAATCTTCTTGTTTAAACCACGTTGACCTTTTAACATGTATCAGAAATACTGAAAGTGCACGCCGTTGTTCCAATTTGCTGCGTCTTGGAAATGACAGAAAATCCTGAAAACTAAACTAAACAAAACTATCTCACTAGGAAAAATATTTCGCGAAACAATGGTATTCATTAGGGGCTCAAATTACAAGACAAGAAGAACTAATGACCTCTAAATAAAGACAATGCTAAACATACCCAGGCTGAGATTAGTGTTTGCATGACATTCCAGCCCCACTTAGGATCACACCAAACCGGGCCAGCTGATAAGATTCTGTTGAACAGTAAAGCATCTCCGCACCTCGAGGGACAGGCGGCCTCTCACAGAGCCGCCATGTGACCGATTGTCATCACACAAACCACAGGTCCACTGCCAGCCGCCGAGAGCTCCAGACCTGCCAAAGATAGCAACAAGCCAGCCTGCATGGGACTATGAGCGCTGCTGCAGAGAGAGGACGAATAAGTATACACCGACCGCAGAGAGAGCGGCCCTCTGTGAAGACTCTCAGTTCAGCGTGTCAAATGACGGGGTATGATTTTTTTTTTATATAGTGCTCCTATGAAAGTATGGATAATTATGTGTTTTGTGCCCCGCAGACGTGCAGTCTGTCAGGAGGAAGTGGAAAGCAATTATTTGCCTTTTGCAATAACTTGGAAACCCCACGAGACGCCCTGTGTAACATCTAGGGGAAGTTTGATGTTTTAATACGTCTGATGAAGCAGCTTCATATCCATCAACTCACCTGTCAGTGTCTCTGCTTTTCTTCTCCAGCTGCAATCACGCGACTCCAGCCCGCCTTTAACCCAACATCCGTCTGCTGCCTTGAACCGTTGATGAATGGCTCCATCAGGGTGAACATGGCAGCAGTTTAATGTGAAATGCTTGTGAGGATTAAGCTGCACATAAATCTTGATTAAGGAGACTCCATGTGCCGCGTCGTGAGGCAGCACATTGATGACTGCTCTGATGATGATGATGATGATGATGATGATGCTAATGGGAGCAGATACTGTAGATAAAGTGGGTGGAAACTGTATATTCAAGTTGTTAGTGCTCATTAAGTGTGGATCATTGGTGCATGTTGAGTTTCTGTTACGAAGCTTCATGAAACATCTGTCGACCAGAAGTTTAAGTTTAGAGGGTAAAATCATTGAATGTGACTTTACACTGTATCTTATGTTGTTTTTAACTCTACATTTAACCTGTGAGTGTGAGTGTGTGTGTGGCTGGTTGTCTGTCTCTATATGTCAGCCCTCTGATTGACTGGCGACCCGTCCAGGGTGTAACCCCGCCTCTCGCCCAATGACAGCTGGGATCAGCTCCAGCCTCCTAACAACCACCAACGGGAACATCCGAATAGTTAATGGCTGAAATGTTGTTTTTCTGATTCAGTCGTCCTGACTGTGTTCTTAGTGGTGACTTTGTCTCTTACAGTTGATGGGATGGAGATGTGAGGATTATGATTTTAGACTGTATGAAACATGGACGTAGTCTCAGCGACGTCACCCGTTGGTTACTGAAAGGGAGCCTAATTGTAACCCAGGTTAATTATGGGTCTAGATTTAGCAATCTATTTTTTTTTTCTGTGCAAGAGGAGTGACCTCTGTGAACCTCCATAAATTATGATACATTTTTGTTGTTTTTTATGCATTAACTTCCCTATTTTTTTCTTTTAACATTCCACAATCTCACCTGAACTCTGCTAAAATCCATCATCCAATTAGAGCTCAACCCACTAATCAAAAACATCCGATTCACGAGGTCACTTCCTCTCATCTCCTCCAACTCGCGCTCACACAGCAGAGTGAAAAATTGTTTGATTGAGGTGGGCAAATTGAAAATGCCGACTCAAATATTTAGTGAAATGTATCAGCGTCACATTTGGCATTTACAGAACTGCAGTTTATTGCAGAAGTCGCCCCTCGGTGAGGATTGACAATCTTATTATGCAAGACAAAGTTCTTTAAAAACGGACTTATGAGTGTTGTCTTATCTGAAAAAGGTTTATTCATCTACTTCCTTTGACTATATCCTAAAGAAAAATTCTAAAAACAAAGACAGGTTGTGTTTAGCCTTCCCCAAGGACACCTGGAAGAAACATGAGTTTCACTTAGCTTGTTTGTTTTTACATGAGTCGACTGTTGTTGTCAGCTGAATAGAGGCTTTTATTTTACAAAATAAAAAAGAAATAATATTCAAACCTGTTGTGAATTTCTGTTCCCCATGCACCTTCATCACACTTTGTTTGAACTTTCAAGCACAGTCTGTCTTTCACATCTATAATGTTTATTCCAATTCTCATCTCTTTACAGTGTTTCTCTTTACTTATTCCATTGAGAAGGATGTTCAGCCTCCCTCAGATTTTGCTGGATTATCTCTGACACACACTACAGAGGTTTGCCTCTTTTCTCTCCTGTGGTTTATTCTCCCCACCTTAGGAGCCTTAGGGTTTCACAGCCAGCTCTGCTAATTGGCCCTCCTATGCCTGTGGAAACCCCAGTGAGAGAGAGGGATCTCCATTGGACCCGTCTGGCGGTAGATGCGTCACAGTGTGGAGGGCGGTGCGCCGCCGCCGCCGAGGTGATCCCCCAGTTTAAAAGCGCAGAGATCCTCAGTGCGCCGGAGCAGTGCGTCACAGCGACCCAGCAGAGTCCGTGTCCCCCGACACAGAGTCCAGGATCTAAAAAACAGCTTCGAAAAAAGCTTTTGAAGTGAATACGCCTGCATTTTTATCATCTTACCCTACATGATTTAACATTTTATCGCATGACTCTCAGATCTTTTCGTTTCGGATGCGACTTTTTCCCCTTTTGAAGTAGCAACAGCTGTTTTCTTTACTTTGTCATTGCTCATTCGCGTTGTTTGTTTACGGCGATACAACGGCAGAGGATCCGGAGCAGCAGCAGCAGCAGCTGGGGACTATATTAAATCCGCTTTATGGATACGGAATCGCTGCCGTCTGCAGCTGTTCCCAGAGTTTGATCTCAGACGTTGATCTCTGCGCGAAGAAGAAGAAGATGAAATCTGCTGAGGAGGGTGAGTTTAACTTTAAACTTGTGACAGTTTGCTTTCCGTCTTGTGACATTTATTTTCGTTGCACTCTTGTTTGACACTCTGCACCCGGATGTGATACAAAACCTGGTGTTTATTCAATTGCACTTAACGCCCAGTTAACCAGTGCAACAGCATTAAAGAAGCGAGCCCCTCCTTGCTGATTTGGGCAAGGTGGGCGTGGCTCCTGAGAGCCTCTCATGACTTAAAAGTGTTCCCAAAATAGTCTGAGTAGAATCTATGCTAATGACTGACTTGGCATTGTGGGTAACGGTGTGGTGAGTATGTGATGGCGGAGCCCCTCAGGGTACCTGTCAGGATGTTAACTAATTCACAACAGTCTAATAATAGAAAACAAACGTGTCAGTGCTGCTGTGTCACACACCACAAACAGCATTAAATGCAAGCATCATTTTCTTTTATTACAAGGAGTCGTATGGTGCAGCGCTGATGTCATAGTCTTTATGGTGGGGCCCCTAATTCTGGTTAATTTACAGCAGACAGGAGCTGCAGTGACTGCATCCGTCTGTCTGCAGAAGCCGCCTCATGTCTGTATCAATGCGCTCCACTGTGGTCGCATGCATCCTGTAACCACAACTCCTTTTCCCCATGTTGCCCCCTCCTCTGCCACTGGCTGTGACCTCAGACAAGCAAGAGTTTCATGTGACCCAGCGTTTGGCACAGGGCCATGAGCTTCCCCGAGCTGGGTACAGTGTGCACCTTTACTGCATGCAAATAAACGAATCGCGTCCCTCCTGTGTTTATTTTTCAATGGCTGTTGGAACATGAAACTCGCCAACAAAAACATCAGTGTGTGTTTTTTTAATCTTACCGTTTATGAGCTGCAGCGTGCGCATTAAGTGGCATACATTTTGAGTGGAAAATCAAACCACCTGGACTCGCCATGGGTTATTTTTAGAATGGAGATATTTTTTTATGTCTCCCACCTTTGCTTTGTGTAATTTCAACCATTTGGAGATATTGTCATTGAGTTGCTTCAGTGCGGATCCCCATTGAATAAGGCGTTGAGTTTTGACTTGCATGCCTTTTCAGAAGGAGAAAGTCAATAAAGTTGTAGCTAATGATCGATTTCATCATCAATTAATCTGCAGTTCCTTTTGATTATTTGATTCTTGGATCACCAAATTATAATTAAATGTTGAATAAAAAAAACCACCCAATCAAATCATTGACAATGCGTTTGCTCAACTAATTATTCGACTAATTGCTGCTTTAGAGGACCGGGCCAAATCTGGTAGGCTCTCTCTCCATTATAGGCAACAGCTCTCCTAAGAGTAAAGTGTCTCCCTCTCAGTAAAGAAGACTTTCATGGTAATGAACTTGATCTGTTTGCGTTCCAGATGCATATGGCTACACGCCAAATGTCAGCATCTCCCTCCCACTGGGCAACCCTTGTCTTCCCTCCCAGTACCACAGCCTCCAAACCAGCCCGGTCATATCCGTCTCCGAGCCTCACAGTTACGACAGCCAGGACGACATGAGAGCAGCGGGATACTTTTCAACCTCGAGTGTCCGTCCAAATGGAGCCCCGACCCTGGAGAGCCCTCGAATCGAGATCACAGCCTACGGCCAATTTCCTGAGGATGAAGTCGAGGAGAGCAGCCTTCCTGTTGCCAAGCGGGTCAACTCCATCGTGACGCTGACCCTCCCCAGTGCCGACGGTTACCGAGACCCCAGCTGCCTCAGTCCAGCCAGCAGCATTTCGTCTCGCAGCTGCCACTCCGATGCCTCTTATGAATCGAGCTTCTCCTACAACTACGACAACTCGCCCCAGAACTCGCCCTGGCAGTCACCGTCTGTGTCCCCAAAGGGCTCCACCCTCGCCCTACCGGGTGACGGCTGCACATCTGCCGGCTCCCCTCGCCACTCCCCCTCCACATCCCCTCGCACAAGCGTTACAGATGACACCTGGTTGGGCCAGCGAGGCTCGAGGCCCAATTCCCCCTGTGGTGCAAAGAGGAAGTACAGCTATAATGGCAGCGGGGTATCGCAAAAGCACTACCCGTACTCGCCCAACCACTCGCCGGGACTGTCCCCGCATACCTCCCCTCGCCTCAGCATCACAGAGGAGAGCTGGCTGCCAAATACCAACCAGTACACCAACTCGGCCATCCTGGCAGCCATCAACGCCCTGACCACGGACGGAGTGGTCGACCTCGGGGAGGGCATCCCTATTAAGGCCCGGAAAACCAGCATGGAGAACATCCCAACGGTCAATCTGAAGGTTGAGCCAGGGGGTGAGGAGATGAGTCCAGGGGAGCTCTGTCTGGATGACCACTCCTCACACCGCCTGCCTTTAAAGAAGGAAGGCTTCTGCAGCGGGTTTCTGGATGTACCACAACACCCGTACACCTGGTCCAAGCCAAAGCAATATGTCAGGTAAGCAAGGACATACAGCTAAAGATTTGAGCTCTGAAAATCTGTAAGAAAAGGCTCAAGATTGATTAATGTATAAAACAGTGAATAAAGTTTGAATTGTTTCAGTGTTTAATTCAAGAGTTTCAGCTTACATTCACCTTGTTTGCATGGACTTTGAATATTAATAGACAAAAAACAGGCTTAAAACTTGAAATTTCATAACAGGGTTTGGCATATCCCTGTGTACATTCTGCACATTCTACGTTGATAAGGATGTCTAAAATAAACCCTCCTCCCTCCTTGTTAAGTTGACACTTTGGACATGTTTTTTTACGCCCCTGACAGCCCATCCCTCCCAGCTCTCGACTGGCAGCTGCCGTCCAGCTCGGGGCCGTACAGCCTACAGATCGATGTGCAGCCCAAGTCCCACCACAGAGCCCACTATGAGACAGAGGGCAGCAGGGGAGCAGTGAAGGCCCTGGCAGGAGGACACCCAGTAGTTCAGGTCTGCTTTACCAAGGCTTCTTGCTTTTTTTGTCTTGTGACCCAATCGAACAAACAACAAACTACTTAAGACCCCTTCTTTCCACTCCCATTCTTTATATTCAGCCGTTATGGATAAATTAGTAATTCATAACTTACTATAAGTAAAAAAATTGCACATTTATAATCTTGCAGCCATATTATGCAACCCTCTCAGGACCCCAAACCTTGTGGGTAGAACCGCAGAGCCAGTCTGCTCGGTTTCCTGTAATGATTAGACCAACATACGGTACAGCCATTAGACCTGTTTTCACTCCTGCTTCTTACCGCGTCACTTCTCACCTCAACACCGCCAGTTAAAATAGATTGGTGCGACATGTGTTTCATGGTCCGGCTGTTATGTTATTCAGAGATGTCACATTTCTGAATGGAATACCATAGGTATGCCATTAGACAGGCCGGTCCACTCAGTCAGTTCCTGTCCAGACAATTGTGACTCAGTCTTTTCCATTACGTTCTCGAGTGCAGCACAGACAGTTACAAAGTGAGGTAGCATGGCCAGTAAGAGCTTAGTCATGAGCTTTAACCACAGCTCTGGTGGTCGAGTTTAAAAAAAAAAAAAAGAAAATGTGGACAACTGCAGATATGTTTTGGTTAGAAACCCATCTGGTCCCCGGACCATTACTCCTCACTGCTGACCTCAGTCTCTGAATAAATAAAGGGTCTGCAGCAAGAAGCCAGGCACAGTGAGCGCTGAGCCGAGCTGTCATTTTAATTAATCCCATTTGACATTTTTATGAATGCATAGCAATATTTCTACAAGTTTACCAGACATTCGTCACATCTGGGGCAGAGTTTTCTGTGTTTGTCCTTCAGTTTTAATCAAATGTGTAATTTTTTGGCATGATTCATTTCTTCACTGCCACATGAGGAGTTCGTTATTCATGATCTTAAGTTTGAATGGGGTTTGCTTACATTTCTAAACTACCTTTTAAGTACAGTCAAGCTATGAAGCTATTCCAAAATACACATTAACTCAAGGCAGATTTGGCTTGCTGTTTTAAGTACTGTGTTCAAACCAGCAAAGCCACAAAATTAAGTATTCCCACTTTGATAGTCTTCTACCTCCCTGACACACAGTTAGCGCCTAGCTAGTGAAGTTAGCAGCTGAACTAGCAAAATAACAAAGCATTTTGTCACATATGGGGCCATTTTCCTGTTATCATTTATATTTAAATAAAAATTGCAAGAGTAGTTTGCATGTTGTCTCAGAGAAGCTGGCAAATCATGCAGTGTAATTTCAATAGATAATGGCAATGTTGCTAAGCTACTATTTAGAGCCAATAACGCCAAGTCATGTTCCTTAGGCTTACTCAAACATACTCGAAACAGATTTAAGTAGGTGGCGTGTTAGCCGACTTGACTGCCAGGTGGGCGTGTTGTTGTTGTTTGCCAGGCGGCTAGGCTTTGGCTAAACTTTAAACTGTCTGCTTTGTTCGTGTTGTTTTCATCTTTTGGAACATACTTACCAGATGCTGAGATAGATGGCCATGTTTCAGCAACCATAATATTCTTCCATCCGACCTCATCTCCTCGTCTTTGTCTGTTATTGACAGAAAGTTAGCTAGCGTCAGCGTTTCCAATATGGCGACCGCCATAGTTCGGCTTCACCAACACCTCGACAGAAACCATTGGGTGATGTCACTGAAACTACATCCATGTTTTATACAGTCCTTGGTTTTATTCCACAGAATATTCATGTCTCCAACAAGTTTTAAAGGTTAGATTTAATGTTGTGTGTTTCTCGTTGAGGAAGCAGTGTTGAAGTAAGAAAACATCAAAAAAGTTTTATATTCATAACCTTTTCAAACCAAAACATGTTTCATGAGTTCAGCCGCACACTTGTGTCAGACTTGTTTGTCCATAAGAAGGTGCTAATGATTTAATGACAGGGGTCTGGGTTCAGCAAGATGAAAAAGAGAGTGTGTGTTCTCTTTAAACCTAAACCCAAACCCCCCCACCCCCTTTTGCTTCTCCGCCAGCTTCCACCCCAACCACACAGACTGCCCTTTGTTTAGGAAAGTTCCCGTGTGTGCCTCTGACATCATCTCCCGCTGCTTCTCGCGGAGGCGGCAGGGACTAAACCACACACGTTTTTGGCAGGCTCTGATGAAGATGTTGAGGGAAGCTCAGAAAAGGCAGCCCCCACTTTTTTTTTTTTTCTTTTTAAACTTCCTGATAACATGTTCCACGCAGCGCTTGCAACGTCTTCTGTGGACGCTGGCTGACGAAGCCTCTGCAGCTCGTCCCGTCACTCCTCTGACTCAAACCTTTACCAGACTTTACAGAGTTTATTCTGGACGTGGCTGATCAGTGCGGTACAGTCTCTCTCCACGTCCTGCGCAGCTAAGCCAGCTATTTTCTGTTCTTTTTTTCAATGCCATCCCAACCACACCCGCCCTGCAGCCAGCAGCAGACTGAAGTATGCCCCTCTGAAGTGCTGTGTGCAGCACTCACCACAGTTAATGCTCAGGGTTTCAGGCTGTACTTTGGTGGAGAGGAAATACCCTCTATTCATGTCTGTGAGGTCTTCTTTTTTCTCGCTGTATGAAGCCGGCATTCATGATCTGTTTATTGCTCGAAAAAACCCATCCAGGGAGCTGTTTTGAAGCACATTTTTGCGGATTATGTTGTAGTCTTGTGCACTTTGTTGGCTTTGATCGCTGTGATTCAATTTCGATTTTTAAACAATGTGAAATTAACAAACATCACGTGGAGCAGAAAGCTTGTCAAGATTGGTTTTCAGTCACGCCTAAACAATTATTTTCTTGACAATACACAAAAAGGAGTCGACATGTGGTGTGTGTGTGTGTGTGTGTGTGTGTGTGTGCACTCTTAAAGCTGGGAGGGTCTCTGATAGGAATGGAGAGGAAGCCCTGACCGCCCTCAACCCCTTTTCTCCTTCGATGTTCGGTGCCTTGAGCAGCCGGACTCTCGGCATTCCTCCTGTGGGTGATAATATGAAGTAGGGAGGGGTGGCTGCATTGCCAACGTCAAGCAAGCTGCCAGGGTGGAGGAGCAAAGTGGTATCACTGTGATTTAATTGCATCAACAAATCAAAGCGGTTGTCTGCTGCAGCTGCTTTATTATGAAGGAGATGCTTCAGATCACAGAGGGAGAAGAAGAAAAAAGAAAAAGCAGCTGAAATTGCTCAGATGACATCTCTAGTTTGAATATTTCTGATAATAATTCAAAGCACATAATCAGTGATCTGTTAGTAATCACTGTTTGAAAGTGAGCGTCTGACCATGCGAGCGGGCTACCTCACTTCATCAAACTCCTTCCTGCTGCCTAAATAAACAGCATTGCTAGGCAGCAACCCATTTCCTTACACAAATATCCTGGCTTCTGCAGGCTCTTAACCCCGACAGGGATCCTCCTCCAAATCACATGTTGTACCTCCCCCGCTCTGAGCCTTTCACTCTCGCTTGCGGGCGCTCCTCTCCTCGTGTGCACTCCTCAGTATGTAAGAGAAAACTCTGGTTTTCATGTCAGCATTTCTCCGCTGATTGTTTCAACAGATAATTTTCGTCCACGGTGGCATATGGTTATGTGGGGTTCACTGTCTGCTTCCATAACACTTTAACTGTTAACATATTGTCTTCTTTTTCTTTCGCATTCATGCCAGTTTGACTTCCAAGGTCCATAACTTTCAGTGACATTTTTATGGATGCTAAAGCGTAAATTAGCACTTCTATTTCTTATGTTGTGTAATTAGGTGTAGGCCAATTTAAGGGTGTTAACATAAACGTCTCAGAGATTAAACAAGAATTAGTAGAGATACATCGATGGTGAAAATCAGGGCCGATACCAATTTTTAAAATAACAATTTTGAATGTTTTTTTTCATCAGTTCTGTTGGAGTAAGACTCGCACAATGCCAACATTTTCTCTCATGTTTGACCAAAAAATACGGATCAGAATTTGTCCAATAGGTGACTTAATCTGTCCAAAAAAAACCTCTCATCTGAATCAGCAGTTAGGTACAAACGCTTGCCAGCATTAAATTGATACAACACAACTGATAACCATCAGCTGACACCATTTATTGGCACATGATTTGCGGATGTCCTGAAGTCTGTCAACAAGGCCGATATCGGCTGATTCTGATGTTTAACAGATGCATCCCGAGTCATTTCACTTCATCCTGACTGAGCAACAAAATATGGTACTATGTGGCATTTCAAATGCAGCGCAGATGCTCAGTTTGAAAAAGGAATGAAGGTTTTAGCTGTTTTTGTTGAAACTAAACTTAATCAAACAGGAATGCTTCGGCTCAGAACCGAAGGACTTTTAGTGGGAGGGAGAACTAGATATTTAGATCAGAAATCCAAAAACCCTGAATGTGTCTTTATCATATCAGTCGGTGTGCTGCTCAGACACTAAAAACAACATATATGTGTTGTGTTTAGAATAAAGTTTGGGCTGTTTGTGGTTAACAGGGACACTGTTTTCATATTCCATATCTACAGTAAAGAGATGAGATACGATGAGATAACATCAGATAAGCTTCAAATGTGAGTGTACTGTGTCATCCAACAAGAACTGTGTGAGATGTCAGTTTCACAAATGAGAGAAAGGTTACGGTTTGCATCGTTAAGCTCCTTAACAACATTAAATATGACAGCTGATCCATGAATATTATTCAGTACATTCCTAATTGGGCATATTTAATTTCTCATTATTCACATTATGTTTCTTTCATTTGTTTTGACATCTAAATGCGAAGCCCTAATTCGTTCCCTTGTCACACTGTATGGATAACATACATAACTCTCCAGCAGTGTTAGAGTAGTAGCTGGTCTCAGGTTTCAGTTTGTAAGTTTGGGGGTCATGCCTGCACGCTGCTGTTTGGGTGGTTGAGGTCATCCTTGGCAGGCCTCTTTTCAAAAAACACCTATGAAGTTTCTGGGGGTACTTTAGGAGCTCATCAGCTTCACCGAGCATCACTTTACTGATAAACATCAGAGCCGGGTCACTTTTGAACGTTTTTTTCTTGACCCTGATTGGCCGGGGCTTTGTGAAACTGACGTGACCTCGACTTCTCTGAAACACAAGCTCGGCCTTGTCTCGAGGCGAGTGCTGGCTCACAAATCACAACAGTGCTCGCTGTAGGTGGTTTTACTGCTCTCTGGCAGCGGCTGCCCCTGAGATTCAGCTACTGTGGGATCAACATGTCGGCAGGCCTGACATGAGCTGATGGAGGAAGTAAAAACAGGCCACTGGTTGTAAATTTAAGAAGATGAAACGGGTGATTACAAGATCCTAAATGGGTACTTTGTTTAAAAACCTCCCTGCTGAAAGCCTGACCTCTGAAAGGCCTTTTTTCTTAACAGCATGCAAGCTGATGCCTCGTTTTAAAGATATGGATGCTTAACCACATCTGTGTCTTTATTTCCTTCGCCTTTCTTAGCTCCACGGCTACATGGAGAGCGAGCCTCTCACCCTGCAGTTGTTCATCGGCACAGCGGACGACCGGCTGCTGAGGCCCCACGCCTTCTACCAGGTCCACCGTATCACCGGGAAGACTGTGTCCACCCCGAGCCACGAGGCCCTGCACACCAACACCAAGATCCTGGAGATCCCACTGCTGCCTGAGAACAACATGAGGGCCATGTGAGTATCAGTGTCTGTAACCATCCAGAGAGGTTTGAGGATGTTTGAAGTTTTAAATATGTAAACATTTATTCAGTGGGTTAAAGCCGCTGATCGTATATAAAGATGGGCGACAATTCTCAACCTCCTCCCCTAACAAAAATGAAGCCAAATACCTCCGCAATTGGGATTAACTTGTTGCATTGGTAATCATTTGGAGCCAGAGTCTGCACACGAGAGATCAGCTGGTGAAGCCGCAGAATTCATGTGTGACCCATTCGGCCAACCAAAACACACATAGACGCTGCATTTGTCAACAGACCTGTCAATCAGGATGTTAGAAACCAAAATTACTAACATGACTGGAGAAAAATCAGATGCATAATATAGCTTATATATAGAGCTTGTCCTCAACATCAAGTCGGGATTTGTTTAAGAACTGAAATAGACTTGTCTTAAATGACTTCAGACCTGGACTTGTCCTTAAAGAAGACTGAAATTGATTAAAAGGGGAAACATTTTTAGCCATTTTGAGTTTTTTTCTTTTAAAGTATATAAGGAAAGTCTAAGTCCTGTCATAAATATTTTGAAACAGGTCTTTATCAACTGTCGAGTCATTTGAAACAAGTCCATGTCTGTTCATAAGACAAGTCTCAAAGTATGCTGGAGACAACACCACATAAAGTTGAGCTTTATTTGAAACAAGTTCGCTTCAGGCCTTGGTACATAAAAAAAGAGTAAGTCAGGGTAAAGTTATGAGTGACAAGTCAAATATATCATCTTAGACCGGTCCAAGTTGACTTCTGAGTTAGTCCGGACCTATCCAAGACAAGAAAACCCCAGTTTTCCTGCAGAGATGCGATAATGTTTTATCTTTGGTAAATCTCTATCTCTTAAACTTCAAGGAGTTTTAGAACTGAGGTATCCTCCCCACCCTTTAAAGGAGGAAATAATCTTCATCTTGTATTTGTGAAACCTCATAAAAACATGTGAAAAACTGCTTCCAGTCTGGAAAAAGGAAGTTTTGCTCTGATGTAAGGTGCTATGTGTGTATTTGTGAGTTTATGTGTTTTCAGTGTTATGGTTGTAAAAGTGTTGCCCTCTGTTCGCAGACGGGGTGGCTTTCCCATTTTATAAGCCTCCAAGATCAGATTACCGGGGAAGCTCAGGGCTGCTAACAGGGATCTGGGCTTTCTGTCTGAGCTGCAGGCGGTAGCAGCCTGCTAACCTCAGCACTTTCTCTGCGATTTAATGGATGTAACACATAGGCTCCACTTATACAACGACTTCACCTCGGGATATGGTTTCTCTTCTCTCACGCAGGACACGCCTCAGAGTACTTACAGTGTCAGTGAGGGATTTATGGGAGATTCATTGGTTTTGACATGTACTACAGTGTAACATATAGAAGTTTTATTATGTGGTATAGAATACAAGCCTTCTTATATTTCTTAAATCGTGATGGTTAAGGGGGGCACTTTAAAATTACACCATCAATCAACATCAGTTTTAGATGTCTTCAGCTGATATGAAGCCACAGAAGGCGTTGGTCGCAACTTGGTATGACTCCAATTAACTCTTAATAAATTAAATCAGAAATAATTCTGCCCTGCTTCCCAGTATTCAGTTTTTTCACAATCTGGCCATTTTGTCATTTAGGATGCTTAAATGTGGCTTTGATATTGTACTCAAAGTTGTACTTGTACTTGTTTTTCACATTGTAAATTATATAAACGTATTGACTTGGCCCAAGCGTTCTGTCACTTCTAGACTGCTCAGCAACCCAAAATGAAGACGATGCATCGAGACAATCAAGAGGGACATCTGGCTAAAGTTTAAAGCTATCATTTGACAGCTAACGTTAGCATCCAACTCCGTCCTTTGCTTATTTTACCCTTACCTCATGCCTTTATCTTTGTATGAAGTCACTTCAGGGATATATCATGTTATGTAAGAAGTGATTGCTAACAGTATTTGTATGAAGCTTGTCGCGCTGCTTTTTCCTTTTTTCTCTGTTTTATTTTTGGACGTGGATCTTTTGTTACTCCCAGATTGATCAGCAAGCGAAAAAGACAACAGAGAGTTAAAATCTGGAGGGACATTTGGCACATTACAAGTTTAAACCATATTTAAGATATTCTGTTAGCTTCTTTTTGACAGCTAATGCTAGCATTCAAGCTAAGAATTCAGTGGCTGTGATTGGATGCCGGAGAAGTTATGCTCGTTCAAGGGACAGGAGGCGTGTCGCCAGACTGTTGGCAACGCTAGCTAAATATCCATTCCTTTCTCTTTGTATCATATCACTTCTGAAGATTATCGTTGAAGTGGTTGAATGACAACATCACCGTTTGATTGAGTTATAAAAAAACACCAGGAAAGGCATTCTTAGCTAGCTAGGACGTATTGAACGCCAACTTTTGCTGTTGTCCCATCTAAAGCTGTTGATATTTAAACCTTAAATATATCCTGATGTCCCTCCATAGCATCCCTCATAATTGTCTCTTCTTTTGCTAACCCATTTGAGAATTATTCGGTTGAAAACCTGTTAAAATTACCTACGTGTATGATTTGTAAAGTAGCTAAATATTACATAAAAGTAGTTGAGCTTCCAACCTTGAGTGGGCCATCAGAGCAAAATGGCCACCATGAGAGTATTGAGAATTGTGTTTTTTTTCTCTGTTAAAATGTTTCTCAGGAGCAGAGGGGACGCCACAGTATGTGGTTCTGTCTGTGTAGGCGAGGAGCTAAACAGCTGGGGTCTTCAGCATCGACACCTGATTGCTCCGCCAGCGCAGCAGACCCCGGTGTCTGGGCGAGAAGAATGTTAGGGAGTGTTCAGATGTGTTTAAAAGTTGACTTTAACTAGACTTTGAGGAATGCGGCATCAAGAAGCACGCAAATGGAAATGCCAGAAACAGTTTGGAGAGGCTCGAGATATTTTAGTATGAAAAAATACGATACATGCAGTGCAGACCAAATGGACGGGGGGGGGGACGAGGGGGAACCGGGGACGAGAGGAAGGGGGCTTTTATTAAGTGTCGGAGGAAGACTTTGACAAAGAAACAGCTGATTCTTGTTGTGAGATTTATAGAAGGTGAACAGAATGTCAGGACTAATCTCTTGTGGAGAATAACAAAGATGTAATGAATGTTCCCAACCATTTGTTTCTAAAGAGTTTGAATTTTACCCAGGAGTAGATGCACTGAGATGTAAAAAGCTCCTTTGGGGTTGATGGTGTTAATCTGCTGTTGACATGCCTGAAGCCTCCTGCAGGATTGAGCTGGAAAAAAAAAATCCCAGAGTGAACATCACTTTAGATTTGGCTGCAGCGCGTTTTTTAAATCACAGCCTGATTAACTGTGAACGAACATGTGTCTTTAATGTAGACGATGAGCCGCCGTGTGTCGACAGACAGACTTTGGGAAAACTCTTTATCTTGTGTCTCATCAAACACAGGATCGACTGTGCAGGGATCCTGAAGCTGCGTAATTCCGACATCGAGCTGAGAAAGGGGGAGACGGACATCGGACGCAAGAACACGCGTGTGCGGATGGTTTTCAGAGTTCACATCAACCAGCCCACGGGGAGGACGGTCTCTCTGCAGGCTGCATCAAACCCCATAGAGTGCTGTGAGTTCCTTTCTTCTTCATTTTTAAGTTATATGAAGCCCAACTCCTCAGTATCCTAATGCCTATTAAATAGTGTTTTAAACGAGAAGATAATTCAACTTCTAGACTACCAACATGGTCGATGAGAGGTTGACTTAATACTTTTTGATACTATGTAATGATGGAGAGTATCCAAAAGTACTAAAGCTTTGAAAAAACTGACGCACATATTTTTTAACAAAATGCTGCCATGAGTGAAATAGAGACAAATCTGTCTAAATTGCACAAATATGATATTGGTAACAAAACGTTGCCAACATGATTTTGAAAGTCAGACAGTGTGCAGGAGTTCGCCTGCATTTTTGGTATTTAAAGAAAATAAATTAGACAATATTGGGAGCCTAAGACTTGACCCTATCTTGACCTGGTGTCATGAAAACCCAACTCCAATGCAAGATCTCAGCCGTTCATTGGATGGATATTGAATTTACTACAGCTTTTGGTGTTCACATTTGGATGAATCTCAATCATTTTGGTGATCTCTTGAGTTTAATTCATAACTCAGAGGCAAAGACTCAATACGGAGAGTTTATTTAAAATAATAATGGACAAAAAAGTTAAGAAAACAGAATAAATCAGGTCATCAAAAAAAAGACGACACTCAATAATTAAGGATGAAATATTTTAGGTTTTCAAGAAACAGTTTGAATTTGTGATTTTTCAACAGTTAATGGCTTCATTAAAATAAAAAGAGAATAACCAATAAAAGTCGTAACTGTTCCATGTAATAAAAGCCACTGCAGAAGGGATGGCTGTAATTGTGCACCACATTGTAACACAACAGTTTGTATCTGTGTGAGGGCTACGCAGGCCGCGCTCAATAAACTGGATTGACTCCGGGCTCTGCACTGGAGTTGACCTCTCACTGGAGCGGGATGAACTCAACAGATCGACCACTCTGTGTGGTTCTGGCACTGAGAGCTGCCATAGAGATTAAGTCTTATGAGTTAAATGAAAGACAGTAGTTAAACCATGAGCTCAACCTCTTGAAATAGACCATTGTTAGTTTCTGAACGACTGCCACAAAGCAATTGTTTTTTTGTTTTTTTAAACCAAAATTCACTTAGTGTGTGAGCGAGGCAGAACGACAGACAGACAGAAGGAGAGAAACGGAGAGATGTGGGAAAGAGCGATGCTTTCCAAAGACAGAGAATTCAAGTTTTATCCAAATCAGAAAGCAAGGAGCGTCGGATTGCAAAAAGATTTATCCTCACATGGGAAAACTATTCAGCTTTCACTGAACCTTCATTTCTTAATTTCTTTGGGTCAATCACAATGAAATTACAGTTAACTCTTCAGAAGAGAACTGAGCCATCAGAGTTACATTTAGGTGGAAAAAGGTTTGCAAATACTTCATGGCAAGTTGAGTATCATTTCAGAAAAACTGAGAGCAAGCGAGGAATGAGAAGACAAAGCCAAAAAGTAAAAGAGGGATGAGTTATGAAGCCGAGGAGAAGAAGGATACTCTTTCAAAAGAAGATTTGATGGAAATGGTTCGCCATAATTTAAGAAAAACACAAATAAACAAAACACAGAGCCTCTCCCTGCTCACTGGAAAGCAGGAGGTTTGATTCAAACTTTAAGACGTTGAGGTTTTGACGCTCTGGGAAAGCTGTCTAGGTAGTGATTCAGCCTCTGTCTGGATGCTCAGGTCTGCATGGGGAGTGGGTGTGTATTAGCAGAACGATGAGGCCGGTTTTCGCTCTCTCCCCCCCCTCCCACAGCCCAGAGATCGGCCCAGGAGCTGCCGCTGGTGGATAAGCAGAGTTTGGAGACGTGTCCCGCCCCCGGGGGGGAGAGGATGCTCCTCAACGGACACAACTTCCAGCACGACTCCAAGGTGGTGTTTGTGGAGAAGGCTCAAGGTAAAAAGAAAAAAAAAAGAAAAAAGAAGGACGTCTGGATTAAGTGCTGTGTCGTCTCGGTTCAGCTGTGTGTGTGTGTGTGTGTGTGTGTGTGTGTGTGTGTGTGTGTGTGTGTTGTGTGGTGTGTGTGTGTGTGTGGTGTGTGTGTGTGTGTGTGTGTGTGTGTGTGTGTGTGTGTGTGGTTGTGTGTGTGTGTGTGTGTGTGTTGTGTGTGTTTTGTGTGTCTCCCTCTCCATTTGTTGGAGAAACCCAGGTCTCCCTCCCTCCCTCCTTTGCTCGTCTCCCCCCGCCGTCAAAATATCCTCTGTCCTGCCAGAGCGCCACATGTGGAGCACATTAATGCGCTGTATTTTTAACCCAGCAGATTTACATTTGCAGAAGTTTCCATTGCCTGTTCAGCAGAGGAATGGAGCACAAATGCAAGATGTTGTGTGTGTGTGTGCGTGCGTGCGTGGGTGGCTGTGCACGTGGTTTGGATTCATGCACTTGTGTGTGTGTGCCATCCTCAGTATTTGTTTCTCTTTTTCTGACTTTAAGCCGGGGTTTGGTTTGGAGGGAGAGGCGACTGCTCCCAGATGTTGATACGAGGAGGTTTACAAACTGCAATTTCCTTGATTAGCTTGAGTAGAGCAACGTGAGCTCCAGTTTGGGGTTCAGACCTGAGCAACGTAAACACGTTTGATCCTATCGCCACGGTGACTCATTGAAAAGAGAGGGAAGCCTCATTGTTCCACCTGTGAAAGGAAGAATTCAAGGCTGCCCCGGTCACACAGGCAGAAAACACCCCCCTCCCCCCTTCCTCCTTCAGGACGGTACAATAGTTCAGTGAGATTGTTTATCAAAACAAGAAGTGATTGAATGGAGCGGAGGCCTTGTTCCCCTCATAACAACCTCTCTGATTAAGCCTGATCTCTTCCTGAGAGGACGGCTGATTAGTGTCTGAGTCATGTTACACTTCTTAAAGTCAGAGCTGCATTTGTGATATCAAGGTGATATCAAGGTTAGATTGAACCTCAGAACACAGAAGAAGAAAAACGTCTTCTCAAACACAAGTTGACCAGCAAAGACGGAGCAAAGGTTACAAAAAGAGTAATTCATTTATGCACTTTGGCTTGTGTCAACATTGAAGCTACCTGAATAAACTGACTAGCTATCATTGAGGTTATCAGATAAGTTTATGCTAAGCTCGCTAATATTCAAATTTTCAGTTGGATTGGTATTTATTTTAAATATTGTAAAGATGGCTGTAAGACTTTAAATGAACTTCAAGATAAATAAAAATCACATTTTAGAGTTACATCACCTTTAAAGGGTTTCTGACTCTGCTGCATGGTTACAGGAAACATGAGGACAACAAAATTAATTCAGACATTTTTATCCATCAAATAAACAGCTAAACGACACTCCAGGAAATCTACACGTGTGTACCAATTATTTAAAAGTTTTGTTTTTTAAATAGAGATATTGTGTTATAACATGTGCAAAAAGAGCCACAGGTTGGATTCGAACCTGGGCCGCCCGCTTGGAGGAGTACAGCTTCTGTACATGGGGAACCGGCGCTTACCACTAGGCCACAGGCGCCCCTGAAATATTTGAATTTTTTACGTTTTAACTCAGTTTTTATTGAATTTTTACGTGTTATACAGCACAAAAAAAGAAGGGAAAAAAAGCACAGACTTACACATGAGAAACATAAAATAGTACAGGAATGCATGCTAAAAAACAAAACAGGAAAGGTCAAAGAGTCACAGTTTTGCATTATTACATCAAAACAGAAGGAGTCAGGGTTAGGAGTTAGTTCATTTGAAATATTAGAATTTTTTACTTTTTAATGTTATTTGAACTCTGCTGAACAAGACCATGAGATGCAAAGAAAAACATGAGAAAGCTTAAACAAGTGTTATTTTTTCTCAAGGTCACATTTTGTCAAAGGGCCTCTTTCCAAGGTCAAGAATAAAAGTTCAAATGATATAGTTTTATCTTTTAATACAATCTGCCTTTTTAATGTGGTGAATGGACTTGAGCTTGTAAAATGCTCCTCTAGTCTTCTGACTACTTAAAGCACTTTTTACACTACATGTCATACTGAGGCATGACACACACACACACACACACACACACACAGAAAAGTGTGTGTATCCATGCCACCAATCGCACCCACATTCACACGCTGAGGGAAGAGGCTGCTCAGGAAAGTGTCCATCAATCCTAACTTATCCCATTCATAAGCAGCAGGGCTTCAGTGTGTCTTCTTGCCACTTCGCCATGTGGCTGCAGAAGCTTGGTATCGAACCCCCGACCTACCATTTGAGAGAGGACCGACTTAACCGCTGAGCCACAGCCGCCCTGCGTCTGAACTAGTCTTTTGACCTTGACAAGCGGGCAGTTTGTTGTGTTACAGTTTTGTGTTTACAGCGTCTGCGCCCTGAATCCAGCCGACTTTAAGGCCATGTGCATCACTGGACGGCCCGCTGATGGGTGTGCTCCCTTGCTTTGATGAGGGTTTCCCCGCGTCTGGCACCAGCATCAGATTCCTGGGCAATCCTAGCATGGAAACACCCTGAAGCCAGGCTTCCACAACACTGCCCTCCCTCCATCCTTCCACCTCTCCATCCAAGCTGCCTCTGTGCCACCAGCTCTCTGCTCATTAGCTCTGCAAACTGTGGGCTCCCAGAGGATCCCTCTGTATAAATAGATGGGTAAATAGATACAAGGAGAAACACCATTAACATCATTAAGGGGTGAAATGACCTCATTGGTGGAATCAGACGGCGTTTAATAAAGCTAAGATGCAAAACAGTTTAGAACTTGTTTAGTTAAAAAAAAAAACATTCAACTCATCTCTGCTTTCACACTCTCACTAAAAGAATTGGAAATGTAATATTCTTATTTACTTGTGCCAGCGCAGAGCCCTGAGAAACACTTTTAACGACCCGGCTCATAAATCCAGAGTGGTGGATTTAGTTGCCATAAAGATCTTAGGCATTAAAATTTTTACCGATGGACAATTTTCCTGCAAATTTTCCAATAAAGCTCTTACAAAATAACGTTTATAAAGCTGCGGTTAGAGAACATGTGGGCACTGACATGTTGTGTGCTTGGTTGTATGCTGTACTTACAAGTGTGTGTGTGTGTGTGCTGTGTGTGTGTGTGTGTGTGTGTGTGTGTGTGTGTGTGTGTGTGTAAGAGTTTCCTCTGTCATTACAAGCTGGAAGGGTCACTCTGGCTTTCAAGGCTGCCAACACACACTAAATTGTTTCTGTTTTGGTGTCTGATGGTCTAAATGATGTTCCCTCTCTGCTGACAAATGAGATTCTGGGGACACACAGAATTTTTGTGTGTGTGTGTTCCCTGTCTGTGTGCATCTTGGAATAAGAATGTCTGTTTAGGCCTGTTTGGGATTGTATCTCGTAGATTGTATAAACTGTTGCGTCACTATATGGTTTGTTGATTGTGTTTATAAAGCCTTAAGTTCGTCATTTGGCCACCAGCATTTTTTCTAGTGTCAGAGGTCACCACAATTGGACTGTAAGGTTGTGGAGAGCAGAGAGGGGCTTGGCAAACACAACGTTATTAAAGCTAAACAGTCCGTGGCTAATTTGTTAGCTACTGAATTAATGAGATTCTTTTTGGCTACTTGCTGACTGAAGTTTTTTAATCTCTAAATTGAAGACTCTTACGACACAAGAGGCGACCTCCGGTGTTGAAAAATGAAGCCCATGCAGAAGTTTATAACACTGTAGTTCCTTGAGTGTCCACTTGAAGCTGGCTAAGCATAATTAAGGGCGTGGCTGATTTGACTGACAGTTCGAGGCTTTTTGTAGTTGTTTGTGAGGAGGCTAAAGGCTCACCTCTTTTTACTAGACTGAGCAAAATTAGCATCTCTAATATAGCAACCGCCATCGAGGGGCTTCATAATATCTCTTCAGAAAGCAATGGGTGAAGACTCTGACACTACATCCATGTTGTATACAGTCTATGTATCGGCACAAGCCGCCCCGGATATATCACTGCATGAAAAAAATAAACTAAAAAAGCTAACAAGCCGGGTTAGCGCAGACACCAATACCTGCTAATTAGTGCTGACATGTAACTAGTAGATTTCAAAAAGCTGAAGCAAAGATTTCTGGGAAAAATTACTTGCCCGATCGTTCCATGAAAAATCCCCAAAAGGTTCAACAAACATAAACAAGTTGTCACTATTAGCTGAGTTGACTCCACTACATTTTATTCATATTGAAATGAACGTCTGTACAGTAATCATGGAAATAGAAATGAGCAACAGAAACTATAACATTTCATTTTTTACCAGGCTAACATGTTTAAATCTGCTGTAAAGTTGGGCCTTTTAATATGGGGCTCTGTGGGGGTTGACTCACTTTTGGAGCCAGCCTCTAGTGGACATTTAAGGAACTGCAGCTTTCTTTTGCGGTAACAGCTTCACTACTCAGGCCAAGGAGTTGCTGCTTTGTTTGTGTGCAGGCTTAGTTTCATGTTCATGTTTTTGTGTTGTTGGTTGCTAGCCATGACTCATTCAAAAGGAAATCCCTTGTTTCCCTCAGAGACACCCTCTGTCACCTGTTCCTCAGTCACAGCACAACATCTGAAAACAGTAACTACAGAACATGTCCCCTCGTGTCCTCTTGCCTGTAGTAAAAAAATAAGACAGATAGCATCAGTTGAGTTGTCACTCCTGGTTACAGCCAATCTGCCATGAGAGATTTCTGTATGTCCTTGGCGCTGCAGACATCAGCCTGTAATCTAAACCTGACTCAATCTCACCTTGCTTTCACGCGCCTCAGCCTGCAGAGAAGATGCTGTCTCTGATAAGTCACAGTCACTCCATTTAGGAAATTAAGCCCTGCTGTCCGTATTCACCTCAGTTTGTGGTTGTGTTCTGCTTTTCTTTCCCTCTCAGAGCTTTTGTCTTATGGAAAAGTGCCAAAATACAAACACTAATGAAAGAGTGAGGCTCAAAAATCAAACCCAGAGAGGAAACTAGGAATGATACAAATCTGATTAATGTTTTCTTCAAACCATAAATATGTATCTCAGAGAGTCAACTTGTTTATAGTTTTATATTTTTTGTGATCAACTTACCCAATGTTGTTGTGTTTTTCTGAAGAAGTTCAGGGAAAATTGCCCTAAGTCTCTAACTAGACTCTTCCCCTCTGTCGCCCCCCGGTGGTGGAACGAACTACCAAACTCCACTGAATTTGCACCTTTAAGAGAAAGCTAAAGACCCAGCTCTTTCATGAAAACCTATATACAACCTTAATGATATTGATGTTGTTGACGTTGATGAGTTTGATGATGATGATGACATTTTTTAGGACGTTTTAGTTGCTGATTCGACCGCTCTAGAACAGCTGTTGTTGTTGTGTTTTGCCTCTGGTCACTTCCTGTCAGCACCTGTGTGTCCAATCAGACTCAAAGCTGGTTGTTTGCAACTCCTTGCTTGTGTTGTTCTTACTCTCTGATGTACGTGGCTTCGGATAAAAGCGTCTGCTAAGTGACTTGTAGATATCTGAAAATAATGCACACCCACACAGCCAATCAAAATCCAGTTCTGTCCAGCCCAATTCATGGTCACTTAGTTTTTCTTATTTTGATTCAATGGTTTTTTTTTAAGTGTGGTTTTCTCCTCAGTGTTTCCCCACCATGATTGATAATAACTTAATTTGAGTGGAGATCTTGGAGGAAATCCTTGCAGGGGGAAAAAAAAAAAAAACCCTCTGGTGAAGAGAGCACTTTCACATCTGGCCTGCTGCACTGGACAGCTGCCTGCTCTGCTGCACTCAGTTTCCCTGGGAATAACTATTTCCCCGATCCATCAAACTCCTCAGCTAAGAGGTAGCGCCTTCTTGTTGACCCATCTTCCTCACCTGTCCATCTCTTTTAGAGGTTGGACCTTAAAATAACTTTTGAAAAAAAGAGCTCTCCGTCCAATAATTTGGCCTAATTGTTCTTGGCCAGAGCAGCTGCAGAAATAAAAGGACCTGAAATTGAACTGTGAGAGGATTATCAGACTGCAAGGCTGCCAGATGGTGCCTGGAATTACCTGCAGAAATGACAGATAACCATCCTCCTTAAAGCCCACGAGAGCTAGATGATGGCAAAGTAACAACAGAGGCAACACGGCTGTTTATAACACAAACACAGGGCCAGCTCTTTACTAGCTTGAAGCAGTCATTTGCTTTGGTTTGGTTTGGTTTGGATGGAGGGGTGGCCAGGGGGCATCGGAGGGTTTCTTTGCATTCACAGCACAATGACTTCCCCTCGAAGCCGTCCAGTGGGTTTGGCTGCCTCTGACACTTCTGAGAACAATGGCTGTTTTCATAAACAAATCAATTACGGCCACATAAACAGTGAGGTTTATTCTTTCACAAATTACAGTGTATGATTTGTTAAAATCACAGGCCTGTGTCAGAAGCTCCAGGGTTTGATTCAGAGCTCAGCTGCCAGGCTTTAAACCAGAACCAAAGAAATGACACCAAGAAATGAACCCCTGACACTGACTCCCAGTCAGGATGAGAATAGATTTTAAGATTTCACTGCTTACTGTTAAGTCCTCCCATGGCGCTTCTCTCTGCTATGTCTCTGACTTTTTTAAAGGTCACATATTCTCCTCCTTTTCAACCAGTTTAAATAAGTCTCAGAGCTCCCCTAAACATCTCTGTGAAGTTTCTTATTCTAAATCCACTCTGATCCTGTATTTGATCATGCCTATGAACCCCTCTTTTTCAGCCCTGCTCAGAACAGGCTGTTTCTGTGAGCTGTGTCTGACCACGCCCCCCTCTCTGGGTGGTTCAGGCCTTCTCGCTCCATGCCCTATTGTTTACAGCGGAAGGCCACAGGTCAACCCTTTGAAAATGCCTCTGGCTCTTCCTTGTTTTAATTCAACTTGAATTTTGAGACCATTTAGATCTCTAAATTATCTAATCTGTGTCTGCCTGTTCTCCCTAATTTTGGCACACAAGGATTTTATCCAACTTCCTGTATGACACACTGTCCTCGGCCCTACATCAAAGGCTATTTTCTTTTGAACACTTGATGAATTCATGACCCGTTCACTTTATTCTGCTGCACTTTAAAAAGGGGGTATTAACATTATTATTCATGTATTGCTGTAAGAGCTGTCTTGCATCCAGCTGATGTTGTGCTCTAAGTACCAAATGTACGTACATTTCTCCTCCCCCTCCTCCTCCACTGCAGCCACTTATCAGGTCGGAGCTCTGCTCGCTCACCAATCCTTCCACACCGCGGCGGCCTGCATGAATCCTCTGCGATCCATGTGTTTTCAGGGCGTCAGGAAGGAAGAAGTTTTTAGTCATCAGTCAGAGCACAAGGGAACTCTTTCAGCCCAGCCACATGGTTCAGGGTAGAGCATGTGTTTATATTTACTGTACGTTATGTGGGCTTGGGTACACGCCATCCCGCTGTTTCACTCTGGGCACCAGCGTTTCACTCCACCCAACTCCAATTAAGGAGCACAAGGAGCTGTTTGATTCTGCTTATAAACCCAACATGACAAATAAGTGTATTGTATATTGTTTGATCCCCCCCTCGGCTGCTGTGACTCTGTGCAGCACACCAGCGCTGTGTCGTTGACGGCTCTGTGTTATGTCTCTTCTGAGGATTTGTATAGACCATTGCTAACGAAATGTGAATTTGCAAAGACTTCTGGGACGCAGCCAAAGGCGAGAGGAGCCTGGGCGTAGTGAGAGCTGGAGAGGGGTACAGGGTTTATATACCCCGCGTGGCTCTCGGCTGAGTTGTTTAACTTAGATAATATTGGATTCAATCCAGCACAGTGGGCCAGGGGAGTTGGAAACCGTATTATGCCTGCTGAAATTTAGTAGGAGGAGAAGTGGAGGGTAACTGCGGCTAAATTTCTTCATTGGATCGGTCCAGGCGCTGTGCAGATGTTGCTCTATAAATCTGGAACATTCTGCGGTTATCAATTACATTCTGTGGTAATCAATTATCTGCTACGCTCTTTTTTTTTTTTTTTTTGAACAAAGGCATCCCACGCATTCAGCATATCAAAGCTCTTATTTTCAAGAAGTTTCCTGGCTATAGGTGGCCTGGCACAGAAGACACAGTGCTGAATTGAATTTTTCTATCAGAGCGTTGATGTGAAAAATGATGTGAGCGTGAGTCAGACGCAGAGACAGAAAGAGAGAGATCTGAAAAACATGTTTACCTCCTGTGGATTGACATCGGTGGCGAAGGCTTCCCTTCTGGAGAGCTTCCCGAAGTGAGGAGAGGCAGCCAGAGACGGAGTGAGAGAGAGAGAGAGAGAGAGAGAGAGAGAGAGAGAGAGAGAGAGAGACGAGAGGAAAGACAGACACGGACTTAAGTTTCAGTCAAACAAACAATTTTGTAGAGACAGAGCTCTGAATCTCATTTTGTTGAGTTAAGATTCAGCGAGTGAAGCCAAAGTTTACTCGCCAGCTGGTTTGATTTCGTCAGATCTCTTCTGGCGAGACGTTCGAGTCAAAGCTGCTTCCATCAAGAGTTTACGTTTTTTCTAGAAGAGGCTACCATGTTGAGATTTTAGCATGAGGGCTGATCCTGTAAAACTTCCTGTGTGACACACTGTTTTCCTTTTTCATGTCTATTGTTTACCCTCAGGCTTCCTTACATTATAGTTTGCAAATGTTATTTTTAATTCAACTCACCACACATTGGTGTGTTTGTGTGCATGCCAGATTTCTGCACCTTGCTTTGCACCTCAGCAGTTCCTATTTAGCACACAGCCTTTGTCTTAATCTAGATTTAAATATTTGTTAAACAGAAATATCCACCTTTTTCTACTATTCTTAGGCCGTCTTGGTGAAGGGTTTTGGTTTGGGGCTGCACAGTTTGGGTTATCTGTCACCAAGAATGCATGGTTTCATGTCTTTCTAAAATGTTATTGTGGTAGTTTAGTGGTCAAAGTCACAAGTCTGAACTAGAAACCTTTTGTTTCTCTTCCCTGTCGTTCATTTATCAAATACAAAAATATACACAACATATAAAGAAGACCAATCAACCGAGATATAAATTATCTGTTCGTTTGTCGACAGGAGATTTGTGTAGGACAAAAAAATGAAGCTAGGTTCCATTTTTTTCTCCCCGTAGTTTGACTTTTCTACAACTTTGTAAAACCTGCTGTAGACCTCTGTTACATCTATATGTCTCACTGTGCTGTTTGTCCCTTCTCCCCTGCCATTGTCTCCAGCCCAGGCGCTCCTGGCCTCCTGGCCTCAGAGCTTAAAGGGCCAGTGCTGAGTTTAGCTGATGAGGGGTGTTGGAGTTGGGGATTGTGTCGTTTAGTTACATTAGTTTAGTTACTTGATTTAGCCTTTTGTAAGGTGCAGAGTGTGTTTCATTGAGGGTTGTTGTCAGCCCCATAGGACCGCCTTATGGTGGGGGCGTAACAACCTCTCCATTTCATGTTCTGTTGTCACTGCTGGCTGGACATCCTCTCTGAAAGACTCTGATTGGTTTAAAGGAATCCAAACAACCCAGACTTGGTTTGTTTGTCTTCTGTTTGAGCAGAATAACGATGTGTTCAGCCAGGTCTTCCTGCAGCACTGTGGCAACGTGGCTCAGCAAGACTGGTCCTCTTATTAGATTTTTTTATTTTTTATTTATTAGTTTTCATTAAGTGTAGAGGGAGATCTTCCAGCAGCTAAAACTTCAACCGAGAGTACTCCAGTTATTCCGGCTTGATCAGCGACACTCTCGCTGAATTTCTTCTACAAAATCTGCTCACTTTTTTTTTCTTTAAACTGCAGCTTCCTTCCCATGTAAAGCCATATCATTTTAGTGTCTTTCTATAGGGCTTGTTAATGAGTCAATCCCTCCGTGTTTAATACATTGGTAAAAAAAAAAACTGAAGTTTCACTCACATCTCCTTGGGCTGCATGACAAATCAGACTTTCTTTTCAGCTGGCCTCTGTGTTCCCGACAGTTCATGTGATGCCCGGTTTTATTGCCTGATGGGAAACCGTCTTTAATGTGGCAAATTTAAGGAGTTTGGAAAAAGAACCCAACAGATTACCAGAAATAGAGGTAATACAAAAAGCATCTAACAATCATTATATGGGGATGACAGAGAGTGTCCTATGAGAACACAAGAATTAAGAAGTCTCAAAGTGGAGTTGTCGTTTTCCAGCCGTTGTGTAATAACGAGGCGACCAGCTGTTCGAGCATGTCGGGATTCCTTACAGCGATGAAGTCAAGGTTCCTCTCAGCTTTCATCTCTTTGGTATGAATCTGTTTTTTTTTTTTTTTGGGAGATTGCATCAGATTTCTACTCTCCGTCTACGTCTGTGTCTGTGTGTGTTTGTGTTTGTGTCTGTGTGTGTCTCTTTCCGTCTCAGGTTTGTCAGACTGAGGATATGAGCTCATGAGTGGCGGGTCAGACAGCATGACGTGTGTGATACCCCTGGCTCTCTGTTTCTGTTTTTTAAATCACTGATGCAACAGATAATAATAACAACGCTTGTTCCATTTCTTCATTTTCTGTCGCAGCCAAGTAGGTTGAATTATTTCCTAAATGTGTCATGACAAAACTCCTTTTCTGTTTTTTACTTTCAGACGGTCACCACCTCTGGGAGACCGAGGCCAAGGTGGACCGAGACGCCTCAAAGACGGTGAGTGATACATGTGACCCAGTTATCGTGACAAATAGAGACTCGGAATAAAAAGCAGTAAGCAGCTGTTCTCAATTCAAACCGGGGCTAAGTGGCTCAATATTTTCAATCTTGACTAAAGAAACAAACAGATGTCTAAATCAAGAGAGTTAAAGAGCTCCACTCAGCGCACATCTGCACTTTCATTCAACTCCACTTTAAAGGGCCAGTGCACAATAATAGCAACAGCGACAAAAAAAAACATGATAGCGTCGACCTTATTCAAACAACAGCCGCGCCCTGTGATGTCACGCTGAGGGTGGGAATCTAAATCCATCCGTCAGGTCTTCCTGCTTTGTTCCAGGTTTTAATTGTCGAGATAAGTAACTTCAAAGATATTAAATATTGGAAATCCAGAGAGACAGAGAGCCGCATTTAAAGTTAAAAAAAAAAAAACGTTTTGATAAGGCGTTGGCTGCCATCACAGCTTAGCATTCAGCCACTTTCCCAGATTTCCCCTTGGGGATTTCTAAAGTATTTCTGACTTCCTGGGAAATAATTCAATCAAATTTTAAAACAATTTTATCAGCCCAGTTGTCGATCTGTGTGAAGAAAATTGCTGCTCGTCCATTTAGACGTTTTCACACTGACTTCATACACGCTCTTTAAAGCTCCCACCCTGAGCGTGGCGTGATGTGACTTCTCCTACACCCTGGTAGGAAGGTACCCAGGTGGGTGTAAAGTCACTCCCAGCTCCAACCTTGACTTTTTGGGTTAAATGTATTGCTAAAACATTTTTTTTATAGTGGCCTCGAATTCTTGTGTAATTCTCAGGAGTGAAAAAAAAGAAAAGAAAAGTGAATCAAAGTTTTCCTTCAAAGTATGTCAAAGTATGTTTTCCACATTGTGAACATGGAATAGACACGTAGTGGTCAGACTCGCGGAGGGTTTACAGGAATATGAGTGTCGATTTTGTTGGCCAAAGGGGGGAGAAACAGCAGTGTTGTGTTTGAGACGTGTGGAAAAGGTTTTCAGAAGTTCAACCCTGAACCTGTGGGAGTTAGTGCTTGGCGGTGTGTTCTGTCCTGGCCCAGGACGCAGAGAGAGAGAGAGAGAGAGAGAGAGAGAGAGAGAGATAGTGATGGGAGTCTGGGAGATAGGCGAGGGGATTAGAGGGTGTCTGTATGTGAGGCGCTGCACCTGCTCCCTGTCTCCTCAAAACATTCACTCTCTTTCTCTCTCTCTCTCTCTCTCTCTCTTTCTCTCTCTCTCTCTCTCTCACACACACACACACACACACACACACACACACACACACACACACACACACATACAGTAACTACTGGGACACATCTGTCAGCCTGAATAGACAAAAGGCCCCCTCCCCTCCCTGCCCTCAGTCTGCTGGACCGGTCCCATTTTAAACACTGACGCTTCCTTGGCCAGGTTCAACCTCTGCTGCTCGGAATACCTCACTGCCTCCGTCACCTGCGCACACTGACCTTCCCCCGAGAGAGAAACGATCTGCTCATAATTACGAGAATTATTCACAATTAGACACGTCAGATTTATAAACTTGGGTAAATGGTCTCAAAGTGCTCACTTGAGGAGTCCAAAACGCTTCTTCATGCACGATTTTGCTGATTTTCCCTCCTCCCTCACACATGAGAGAAATTATTTTTTGACAGGCAGAAACATCTCACTGCTTGTTTTTGTGAGTTTCTTGCTTTTCCACACAGATTGAAGGTCCATTCACTCCTTAGTGGGTTGAAATCATTTCACAATAAAACACAGGTCTGCTTAAAACTGTCAAAAATAACAGCATGGTGTCACTTAAACCTCGTTTTTTTTTTAAAATCTGTACAGTAGCCCTTTTCACACTTTCACTCCTGGAAGTTTCTAGAATATTTCAGGACAACCTGCAACCAGATTCTTCCTGAGTTACTTTTTCACACATGACCCTTACAGTGGGAGATTTTCCCTGACAGACAGTGTTGGTTTTTGGTAGACGGAACAATGACCTCGAAAGGACGCTGTTATGACCTACGCCGTTGTGAGCACTATACTTGTGTGTAGGTGTGTCTGTGTAGCTCTGCAGTACTCTGTCTACAAACGCTAGCTGACGGTGCGTTTTTAATATCTCCAGTTGACGTTTCAACCACATGTTCTGCTTGTGTGTGTACAGGAAACCATGGCGACCAGTGGTGTAGTGCAGGGTATACGCAGGTATATGGAGTACACCACTGATTTACAGTCTCCATAGAGTATACTCACTTCTAAATCTCCTCTGATTCACACCATTGATTGACTGATTCAGTAGGACGCTCCATTTTCTTTCCCAAGATGGTGAAGAGATGACCCTCTCTACTCCGTCTCTGAAACTAAGAGGATACTCACTTCTTTATTCACCACTACACCACTGATGGCGGCTGATACCTAGCATGTGTTGTGGAAGTTTGAGCTGATTAGCTTTCTTCAGTCTGCAGAATTTTGAAAATGGTGAATGCATAAAATAAGATGATACCAGTTGACCAATCACAGGGCTTGTGGACGGCGTCGTGGTGATGACACGTAGTTACATTTTTGTGGAGGTGCATGTCAGGTTAATTGTGCTTCTTCGTAGATATATACCGCTACATTAATTTTTGAAGTTCAAATCAGCTTTTAACAGTCTGTGAATATTTGCTTTGGTGCAAAAATATAAAATAATTTATATATATTTTCTTTAGTGTGCTTTAAATTGTCTCGTCTGACACCTACACCCCCCCCCCCCCGAGTGGTTAAAGGCATTATAAATCAGAATATAATCAAATATTTAGGTCATATAGAGTCGTCATTATTTCAGTCTGTGTCATCTTAAGTATAAAAAAAACCCTCATCAAAGGAGCTTTAAAAGATGTTAATAATCCAGTTCATGCAGAAGACACTTAGACTGTAGGCAGTAGAAATGGTGGACAGCTTCCAGAGTATTATCAGATATTTTTCTAGGATTTTTTTATGGATAAGAGAAGCCTAAAAGCCTCATCTGGCTTCACTTGATTTTACGACTGCAGTGATTTAATAAAACGTGTGTCAGCTCTCACCTGTGCATGTCGGGGTCACTCGTTCTCTGCAGCACACTTTGGTAGACAGATGACTTCCTCCTGGGCTACCGAGCAGCACCTCAACCTCTGATGTGCTGTATATATTCACACACATGTACAGACACACACACACACACGTATAGAAACACACACATGTGGATCTGATGTGGCCACAGACTGAACCTGGTCGCTGCTGGCCTTCAGCCGTTCTCAGACAGCAGGAAACTCTGCTGGGGAAATAAACTATCCGCACGGTCCCGGATCCAATTTATTAACATCAGCTGAGGTACGTACTGTGCAAACAACCACGGCTCTCTATCACCTCGCTCCGCCGTCTCTTTGTGGCTCTCTCTCTTGTTTGGGATTACAACCAGATTTTCTAGATTTTATTCTCAGCCCAGAAAAACAGACACACCTTCAGGCGAGGGATACAAAGGAACGAAAGGAAAACAAGAACCAAGACCAAGAAATAAAACCAAAACAACAAAGGAAAACAATAAAAACATCACATTTCTCCATCTTAAAACTCAAATGATTGCGTTTGTATCGGTGTTTAACAAAAACTTTGTCAGTGCTCTGACCCTGACGGTTCCTTTAAAGATCCAACTTGATTTTATAAAGCAATGTAGAACTAAAAGAAATATTAAATCACATTCCTGTCGTCTTGAAGCTGTGAATTATATATGTGACCTTTAAAAATATATACAAAAAAACACTGTTAAAGAAAACATAAAGGTACAAAATCTGGCATCAATATGATAGAAAAATTAGAAAAACTTCATGAATTTGAAATCTTAAAACAGGTAGAAAGTAAGTAAGGTGAGTAATGATACTGCAACTTCAAAGACAAACGTTACCTTAAATTAAAGGTCAAAGTTAGAAACATTGCACTGGTGTAACTTTGTTCATACATACTATGAAATCAGAGTCTATACATGAATCTGTTGGTCAATTTTAGTAAAGTTTTCCATTTTTGTTCTTCTTTGCAGAATTCACTGCTCGTTGAAATTCCTCCGTATCGAAACCAAAGACTCTCCACTCCGGTCCACGTGAACTTCTACGTCTGCAACGGCAAGAGGAAAAGAAGCCAGTACCAGCGCTTCACCTACGTCCCTGCTAATGGTAAACAAAGCTCTGCACCTCTGACATCATTATGTAGTTTTTCTGAACAGAGAGAGATGAAGTGTCCTGTAGAGGAGTCATTGAATTCATTTATTTTATTTGTTTTCATCAAATTACATCAAACTAAACATTTAGAACTTCTCACCACTCTGCGACCTTTCTCCTTCGATATGAATGTCACAGAGGAGTGATGGGGGCGAGGTGCGAGGTGTTCCTACCTTTGGGATGAGCTGTGTTAACACCAACAACCACTTGTATCACACACATTTTCTACTGCCAGCCCAGTAAATTGTCTTTGTGAAGTCGGGGTGAGATGCTGTAAGAACACCGCAGGAAATTCTCAGGAATATTCACAGCAAGAGGATGGGAGGGGGTTGGTAACGTTGATGACATGACCATAGACCAGTGGTGTCCAAACTTTTTTTCTTGCGGGCCAAAGTTGTTGTGTTAGAATCGCTCGCGGGCCACAGGTTTTGTTTTTTTAAAATATAGTTGAAAAAACAGTAAGGCTTTGTAGATCAGAATCAAAAGGCTCGCTGAATAAACCCTTTAATAAAAGGAAATCAAATATTTTGATTTCTTCGTTCTACTTTATTTGTTTTTTTTTCAGAATCAAGCCTGTAACGTGGTTCATGTTTTTTGGAAAAGCTTTCTGCATTTAGCTCAGGTCATTAAATGGTTAAACAACAGTCCGCTTGTTTGCAAAAACTTTGCATAAGTTTTTTTTCATAGTTTACAAAAAATAGTAAAAGCTGTAGATTTAAAAAAAAACAAAAAAAAACAACATACATGTTACTGAACATTTTCTATTTTAGGAATATTGTTCAGCCCTTGTTAACATGAAAAAGAAAAATAAGATAATGTGCCAATCTTAATCAAGGCCTCATTTGAAGTCACGGGCCGCAAAAAATCCCCTCAAGGGCCGCAAATGGCCCTCGGGCCGCAATTTGGACACCCCTGCCATAGACTGTATGCAGCCTTTTTTTTTCCTCCACACTTTTATTGGCATTGTGCATGTGTCAAAGGAGAGGTAGCATTGATATAAAGGCTCATTGTAGCGTCGTATAGTAGACTCTCTCTCTGGATAGTCTCCAGCTATCCAGAGTGTGAACAACCAACTCAGAAAGACTTCATGAACAGTATAACTTTCCAGACATTTTCAGTAGTTGCATGTGTGGAAAACGTCAGAAGAATTTCAATCTGAGCCTCATCACTTTGATCGGTTGCAGTTTCCCCAAAGGATTATATCGCAGCAGTTCCAGCTTCTTCCGCTGCAGAATGAAGCAATCACAAAACTTTTGTACATTTGGTCATTTTGATCTCAAAATATGTCAAAGTAGTGCTCAGTTTTCAGAGAGCATATCTTTCTTGGCGCAGTTTAACCTCGCCGTTACATCGAGCAGTCCCCATGGTCAGAGGCTGCCGTCCCTGAAGCGGGCGACCAGGGTTCGACTCCCACCCTCAGCACTTTGCTGCATATTATTCCTCACTCTTTCCGACACTATCCACTGTTGTTCTATCTGTCCCCTTGTGGGAACAATAAAGATACCTTTGACCTTTGACCTTTGATGGCATAAAAGCCCACAAAATTATCAAAAAGAAAAAAATGCTGCTTTCTCTTAAACTTCTTTAATTCACGGTTTGGATCAGATTAAAGATTGTCTTCAGGTTTATTATATCAAGAGAGGGGTCATGATGTCAGCATCCAATCACAGCAGTCGAATGTAAATTATACAGTACAGCAGACACAGTGTTTTGTTACGTTTTGGCCTTTGAATGCCTTTGTCTAAAACCACTATCATCTGTTTGATGTTCATTCAGATGTATCACCAAAAAAGGAAAATACCCTTCAAACCTCTCTGCACACCCTTTCATATTCTGCCTCTCTAACTTCCCCGTCATCACTTCTCCACTCTGTGCCTTCTCTTTCCTTCATATCCTGACTAATGAGAAACTTTTTAACCAGCGTTAAAAACCAGAGTTCACATCTGAAGAGCAGAATAAAAACAGTTTGTTTTCCCTTTTGTCTTAGCGGTTTTCTAGGGAGGAACAAAGCAACTCTATTATTCCTCCACAGTAAACAAAATACATCTATAAAATCTGTTCTTTTCCGTACCTGTAGCTGCGTGAAGGCAGTGCTGAGTGGACAGCAGCAGGGCGGGGAGACGAGCATGGGAAAAGCAAGTTATTTGAATAGAGGACCTACTGCCAAGCTAAATATAAACACTGACCGAGCAAATGAAAAGTAAAAACCGCTGTTAATTGCGTTTTGGGCTCAGAGCACAAAATCCAGTGGGTGGTTCAAAGCTGTGATTCAAGCGAGCGGGGCCCAGCCCTGTACGTGGGCGAACGGAGTGCCCCGCTGTGAAAGTGGAGCATTGTCCTCTGGATGCAGAGAGGGTGTGGGGGAGGGGGGGGAGAGACGGGGGGACAGCTCGTCTGGTCAGAACCTCGTGAAAAAGTGAGAGTCAGAAAAGTTCAATTGAAGATTTAAGATCTGCAAGTCTTTGGAAAAAGTTCATAACCAATGAGAAGACAGAAAAAACATCTAAACCATTCTCTGTTTTTCGATGTGTTTTTAATGAAGGAACTTTATTAAAAGAGCTAAAGCTGAACAACTTGAATTGTTCCTGCAGCAGGAGTTCCTGCAGCTCCTGGGGGAAATAAATTGTTTTTTGGGGGAACATATTGTACACTGAAGAAGAAGATGTGCCCGCACAAATACCACAATAAAGTAATAACACAAAGAACCGATATGTAAAAACATTAAAGACAAATACCAAAACCAAACAGCAGTTTTAATTAACTTAAGATTAGATATATGTATATGTTTTATACAGATGTTTATCCAAACAAAATACTTATTGAAATAGGCTATAGGTTAAACTGCCACTTGTTGAAAAAACTGTATAAGGTTCGATTTTTCATTAAATATATCAAGGTTTAAAAAAAAAGGAAAGAAAGGTAACGTGCTTTAACACAAAAAATAAATCAAGGAGAGACTTTTTTTTAGATGAGAACTAAAGACTCTGATGATGATAACACTCAAGATGAAAACATAACAAAAAGATGGAAACTGAAAAAGGGCTTTTCTTTGCAGCAGCGTCAGCAGGTGTTACAACATCTTATTCAAGAGCGACAGATTTATTTTGGGAGATACATTACGCACGGCTGATTTCACACTCCGGAAACCCACCCAACTTCTATCTTTTGTTGCTACACAAACATTTGCACGTCTCCTGGTTTCTTTCTGTGCGTCTGCATCTGCCTGCCTATCCTCCACGGGCAGAGCACACGCACTTCCTCCCAAACAAGCCTTAAAATAGTGGAGCACGAGCTATTTTAGTTCTGCGGTCGGTGTAACCATCTCCTCGCAGTTCCTCTTTTACAGCTGAAGCCTCGCTAAAGCATGACACATCCACGTTTCACTCTCGACTTTAATTAGCAATTTACTTTTGTCGCGTAAATCCTGCTAGATTAAAAACATCTTTTTTTTCTAAAGTTTTCCCAGAGCTGGATTCAGACTTCTAGGTTTTTAAAAATACAAACCAGTTTAACTCTAGTTGCATGGTAAAGTTTCTCTCTCCTCTCAAACATGAGCATGCTACAGTAGATTAAGAAGAAGGCACATTACACCACAGGGAATATTAAGATTATCACATGTGCAAGAGGGAGCAATTAGTGATGTTTCAATAACCAACAAGCCTGCTCAGCAGCACTGAACCACTTCTATTAATTGTCTTCTCGCTGTATATGCATTGTGAGAGTATGGGGAGCGTGTTATGATTCTCTCTTTATTGAAGAGTTCAGGGAAAGCATATCTCGATGGACAATTCTCTCCTATCAAATAATGCTCCCGTTATAGAGTCACTTTAAACAACTCTACTCGCCGCATCTGCACTTTAAGAAAACTGGAAGCCTGTTTTACAACTCTTTGATAAAACATGTTTTTCATATTTTAGAGGGAAGCATGATGCTCCATGTCCTGCACAGAGCAGTATGGAAGCACATCACGATGGGTAGCAGTCTTTGATAGAACACCGGCTTCTCTTATGTGAAGGATGGGAGCCAGCTCCTGTTTGAGATCCTTTTTCTTTTGTTGTTTAATACACAACAGAATAAAGGGAGGATCTTCTCTCCACATCACTCTGACACCTAGTGCTCCCGATTAGAGTTTGTATTAAAATGTCATTCATACAGCAGACATGATGATTACAGCCTGCTTACAGTTTTGGTCTCTGTAGCTCATTTCTTCACTCTACAGATGAGTTGTAAGGCTGAGAGAGAAACAGGGAGGGTGTCAGCTGTCTTTCTTCTTACCTCAGTCTCGAATAGCCAGATGTTTGGTGTGAATCAGCATTTCCAATATGTTCGACCGCCGTTAAGGGGCTTCTTAATACCTCTTCAGAAACCAACAAGTGATGTCACTGACACTACGTCCATGAAGATTCCTTCGGCAATTATCTGGAGTGGCAACACATGTTAAAATCAGATCCTCTTTCAATCCTAGTGGATTCTAAATAAGTACAAAAACATGTATCCAGTGCGTTCAGGAAACTCAAATCTGAAAACGTCTCGGTGGAATAAGAATATGAATCGTAGGAGGTAGAGTGAAGTCTGAGAAATGTAACTGCATCAGCTTTGATTTCAAGCACATGCGTCATATTGTGATCTAAAACAGCTTTTGCACAAAGAAAAGAAGGACTAGATCCAGTTTAGTGATGCAGTGTTGAAGCTCAGGGTCGGAGCCTCGCTCTCGTCTGCTTGTATCTGGACTGAAACGCTTGTTATAAAAGATGGATGTCGTGTCAGGAGCGGCGGCAGATTGACAGTCCACATTTTCAACCTCGATGTTCTTCACTGGAATCTCATTTGAACCCATCAGACCTCACATGTACGCCTTGAGTTAATAATCAGCTTTAGTGTTTCTTTGTCTTCTTGAGAAAGCCGTCATTTATTCAAAATGGCCGACTCCCGCTGTGTTTGAAGCTGCTGTAATAGCAACATATTTCATATCGCACATTTAGTGGATTTTAGCACCAGAGCAGGATCCAAAGAAAACAAGCATTTCATTAAAGAAGCAGCTGGATGTTTCTCGTGTTGATGACTCATCCGCTTTTTCTCTCTTCTGCTTTTTGTGAATATTTTGAACGAGGAGGCTCGAACACAAAGACTCATGATGAGAGAGTTTGTTTGGCTGCAGGTTCTCTCACTCCCTCACTCACTCACTCACTCCCTCACTCACTCACTCCCTCACTCCCTAACTCCCTCACTCACTCACTCACTCACTCACTCACTCACTCACTCACTCCTTCACTCACTCACTCACTCACTCCCTCACTCCCTAACTCCCTCACTCACTCACTCCCTCACTCCCTCCCTCACTCACTCCCTCACTCCCTAACTCCCTCACTCACTCACTCACTCCCTCACTCCTTCACTCACTCACTCCCTCACTCCCTCACTCCCTCACTCACTCACTCACTCCCTCCCTCCCTCACTCCCTCACTCAGTCCCTCACTCACTCAGTCCCTCACTCACTCACTCCCTCCCTCACTCCCTAACTCCCTCACTCACTCCCTCACTCGCTCACTCGCTCACTCACTCCTTCTCTCCCTCCCTCCCTCACTCACTCCCTCACTCACTCACTCACTCGCTCCTTCACTCCCTCCCTCACTCCCTCACTCACTCCCTCACTCACTCTCTCACTCCCTCACTCACTCACTCACTCACTCACTCACTCACTCACTCACTCACTCACTCACTCCCTAACTCCCTCACTCACTCACTCACTCACTCACTCACTCCCTCCCTCCCTCCCTCACTCCCTCACTCACTCACTCACTCACTCACTCCCTCCCTCACTCCCTAACTCCCTCACTCCCTCACTCCCTAACTCCCTCACTCACTCCCTCACTCCCTCACTCACTCACTCACTCCTTCTCTCCCTCCCTCGCCCACTCGCTCACTCGCTCACTCACTCCTTCTCTCCCTCCCTCCCTCACTCACTCCCTCACTCACTCCCTCACTCACTCACTCACTCGCTCCTTCACTCCCTCCCTCACTCCCTCACTCACTCCCTCACTCACTCTCTCACTCACTCACTCACTCACTCACTCACTCACTCACTCCCTAACTCCCTCACTCACTCACTCACTCACTCACTCCCTCCCTCACTCCCTAACTCCCTCACTCACTCACTCACTCACTCACTCACTCCCTCCCTCACTCCCTAACTCCCTCACTCACTCACTCCCTAACTCCCTCACTCACTCCCTCACTCACTCCCTCACTCCCTCACTCACTCACTCACTCACTCACTCCCTCACTCCCTCACTCACTCCCTCACTCCCTCACTCACTCACTCACTCACTCCCTCACTCCCTCACTCCCTCACTCACTCACTCACTCCCTCACTCCCTAACTCCCTCACTCACTCACTCACTCACTCACTCACTCACTCACTCCCTCCCTCACTCCCTAACTCCCTCCCTCACTCACTCACTCACTCACTCACTCCCTCCCTCACTCCCTCACTCCCTAACTCCCTCACTCACTCCCTCACTCCCTCACTCACTCACTCACTCCTTCTCTCCCTCCCTCGCCCACTCGCTCACTCGCTCACTCGCTCACTCACTCCTTCTCTCCCTCACTCCCTCACTCACTCACTCACTCCTTCTCTCCCTCCCTCGCCCACTCGCTCACTCACTCACTCACTCACTCCCTCCCTCACTCCCTAACTCCCTCACTCCCTCACTCCCTAACTCCCTCACTCACTCCCTCACTCACTCCCTCACTCACTCACTCACTCGCTCCTTCACTCCCTCCCTCACTCCCTCACTCACTCCCTCACTCACTCTCTCACTCCCTCACTCACTCACTCACTCACTCACTCACTCACTCACTCACTCACTCCCTAACTCCCTCACTCACTCACTCACTCACTCACTCCCTCCCTCACTCCCTAACTCCCTCACTCACTCACTCACTCACTCACTCCCTCCCTCACTCCCTCACTCCCTCACTCACTCACTCCCTCACTCCCTCACTCACTCACTCCCTCACTCCCTCACTCCCTCACTCCCTAACTCCCTCCCTCCCTCACTCCCTCCCTCACTCACTCCCTCACTCACTCCCTCACTCACTCACTCACTCACTCACTCCCTCACTCCCTCACTCCCTCACTCACTCACTCACTCCCTCACTCCCTAACTCCCTCACTCACTCACTCACTCACTCACTCCCTCCCTCACTCCCTAACTCCCTCACTCACTCACTCCCTAACTCCCTCACTCACTCACTCCCTCACTCCCTCACTCCCTAACTCCCTCCCTCCCTCACTCCCTCCCTCACTCACTCCCTCACTCACTCCCTCACTCCCTCACTCCCTCACTCCCTCACTCCCTCACTCACTCACTCACTCACTCACTCACTCACTCACTCACTCCCTCACTCACTCACTCACTCCCTCACTCACTCCCTCACTCCCTCACTCACTCACTCACTCCCTCACTCCCTCACTCCCTCACTCACTCACTCACTCACTCACTCCCTCCCTCACTCCCTAACTCCCTCCCTCACTCACTCACTCACTCACTCCCTCACTCCCTAACTCCCTCACTCCCTCACTCACTCCCTCACTCACTCACTCACTCACTCACTCACTCACTCACTCACTCACTCCCTCACTCACTCACTCCCTCACTCACTCCCTCACTCCCTCACTCACTCACTCCCTCACTCCCTCACTCCCTCACTCACTCACTCACTCACTCCCTCACTCCCTCACTCCCTCACTCACTCACTCACTCACTCACTCACTCACTCCCTCACTCACTCCCTCACTCCCTCACTCCCTCCCTCACTCCCTCCCTCACTCACTCACATTGCTGCAGAACAGTTGGATTACATGTTTTTTAATTTATCTTCTTCTTTTCCTCTCTTAGTTCCCACAATAAAGACGGAGCCACATGACGACTTTGACGCCCCTCTGGTGTGCGGCCAGCACGCCCCCGGCCTGTCCTTGCTCCAAAAGCCATACTTCTCCCCTCAGGTCGTGACCCCGATGGTGCCCTCGGACCCCAGGCCATGTGTGGTGGGCGGAGCTTACTCTCTCAGCCAGCAAAGATTGGCAGCCAAGCCTTCACGGCTGCCCTCCCCGTCCTCTCCTAGCACCAGCCCCAAACTGCACGACCTGTCTCCGCCTCTCTTCACAAAGTGCCTCCCTGCGGCCCCTGCGATCCAACCGTCCCCGATCCCGCACGTCTCCATCATCCAGGAGACACCCGGGCGCTTCCAGCCGCCAAGCCTCTACCCACCCAGCAGCTCCTCCTCCTGCTCCTCCCCGGCCTCACCCTCAACTCCAACTGACGCCCCCTTTTCCCCGCCGCTCAGCATGACAGCAGCGCCGCCTGTTAGCATTAGCACCAGCCCAGGAGCTCAGCAGCACCCCAAGGCGTCAGAGAGTGGGCGGGATGACCTGCAGGAGGAAGGCAGCCCCCCTGCTTTGGCTGTCAGCATCAAACAAGAACCACAGGAGCTGGACCAGATGTACCTGGATGATGGTGAGTGATTAACACCACATAAAGACGGACTTTAAATCAAGTAGTCTCCTCAGTGATCAGATTATTTGGCTCAGCTCCGAGAAACGAGTTGGCCTCGTCTTTCTGCAAACAGCTCTTCACTTAGTACCACTTCAGTCAGTCATTTTTGACAATAACAACCTCCTATTGTTCACTTAAAGGATCCGGCTACTATTAATGACCTCTATCCAGTCCATGGAAATAATTACAAAGGGAACATTCTGTCCAAGCCACTAAAGGGTTTTTTTTTCTGCCTTTCCAGCATGAAATGACCCCAATTAATCTTCAGGTACAGAGGGGACTTTTGATCATTGTCATATGACTCACTGATTATTTCAGCAGGAGCTGAACTTTTGGCCTTTAAAACTCTGTTTCATGAACCTGCAGATGGGGGGGGGGGGGGGGGGGGCGGAGTTGCTTTGCTTTCTTTGTTGAGTTAAACGAGAGCATTGACTTTGATAACTACAGAGCTCGACAGTGACTTCCATCTTTTTTTGTCAGCTCTGGGTCTGGAAGTAAATTTCCCGATTCAAAATGTTGCCGAATGTTAAATAATTTTCTGCCTGACAATTTTTTCTGTGCCCTAAAAAGTCAGGACAAAAACAATCAAATGACCCGTTGTTTTATTTTCAAGTGATTCAGCACAGAAGTGGTTAACATCCTCGGCGTGCTCACTTTCAGAACGTTAAACTATGATGTTACTGTTCGGGTCACTTACAGGACTCTGTCGGGGGAGCAGATTGGGTTTACCAACACTTTGACACGTCTTACTTGTTGTTTTAATATCTCTTTATTCTCATACCTTTGGTACTTCTTTCCACTGCTGTCAGGTTTTTTTTTTAATAATAAGGTCAAAGAAACCCGGTTGTAAACTTTTTAATACATAACATTTTAAACCTAGAATCAGACTGAGACCGTCCAAACCCCTCCGATAAAATAACTGCAGCTTTTTTTTGTGAGCCCCGTTATTTATCTCCGAGAGAGCAGAGTTTTAGGAGGACAAACTTTATGATCTCACTGCTCTGGCCCTCGGCGCTCACCGCTGAGGTTCAGGGGGGGCCGTGCGGTCTGCGCTGCGGTGATTTGAAATAAATTGGATGAATGATCCTTCCTCTGTGCTTGAAAAAACATTCCCTGGCCGTGTGCAAATAGATGAAGCAACACTAACCAGCAGTTATCAGTGGATGGAGCAGCGGGGGCTTTGATCTGAAACCAGAGCTCCCCGCTGAATCGTCTGCTCCGGTTTCCTGACGACGGCCAGTGAGACGCTGTTGTTGGGCCGTGGACTGCAGGACTCAGACTGTTCCCATGCCACTTCCTCTGAACGGTCTGGGTAATTACATTAACACTTGTTAGCGCTGTCTGCACGGATATTTTGCTCTTTAAGAGTGAGATTTGATTGGTTGTTATGCTCTCAGTGGTGCCACCACTGCTCATGCCTCTTGAGGACTTTAAGTTTAAACCAGGGTAGTTAAAGGGGGGGAAGTATATCGACTCCAATATGGATATTTCTTTGGATCTGGGTGCACCAATTACCCTTGTTTTCATTGGCAGATTGAGGGGATATTCATAAAGCATTCCCAGATTTAATGTGGCTTCTCACATCATGAAAAACTTTGGCAGCGTTTGATACGACTTCTTCTCTTTATGGTCGAGCTCAGGTGTGGCGTTTCTGCAATTATATGTGGGCCAAGATCATTAAAGCTCAAAGTAAGACACCTGAGATTTTTAGGGAGACATTGACTCTCATTAAAAGAATTTAGTGAAAGTATGACTGTGTGTGTTTGTGGGCTGTCACTTAGTGTGAATATATTTAAAATGACTGACAGACGTAAAAGATAATCGTTACATTTTTATGTTTTTAATGTAGGGCAATTTAATTTAATATCAAAACAATTTGACCCACGTGAATAATTGAACAGATTCATTTAAACCACTTGTCCAGTCAACTTCTTATCACAAACCTCTCGAACAGGGCCGTGTCCGGACTCTTTCTGACTGGGGCGGCCCGTTTGGGGCACCAACTTACACAGGGGGGGGCATGACTCACATTTTCCAGATTTACATTTCTTTCTCCCATTATCATATCGAGTACATCTTACTAACTGCTAACTTGAAGGTGTGTTCTGTTTTTTTCCTGTGTACCATTTTTGGAAACAGAAATCTGCCATGCTTAGACTCAAAAAGACAAAGTATCAACATAAGTCACAGCAAAGAGAACCAACAAGAGAAACGTGCAACAAAAAATTTCACAAAAGCAAAAAGCAGCACATCCCTATAAGTTAATTTGAACATATATCTCGCCTCTGACTGCGCAGAGAGCCAATCATAAGCTGCCTATGTATTGCCAGTTCAAGAGGAGATATTTACGTCCCCTCTGTCTGCAATGTGTAACGCACCGAGGCGGTATTATTGCCCACAGTCGCTCCGCCGCGCTTCTGCAACATCGTAAAATCTCTCACTTTCACACCAATTTCCCACTTTTACAAAAGCATTCTGATGGCAGAGCTTTGTTCCTCTTGTGTAAATGTAATCCACAAAGAGCTATAGTTTAGCACAACAGGGTGGCCAATCAGACTTCAGAGAGTCTGATTTTTTAAACTAGATTTTGTAGTTGACCTTTCTCCATCATCAGAGCGGATATCTTTTGTTTTTTCAGCCCTCTCGTATTCACCATGATCCCCTGCTGTTACACTTTTTTTTTTTCAAACAGTCCCCCTGAGAGGTTACGAACATGTCTGCTCATGGAAAGTCTGAGCAGTGTTGTCTGGCCCCCGAGCCAGAGCTCCAGCTATAGGCTGCAGGGAGCACGGTCTGAACTCCAGGACTTGCTGAGGCTGAGGGAGATGGAGGCCGGCCACGCTGCCATAAAACCTGCTGACTGCAGAGGTTTGCATGCTTCCCTTTGGCTCACAGAGCGAGAGTCTGGAGGACACGGCCAAAGCCATACGTTATGCTGCACGAGCAGTGTGCTGAAGACTTTGGTCAGCGGTGAGGTAACATGAGCAAAACGTGCATTTTAAAGTCAGATCTGAGCCAAGTAGCATTACGAAAGGCTTTTTTTATGGTGCGTTGTGGCCTTGTTAGATGTCAGGACTGCACAATTGACGACCATAGGCAGCAGGGGATCATGAGAAAAGTATTTGGTTGAACATGTGACTAAAGCCTGGCTGGAGAATCAGTCCCATTTTATACTCAAAACTCACTTGCCACCTCAAGTTGGAATGAAAAATCAGATAATTAATGAAACGACACGATGCCTTTGGAAGGAATATACAGTATAATTGGCTTATTGCAAATCCCTCGACATTCACATCTGCAAAGTCTTTCTTGTAGCCAGAAAAAGTCATTGAAGCATTTCTAAGTAAAAACACCAGCATGACGCAATTAAATTCAACAGCCAATTATAAATGTAATTAAAAACAACCTCCTGCTTCCCCGCCTTAGTTTAGCTGACGTGTAAGATTGGACTTGTGCGTCCTCTTGGTTGAATAGATGTTTGTGTGAACATTAGAATAAAATTGACAATAAAATGCAATCCAAAGCAGCAAAGTCTGCAGCTGGAAAAATGACCCAACAATTAGATTTTTTTGTTTTTTGTTTCATACAAAACGGATAAAACTGTTACACGTGGAGAAGCAACACAACAGCTGCAAAAATATATCTGAAGGGCCCCTCCAGCGTTAGCTAATTTACAGCCTCGAGACATCGAATCCCAAATGCATAAGAAGCTCAGCACGCTGAAGAACATTTGTCAGGTCATATGTGCATGTTCGAGCTTTTTTAATGGTCATTTAACAGCATTGCACGGACAGGTGACCATTGCTATGGTAACAATAGTCACTTGGTCTTTTTCTTCATGGAAATAACAGCACATAGTTGATGCTGTAAAAGAGTCTGAGTTTGATTATGTAGAGATCCTTAGTGGTTAAATAAGTTAGTAAATGTTACAGATATCATCACTATCTGATGTTATGCAGATCCACATATTTGCAGATAATCCATCAATGCATCGTTTTGTTTTCTTCTCGGACACATTCAGCTGTCTTCTGGGTTAAAGTCTAGCATGAATGGGGGCGCTGGTGGCGCAGTGGTTAGTGTGCACGCCCCATGTATGGAGGCCGTGGTCCTCAAAGCGGGCGGCCCAGGTTTGAATCCAGCCTGTGGCCTCTTTTTTTCCGCATGACATTCCCTACTCTCTCTCTCCCTGATTTCCAGCTCTATCCGCTGTCCTATCTCTCGGCACAAAAAACCCAAAAATCAATTTTTAAAAGACATTAAAGATTTTCAGATAATTTTTGAGAAGCATAACAGATTCTGAAGCCAGGCTGAAATGCATCATGTGCTGTGCGGCGTGCAGGGTGGCACAAATGCTGATCACAAACCTGATCTGCTGCTCCCGACTGCTCGGAGAAATTTGAAATTTTAGTTTTTGTACACCTACAAACACTCAGTGAGAGCAGAGCCACGAGCTGACTCCCCAACTTCAGGGCTTTCTTTTCCAGATTGTGCCTGTACCGACTCTCTCACAGCATCTGAAATCACTATGGCAACAGCAGACACACCTTTTTGACCTGTCTTCCCCCTCCTATCAAGAAATAAATGAAGGAGTGAATAGTTGACAGGAAATGGCTGCAGAACTCCCGCTTGGTTATGATTCAGCTTTCTAGTTATCTTGTGTTTGCGCTCTGGTTTGTTTGTTAGAAAGAAAGCAAAGAGTGTTTTTTGACTTCTACTTCCATCTCTGGGAGTTTTCAAAGGAAACTTTATTGACAAATGTCAACAGGCGTTTTCACACCGCAGGAACTTTTTCATAGTTCTAGGAACTGTTGGAACCCTCCCTCTTTTTTATTGGTTCAGCACCACTGGGAAATACAACCAGGGTTAAAAAAAAAATCTGTCTAAATCTGTGGTGAACTGGGGGACGGATCTGTGGGACTGACTTGCAGTAAGGCAGTAGGAGCCTTAAGAACATTTCATGGCTTGAGGCCTGGATTTGACGTGGCGGTAAACAGAGACGGATGGTTAAAGGCACAGTTTGTTAATTTCGCCACCAGGGGGCTGTCAATCAAAACAGTTACAAAAGATGGTGTTGTGGCTCTAACAACCTGTGTTACCACGGCAACGATACATATCTCGTGTCTATCATGGCGGCCTCCACAACAAGACACGTCCCGTTACAACTTTAAAATTAAGGATTTATCTTGGCTTTGATAACTGTTTGAAATATTTGAGCAAATGTAAGTACTCAACATAAAATGTATATAACATGAGTTTAGGCCATTCTTTTATGAATTTAGATATTTTGATGTAAACATTCTAATAAAATTCTGCATATTGTATTTGTATTGTATCATTTAAATGAGGAGGGGGGTTGGTGGTGTGGTTGAATATCACCTGATCAGTTCCTCTGTAGTATTGTGTTATTACAGACCGGATCACGTTGATACGTTTCAGCCCTTAATGAGGCTAACAGTGCTGTCGTCTTAGATTGTTTGGGAGTTCCTCGTCTGTCGGGGATTTCCTGGCTGGGGGGCGTCGAGCTGTATCAGACCGCTCCAGCTGCCGTCAACAGGAAACTAGTTCCTGGTTTACTTCATGTCAAACCCAATCCTTATTTTGAATAACTGTTAACTTACTAACATCGCAGCTAACAGTCATGTGTTTGTTTTAGTTACCCACAACTTATTTGTCACTGTTTGAAATGTGGAGCTAGACTTGGGCCAAAAGAGAGAGGGGGGGGGAGCCTTGCTCAGGGGCACCTCGGCAGTGCTCAGGAAGTGAACTGGCACCTCTCCAGATACCAGACCGATTTCCAGACTTGGTCCAAGTCCCAACACCCTGAGCTACTGCCGCCCCAAAAACTTGGCAAATTCAACGCAAAGTGAACATGTTCAGAAAGGGTTAAGATGAAGTTTTACTTTTAGAACAACAGGGCAACTCTGACAGGCAACACAGATCACACAGATATGATAGAAACATCATGAACAGTTACCAAATAGACAAACAGAAAGGTTGTTTTCTTAACTGTTTTCCAAATGGAGCTGTCTTCACTAAGATATGTCTTATATGTCACAACCAATATCAGTTCAGTTGTTTTCTGAATGAACCCACTTGTTTGCTGCGCTCGCTCCGTGTGTTTCCTGCTGTTGGTTTGTTCTCGACTCTCTCCTGAGCAGATCGATGTGAGCAGAGAGCACATGATGACACAGATGTCACTCTGGTGCTGGCTCTATTTTAAGGATTTTTGTTGTAGACACACTTAAGAGATCAATAGATTGACTTCTGTTTCAATTAGATCCTCCCCTTCAAAAGTGACGACACGGTGAAAAGTGGGCCATGACAACGGACACATAAACAGTCGATGTTGTGGCGTCCGTGGAGCCAAGGAGAGAGATTCACAGCAAAGGTCCTCCTTTAGCTCGCTGAATTCTCAGCTTTAATTTTGAAGGTCTCATTCTGGCACGTTTGGATTTATGTTTTATTTGTGTCGTTTTTTAATACATATGTTTCTGTAAGCTCACAGCCTGCCCAGTCCAACAGATCCATTGAGTCAATCAAATGATCAGGTCAGGATATTGGCTATCTAAGGCTGTGTGCTCCATATTTGCTCGACTGTTAAATGGAAATTTAAATTCAGTTTTACCGACTAGTTTGCACGTAAGAAAACACTCAGTAATCAGTCAAAAATTTTGCAAAATGTATTCAATATTGTGTGCAAGTAAACCATGTAATTTGGTTTGCCTAGTGTTGCTAACGTTAGCAGTGCTAGTACCCCCAGCCTTCGACCCTCCCTGCAGGTCAACATCCCAATGCCTTTTGCTAAATGAGGCTCAAATTGCGCTGGTCACTAAAACCTGACACAGCCTACATACATTTTTATATCTCTGTTTTCTGGATCAGGACGAGATTGCAGCGCAGTTTGTCAAAATACTGCCTAACCTCACTGCTATCCATGCTATCCGTTCACTGAGCTCGTTTACATCCAGGTAGTAGAGCAGAAGGAGAACAGGCACATTAACCAGAGCTACAGCCAGTCTTTGGCAACAGCCCCATCTAGTGGCAGACTGCTGTTTTGCAGTCAGAGCATAACAATTGACTGGCATCAAGGGCCAACATCTAAAATAATTAATAAAAATGTTTTAACCGACTAATAACTCTGGTGCTAACTAGCTAGGGTGACTTTTGACTGTTTAGTCGACTAAATGTGCACATCTCTAGATTTAACACTGGAACATAAATCCTCTCCAGTCATGCTTACATGCATTTCACCCCATGTTTAATTTCCATTTATGTCTACTGGTCAAATGTCTGCTGGTGCATACAATAAGGACAAGGCTTTACACAGAAATTGGCCTCTCATACATGAAGCATTAACAATTTTTTAACAGAATCAGTACAACTTTGATTCATCATCCATGTTGAATTGTCTACTGGTCGTCAAAGCTATTTCTCCTTTTTTTTATTAGTGTAGTGCCCCTTTAAGATGAACCTTTTAAACATTCTTTTTTGGTCGTCTGCTGAATCAAGAGAAAACGTTTTAGACCACCTGAATAGAAAATGTCAGAGAGAGCCGTGTTGACAAGTCTCTTCCTCGCTGCCAAGTTCTTCACAAACACGCACTGATGTGAATCTCACCCCGCTCATGGTCACATAATAGGTTCAGTGTGTCCCTGTGTTTGTGCGACACGCTCATGTGAGATCGCTGCTGTTCTGCCGTTATCAGACCTCATGAGGGATCTTCTTGTTCCTTTATTATTAGCAGCGAGAAGATCGGCGAGCCAAACACATAAAATTCATGTCAAACAAATCTCTGTAAGCGCTGGAATTATAAACAGCTTCAGTTAAAATTTCAAATATGTGTTGCTCAGAAGAGAAAAGTTCCTCCTCAGGTTTTTTATTTAGTACCTCAAGGTGGTTACGACACGTTTATATGTTGCAATTTTTTTTTTTTTACAAAAAAAGCCTCCTGCAAACTTGGAAAAACCCACAGATACTTTTAAAGCAGATTTGTTGCCAGGCACGTACACTCAGTCATCTTTTTTTCAGGATGGGAAGTGAGTGGTATTTCTGGTAGGAAACGAGTCTGCCAGAGCTGGGTCACAGAGGGAAGGCCCGCTCTGCTGCCTGTGATGAAAATAAACTTCTGAGATGAAAAAAAAAGATAATTCCATTGTGTTTAGGGGAATCTCGGGTTTCCAGGCTGCTTTTCCAGCGTCCAGTCAGTCAAAGGGAACTCCTTCCCTCGGCCTGTTGGCTCGCTTTCCCGGGGCCAGCTCCAGGGGTGTTCCCGTTTTCTTCTGCATATTTCTCACCCCTGTGAGAGGAGAGCGAGAGGCCTGATTTTGTGGCTGGTTTAAATAATAAGAAGCTGATTACGGTGGGAGGAACGGTGGAGAGGATTCTTCTTAAAGAAATAAATTACTTTGCAGGGAAAGATAGTGAAAAATGAGGGGGGAAATGATTTGTTCTTGTTGCTATCAGTGCTTTTATTTCTATTTATTTTCTGGTTGAGCCTCAGTCAGACTGCTCCGTTACATTGAGATCCTCCTCCCTCTCTCCCTCTGCAGCCAAAGAACACAGCTGATAAAAACAGATAAACAAGTGCACCTGGACCCTGCAGAGACAGCGGGAGGTTGCATCATCTCTCCTGATAAAAAAAAAAAAAAAGAAAGAAAAGAAAAAGGTCTGGGGATCTAAGATATAGCCGAGCCTGATTCTATTAGGATGACTCAGAGGAAATAAAAGCTCCTATAGAGCTCAGAGGATTGCTTTCATATTGGCTGAAGATGCTACCTTAAAGCTGCAACTGTAAATGTTTTATATAAACTGTGGAAAAAGGGTGCGTGATGTGAGAGATGTGATGAAACACACAATTCTGCATCACTTCCTCCAGCATGACTCAGCTATTTTACACACCAATAGCCCAACCTTTAAGAATCAAATGTGCACACTGTAAGGGACTAGCAGGTCACATTAACCAAGCGTTTAGTAGGTAAACAGTCGGATATTACTTTAAGACAGTGGAGCTCAAACTTAGTCTCCAGCTAGACTCTTCCCCTCTGTCGCCCCCTGGTGGTGGAATTAACTACCAAACTCCACTCGATCTGCAGAGTCCCGTTGCACCTTTAAGAAAAAGCTAAAGACCCAGCTCTTTATGAACACCTTTGACCTTATTAATGATATTGATGATGATGATGGCTTTGTTTGACAAAGACGATGATGACTTTTAGTATTTGATTTTCCAATATTTCCAACATAAATTAAAAACTTTGCATCTTTCATCAGTTTTGATTCAAATGTTTTTAAAATTCTGTTTCGTGTAAGTAACGATATGACATTCTGTTTATTTTATAGCAAACGGTTGTCCAATTGAAAACCAATGCAAAGGGAAAAAGGCACAAATACAGTCATCTGTTAAGTGTCATACTCCAGAGATGTCCAGTAGAAAGCTTTTTTGTTTATGTCAGATTCCCTCACACAAACACACAACACACTGACCGTCCTTTCTCTCTTCTCTTCTGCAGTCAATGAGATCATCAGGAACGACCTGTCCAGCATCTCCGTCCACAGCCACGCGTAGCTTCCTGTCGCATTTGAAAACTGTCACAGGAAACAAGAAGAAAGGGAAACACCAGACTGAAATAGACTTTATGCTTTTCATGCTTGGACTACAGCATGCAGGAAGCGGCAAAAAGGAAATGCAAGGAGAACAAATGTAAATCTATCGTGCAGATGACCAGGGTCCAACACGTGCCTTGTTTTTCTTATATAATGCATTTAGAAATGAATTATACGACAAATACATCCAACTAAGACTGCCTTTTTTGAATACATGTAAATTGATTATGTAGCAACCAAAACTGCCATCCCAACCCCACACAGCAAAGTATGCTTTTAGAGGACCAAACATAATTTTGTATGTCTCTTTTTTTGTGCTGCGATTGTAAATTGATTCAGTGCCTTTGAGTTATGTGATTTGTATATACAGTATGTGTAGTGCTTTAGTTTGCATATCTGACTTCAGAGAGAGAGAGAATGAGAAGAGAAGTGCCTTTTTAACTGGAAACAGAAAATTGTGGCCTGCACATTTTCATGTTCAAAATGAACTATGAAAGTTTTTTTTGAAGTTACACAAATATATATATATATATTTTTTGTTACATGTATCTAATAAGGGGAAATGTTATGACAAGTACCAATAGCACAAATGGAGTATTGTCACAGGGACGGCACGGCTTAAACAGTAAATGATTGTCATTCTAATAACGGCTAAAAGTAGCTACAAAATGCTAATGGTCATACCTGAACAACTATCAATCAATACATCTTTTTTTATTCATATAGCGCTGAATCACAACAAAAGTCATATAAACTTTGAACATCCAGAGCAGGTCGAGATTGAACATTTTGAAGTATCATTTACTTAGACCCAATAATCCACCATAACTAAGCACCTAGCAACAGTGGAGTAGAAAACAACAACATGTAGAAAACTCGAGCAGGACCAGACTAGCATGTGGACAGCCATCTATCTTGATGCTATAGCAACGACCCCCCCCCTTCCCCCAGCTCATATAATATTTGGTTAGACATTTTTTATTGACATTTGTTCGTGCAATTATATATTGAATATTTGAATAAATTTTCTGTATTCACTACCAACAATAAGCACTTAACCACTTAACCTGTGGTGTTACTTCGGGCTGTTTTATTGAGACAACATGTCACCATCACTTGAAGTTACAGAACAACGCCAAAACATTTCCGATGATGTTTGCCAAACCTTGGAGTTTGCGTTTACAGTTTTTAAAAAGTCACAGATTGATAAGTCATTTTGGGTCACTTTTAGAATAAAATATCTCCGTCCATATAACGTGTTTACAGACTTGAAATTAACCTTAACTTTGGAGTTAACTGCTGGCTACAGTTATTCTGTCTTGACTTGTATCTAAAGAAGAAATCATCTCGGGTTTGTCAAAGCGTGACTTTTCCCTGGAAGCTATGCAATGAGCAGTTAGCAATAGCCTCTCAAAGAATGTAAACAATCACCGATACAACATAAAAACGTCTCTAATCCAAAGAACAGCGGTGAACAGCAATACAGAAATATAAGTTCTTTCATGTTTTTTGTATTTTCATATTTATTCTCTTAGCATGTGCTCTGTTTATTCATGTTTATCATAAAAACGTCTTTTACATGCTTACCTACATACTGTGGTTTATCTACTCATTTGTTTATTATAGAAAAACGGAATGAGCTTTCACACTTGTTCCCAGTTTTTATATGTATTTATGAGTCTTAATCTTTGTAACTGAAGGCCTAAAAGAAGCCATACGGAAATGTTTACCGTGGAGATATTGTTAGACTACACAGCTCATTACGTGTGCTTTGTGACCTATTTTGTGTATTTGTCAATAAATGCGTCTTCATCTCTCATGTTAATGATAAGTCTTCTATGCACACCAAAGAAAGCCATGGAGTTCCACAGGATTCAGTGCTTGGACCGATTCTTTTCACCTTATATATGCTTCCTCTTGGTAATATTATGAGGAAACATTTCATAAATGTTCGTTTTTATGCAGATGATACTCAATTGTACTTACCAGATGATACCAATTAAACTAGAAGCATGCCTTAAGAACACTAGGATTTGGATGACCATAAATCTATTGCTACTTAAAATAACAAATACGCGGCTACTTGTTTGCAATCTTTGGATTTGCTGCAGTAAGTGCAGTGTTGCAGCAGCTTTAAAACCTAGCGTTGACACTAATCTATGAAGTTTTATTTTTATTTCTTCCTGGAGTTGTCTGTTCCCTCTCTTAATGTAGCCAATTTCAAGCTAATTTGGCCCCATTCAAACGAGTCACATCTGGTTATGTAAAATATGTTTAAGAGCCTTTAAACAACTAGGATGGCTGCTGTATTGTGAATGGCCTGAATTCACTATTGTATTGGTTTTTAAATGAAATTAACAATTACCATAGACCATCAAACCGTCAGCTCATAGAAAAGTGTAATCATGTTAGATGGTTTTTATGGGATATGAAGATGAAGTTCATTAACACATACGATAGTTTGATATGAACGTAGCCTGTAACATGTTTCACTTCCTGAAGAGCACTGAAGCTCACAGCAGGTCAGAGCTTTTGCATTGTTGCACACATTAGGGTGATTCACAAAGGGTTTTCCATATAATCAAATAATCAAAGATGTATGATCATCCTGTCACACAGAGCAGCATAACTGGAGGTTTGTCTACGACTTGGAGTTCAAGTTGAGCTCTGAGTCATGCACGCTTACCCTGATGCACTCTTTCTAATACACACAAGAACATATGCAATCACACACTGTTACTTAATCAACTTAATTAAAGTTGTCAAACATATGTATGAGTACCACCAACCATGCATCAATCCTACAGATATCAATACAGATGCAGCAACAGAATGTAGCTAATCAAGCAGACAATAACATTTACACTACATTTATCTGATTTTAATTAAAATGACTGTTACTTCACATTGAACACAGATGTAACCAATAAGCACAAAAAGATTTAATAGTTATTTAGTATATGAAATCACACACACAATAAAGTATTGTCTTACAAGTAGCCTACATGAGTTCCTGTGTATTTTAACATTGGGCTGTACGGGAACACCAATAAGCTCAGGCTCCCCTTCAGCTCAGTCAGGGAGGAGTTCATTGTGGCACGGGCATGGGAACATCTGCAGTACTCTGGATCCAGAGACGCCAAAGTGTCCGGGGCAGGGATTGTTGTGAGGACAGGGAGGAAGTGGAGGGCAGTGGATGCAGTCCAGCAAGCAGAAACTCGACTGAAGCACAAGGCCATCCTTGGAACAGTGGCGCAAGGCAGAGCCGGACTTGGGAGCCTAGCAGCGGCCCGATATGACTCTGCCAGCGGAAGGGAGAGGCAGAGGTTGGTGCAGGAGGAGGTGCGAGCTTCAGTCGAGGAAGAGCGAACCAGCAGTGCAGTGACCATGCGGCAGCAGGGCGCCTGGATGAAGTGGGAGCAGGCGATGGAGCGGAGTGTCACCTGGAAGGACATCTGGCAGTGGAACCCCCAGAGGATCAAGTTCTTGATTCAGGGAGTCTATGATTTCCTCCCAAGCCCATCCAACCGATGTATATGGGGCAAAATAGAAACACCTGCATGCCCCCTGTGTTCCAAGATAGGGACACTGGAACACATCCTGAGCAGCTGCTCCAAGGCGCTGGGTGGGGGCCGGTATCAATGGAGGCACGACCAGGTCCCCAAGTCCATCGCTGAAGCAATCAGCAAGGGGATCAAGGGCAGCCGACACACCCAAGCCACAGCTAATGCCATTCACTTTGTCAAGGAAGGACAAAGGCCGGAGAAAACACCAAAGAACCGCTCTGCTGGTTTGCTCCCCACGGCCCGAGACTGGGTGATGTCAGTTGACCTGGAGAGGCAGCTGAAAATTCCACCACACATCACCCAGTCCAGATTGAGACCTGACATCATCTTGGTCTCAGAGGCCACAAAATACCTCTTCTTGCTGGAACTGATGGTTCCATGTGAGGAGAGGATGGAGGAGGCTCAAGAAAGAAAGACGGAGAAGTACCAGGAGCTGGTGGAGGATTGTCGGAGGAACGGGTGGAAGACCAGGTGTATGCCAGTGGAGGTGAGAAGTCGGGGGTTTGCCAGTCACTCCCTGAGCAAAGCCTACGGCACACTGGGGATAACAGGTGCAAACCGAAAAAGAGCCATAGGCAACAACGTGGAGGCAGCTGAAAAAGCCTCCAGATGGCTCTAGTTGAAGAGGAGAGAGCAGTGGGGGTAATAGAATGCCACTTGGACACAGGCCAGGGTCTGATCAGCCTCGGTCGCGTTGCCTCGAGGAGGGTGTCTGTTGCAAGACCCGAAACACCCAGTGACTCCAGGAAACACTGATGATGTGTCCAAGTCTGTGCATCAGTAGATGTATTATTAACTATGTATGTAATTTTAAGCAACCTAACATTAAACAATCAACCAGATATCTATTTAAATACACATCTCTCAGACTTAGATATTACTTTACCCTAAATACTAATGTTCAAGGCTTCTCTGTTGCAGTTGGATGTCTGTTGTGATCTGGTGCACACTGACACCTGGTGGTCACCGTGGCAACTGCCTGATTTTTACACACAAGGGGAACGAAGATCAGCTGTTGTTATATACTTTTTCTTTGTGCGTGTTGTCTGATTTTGTCACGCTCTGAACTTGACTGACAACGTGACTGAGGCTGTTATGAAAATCAGGACGTGTTTGATTCACAGTTTGAGGGTTGAGCTCGGCGGCTCCGCACCTGTCACACGTCTTTTAGGGAAATCAGGTGTCACTTCTACTCAGTCTGTGGATTATTGTGCTGATCACTTTTTGATGACATCTGTACTGAATATACCAGGTAAGCCACGACCTTACGAGAGTTTAATTTTGAAATATTCTATTTTTAAATAAGTATGAAGACTGTTGAGTATAATACAATATTACACTTTTATTTTTTTCTTCATTTCTGTATAGTGGTCTACAAATTCTCACAAGTTAGATAAAGTTATATAATTCAGGAAAATATTTCACTTCCATGACTGAATTCGGTATAACAGTACACCCTCTTGTATGATCATGAATGACACCCTGCAGCCAATCAGAATGGAGTAGTCATCCAGACTATGGTTTATTTAGGAGTAAAACTAACTTATAATTGTTTTTCTTCCCTATCAGGAGCTTCTGAAAGTTGACTTTTTCAACTCTGAACACCAGTTTGGTACGATGGAGACAGTGTACAACAATGACACACAAAACCAGAGTACACCTTCAGGCTGTGAGTTTCGACCAACTCATATTGCGGCTTTCTCGATGATCGACATTGTTACTTTTATCACAGGACAACCAGTTATCGGCAAACTGCTGTGGCTGGTCTTCACATCCAAGAAGACAATTGATATCCTGAATTTTAATTTAGCGCTCTTCCATAACTTTCAGTACTTTGTGTCCATCGTGCATTTTATGTGCTTGTTCAGATGGCCTGCAATACACTTGGATATCGTCAAGTTTTTGTTTGTGTATGTAGAAATTGGTGGGCCAATGAGTTTGACTTTTATCTCCCTAGAGAGGTACTGTGCTGTGGTTTACCCCACGTCGTATCCTCTGCTGAAGATATACAGGTTGAGGGAGATTTGTGCCGTCAGTGTGTGGCTCATTTCTTTGCCCATTGCTTTCATGAGGATTGTCATCAAAGAAAACGCCCCTGAACTGGCCGACTTTATGTTAAAATCTCTCCCAATTTATATTATGGGGTTCATGATGTCCATTATGGTTTTGTGCAGTATCACCATCGCCAGGGAGCTGAAGAAGTCCGGGCCAGGGAGAGACGTGCTGCATCCAGTCAAGAAGAGAGCCCTGAGAACTGTCTGTGCCACGTCGTTCATCATCGTCTTGTGTTACTGTCCTGTTACCATAATGCAAAAGATGACGTTCTTCAGAGATCTCATGTACACCTGTGTGACTACACCTGTGTGTATTGTGTTTTTGTCTGCCGCGAGTGTTGTGCATCCGCTCTTTTACCTCTCCACCCAAGGGAAGTTGTGTCCCTGCTTGAAGAGAGGGGAAAAAATCTAATAATTTATTTACAAGTTTCTTCTTCTACAAGAAAGACGAATCCAACAACAAAAGTTTTTACCTGTCAGGAAAGGTGCTGAGTGTGATTAAGGGCACTTTATTACGGATCAACTGTCCGATGATGTACAGGCAGTGTAGAATATTATATGCCCAGCTGTTTGAGAGCAATTATTTTTCATTTGATCAAAGTAGAAGAAGAACATACTCACTGCTTATTTGAATGTCAAGTCAGCGTTTTTAGATCATGGTCATTCCCTGTATTTACATGCCATGTTAAGCTGCGAGCTAACTAAAGAGCGCTACCATTAGCATACAAGCACAACAATGCAGCTCGAGACAAGGACATTTTTGTCCGCTGCTTGCGCTTAGTGTTTAATTACGGTGTGTTCCAATTTGATAACTACTTTGATGCAAACACGAGGGGAGAGGGGTTGGAGGTGTGTCGCTGGAGGAGAGCGGAGGATTCAGTTTGGCGGAGGTGTCTCCAATCAGCAGTTTGTTTTGGTTACATGCTGGTGCTCGGGGGCGGGCGACATCTACTGGATCAAAAAAGGTTGCAGTTGGATGTCTGTTGTGATCTGGTGCACACTGACACCTGGTGGTCACAGTGGCAACTGCCTGTGATTGTCACACACAAGGGGAACGAAGATCAGCTGTTGTTGTATATTTTTTCTTTGTGCGTGTTGTCTGATTTTGTCATGCTCTGAGTTTGACTGACAACGTGACTGAGGCTGTTATGAAAATCAGGACGTGTTTGATTCACAGTTTGAGGGTTGAGCTCGGCGGCTCCGCACCTGTCACACGTCTTTTAGGGAAATCAGGTGTCACTTCTACTCAGTCTGTGGATTATTGTGCTGATCACTCTTTGATGACATCTGTACTGAATATACCAGGTAAGCCACGACCTTACGAGAGTTTAATTTTGAAATATTCTATTTTTAAATAAGTATGAAGACTGTTGAGTATAATACAATATTACACTTTTATTTTTTTCTTCATTTCTGTATAGTGGTCTACAATTTCTCACAAGTTAGATAAAGTTATATAATTCAGGAAAATGTTTAATATTTCACTTCCATGACTGACTTCGGTATAACAGTACACCCTCTTGTATGATCATGAATGACACCCTGCAGCCAATCAGAATGGAGTAGTCATCCAGACTATGGTTTATTTAGGAGTAAAACTAACTTATAATTGTTTTTCTTCCCTATCAGGAGCTTCTGAAAGTTGACTTTTTCAACTCTGAACACCAGTTTGGTACGATGGAGACAGTGTACAACAATGACACACAAAACCAGAGTACACCTTCAGGCTGTGAGTTTCAACCAACTCATATTGCGGCTTTCTCGATGATCGACATTGTTACTTTTATCACAGGACAACCAGTTATCGGCAAACTGCTGTGGCTGGTCTTCACATCCAAGAAGACAATCGATATCCTGAATTTTAATTTAGCTCTCTTCCATAACTTTCAGTACTTTGTGTCCATCGTGCATTTTATGTGCTTGTTCAGATGGCCTGCAATACACTTGGATATCGTCAAGTTTTTGTTTGTGTATGTAGAAATTGGTGGGCCAATGAGTTTGACTTTTATCTCCCTAGAGAGGTACTGTGCTGTGGTTTACCCCACGTCGTATCCTCTGCTGAAGATATACAGGTTGAGGGAGATTTGTGCCGTCAGTGTGTGGCTCATTTCTTTGCCCATTGCTTTCACGAGGATTGTCATTGAAGAAAAAGCCCCTAAACTGGCCAACTTTATGATAAAATTTCTCCCAATTTTTATTATGGGGTTCATGATGTCCATGATGGTTTTGTGCACTATCACCATCGTCAGGGAGCTGAAGAAGTCCGGGCCAGGGAGAGACGCGCTGCATCCAGTCAAGAAGAGAGCCCTGAGAACTGTCTGTGCCACGTCGTTCATCATCGTCTTGTGTTACTGTCCTGTTACCATAATGCAACAGTTGACGTTCTACAATGATCTCATGTACACCTGTGTGACTACACCTGTGTGTATTGTGTTTTTGTCTGCCGCGAGTGTTGTGCATCCGCTCTTTTACCTCTCCACCCAAGGGAAGTTGTGTCCCTGCTTGAAGAGAGGGAAAAAAATCTGATAATTGTCTTTCGAGTTTCTTCTTCTACAAGAAAGACGAATCCAACAACACAATTTTTTACCTGTCAGAAAGGTGCTGAGTGTGATTCAGGGCACTTTATTACGGATCAACTGTCCGATGATGTACAGGCAGTGTAGAATATTATATGCCCAGCTGTTTGAGAGCAATTATTTTTCATTTGACCAAAGTAGAAGAACATTCTGCTTATTTGAATGTCAAGTCAGCGTTTTTAGATCATGGTCATTCCCTGTATTTACATGCATGTTAGGCTGCGAGCTAACTAAAGAGCGCTACCATTAGCAAGCTAACACAACAATGCAGCTCGAGACAAGGACATTTTTGTCAGCCGCTTGTGTTTAGTGTTTTATTATGGTGTGTTCCAATTTTTTTAAAGATTTATTTTTGGGCTTTTAATGGATAGATAGGACAGTGGATAGAGAGTGGGGAATGACATGTGGGAAAGGAGCCACTGGTGGGATGTGAACCTGGGCACTTGTTTGAGATGACAGCCTCCATACATGGGGCCCGCACGAACCACTAACCACTGCGCCACTAGTGCCCAGGTGTGTTCTAATTTGATATCTATTTTGATGCAAACACGAGGGGAGAGGGGTTGGAGGTGTGTCGCTGGAGGAGAGCGGAGGATTCAGTTTGGCGGAGGTGTCTCCAATCAGTAGTTTGTTTTGGTTACATGCTGGAGCTCGGGGGTGGGCAACATCTACTGGATCAAAACAGTTGCACATTCTTCCTTTAATAGTTGTGTTCTGGATTATCAGTTTTTTTGGGCTTTGTTAATCAAAGACTGGCTTCTCTTTTATTTTTGTGTTTTTATGAAGCCCATTTGCTGTACACTTTTCTTTAGTTTGAAAATAAATGATTTAAAATTTGCTTATACTTAGTTCCTCCTTCTTTTCCCTTAGTTTATTTTTTATTGTTACTAGCCATCTCGGTGAACATAACAATGTCTAAGTCTTATATCATATCGTACCATGAAGAAACAAAATGATTAATGGAAACACAAAATAAATTGCATTATTATATAATTTTTATTTTACAAATCATAATTATTTCCACAGCCTTTAAAAATAGATTTATCTACAAACAGTACCAAACATTTTTATTCTCAGTACACAGAACATTCAGATCCGTCTCTTATGAACAGAAATACAGAAGAAGAAAAATTTGAAACTAATGTTTTGTTTCGGTCTTAGAGAAATACAACTGCACATTATTAATGACCTAAATCAACCAACAAATAATTATACAATTTTATGGCGATTAAAAAACAGTGCTGTTGTTTCAGCTTTTTCTTACCATAACTATTTAAATCTGCATTTCTTAGTTTAAAATTATCTCATTATAATGCTGATATGAAACCGACGGGGAGGGATTATTCTAAAACTGATATAGTGATTATTTTCCCCTAGTGGGTCATGAAGGTACTGCAGGAGGTCTTCTACAATAAATAAAAAAGTTCTTGAAAGTTTCTCAAAAGTCTGAACAAAGTTTATTAAGGTTAAAAATAAAGTTCTGGCGAAAGTGTTCAAAGATTACGAACTAGGTTTCTGGATATTTCAATTATAGGTTTGCTAAATTTAAAGTTTTTTTCTGACCAAATTCCCCTAAGATTTCTTGATGGAGGTTTTTGAAAATTCCCCAAAACTTTTGAAAAAATTCCAAATTTCTGAATAAAGTTTCTGAAGGTTTGAAGTACAATCTGGATCAATCAAACGTATTGTATTGTGTATAAATAAACACAAAATGTACCTCAACGCATGCAAAGGTATCTTCCTTTATGAAATAAAGGTCAGTAATGCAACACCAAAACACTACAGATTTACTGTGTCTACAGTTTGCTTCTCTTGTAACAAAAACAGGCTCAGATTCATATGATACAAATAAATCAACACAAAAAAACACAAATATAATCTACGCATAAAAAATGTGACACATCAGGGGCTGCTACTGTCCCACTTACTTAATTTTAAGGGCATTTTGTGTTGCACGGGTCCCCTGATGAAAAGAAGCTGTAAAGACTGACCAGGGGAAACATTGTCACAGCCCCCAGCAGAGAGCCCAGCTGCACTACCGCTCCACACCACACGAGGGCGCTGTGACCCTCGTCTCTCATGATCACTCCAATAATCACCTTCACGTAGGACAGAGTGAGAATAAAGAGGATCCAGGCCAACACCTGAGGAGCAGAAAGGAGGTGAGGTTCAAATCTGCTGCGTGTTTTTTCTGTATTTTAGATTCAAAAAGCAATAAGACGGCGACAGTGTGACAGTGTACTCACCATGATGACACCACCTGAAGTTTCATTTACTAGCAATGGACATGGACTCATCACAGCCATGCCCATTATATAAGCACCTATTCCACTGCCTGTCACTGTGAGAGCTCCCATCAGCAGTAAAGACCTGTGAAATGACACGTTACCTATAAATATCTGCTGCTTCAGGGTTTCATTTGAGCCAAAATCAAAGCGGAAACAGATGCATCACACACAATGTGGCATGATACCATGTAAAGTCTGTTGAATACTTGTTTGGATATTTTCTAAGATGTAGAGCCAAACATTTACCAAATCCTGATTTTATATAATGAGGTCCTGGCTGAGGCTGGTGGTTGCACAAACAAGAATATTTCAATTAGAAAATAATGGTTACACAGCAGTACACTGACCTTATAGGGAAGAACATGGCGATGAAGCAGGCCAGAGGGTTTGATACTGCGGCCATGGAGGCTGATAGGTGAAACGCCTTGTTCCCGTATGGCAGGCAGGAGTAGGACTGCACCGAGGGAACAACTGTGTTGCTCAGAGCGTTAACCCAGGCCAGGATTGCAAAGATATAAAACACCTGAATCCAGCTGTAGGATCCAGTCCCGAAGCTGCTCTTGCGTTTCAGGTTTGGAGCTCTGTAGGGATCCATCATGGGCTTCTGCTCGGCCCACTTCTTTTTTGCCTGAGATTTGTCTTTCACCCCGGTGGTGTAGCGACTGTTCGGGTGCTCCCTCGCCACAGACGGGTGGTAGTTCAGCAGCAAGAACGCCACCAGGCACACAAGCATCATAGCACTAAGGAAGAAGAAAAACCCTTCCACTGAGAAGTTTGCCGGCTGATACTCGGCCCTGAGCTCAGTGCTCGAAGCACTATACGAGGTGTTCAGGGTGTGGTTTAGAGACTGTGTGCCATTTATGCAGTTGACGACCCCGACACCCTGAATCAACGCCACCAGAGCGGGCAGCAGGCCGCTCACACCCTCCCCGATGTAGTACGTGGTCAGATATTGGGGCTTTAACCGCATAGTGAAGGGCAGGAAGGTGACGGAGGAAGTGCAGTCGACCGCAGAGAGGAAGAAAGTCAACACAAGGAGGGCTACACTGCGAGGAACGCCACCTACAACCACAGTCTCCTTCCAGAAGAATCCCAGCAGGAAGCTCGCCACAGTTCCCAGTCCAATGATCAAGTATATGACGGCAATCTCGTTCAAGGCGCCGGGCCGAAAGCGATGCATCAGGGTGACAAAGAGGGGCCCGATGTTAGCCATCTGAATGATCACAGAGAGGTATGAAGGCAGTAACCAGCCCTCTGGGATCTGAGGGACGATCAGGGGCAGCTCCACCCACAGGCCGTTGATGGAGACCCAGGAGCCCATCCCGAACAGGCACGCCAACAGGTGAGTGAGGAGGGACATAGTGGAGATCTGTGTTCCTCTAGAAAAAGACAAAAGGATCAGAGATGCTAGCATGGCTTTCGTTTTGGTCCACATTGTAACACATTTTTAAAGGCTAGGCTATGCCCCGTTTTGTTAGCTCAAACAGTGGAGGTGGGTCTTTCTGAAAAGTGATAGATAACAACAACAACCACAAAAAGCAGTAAACATTTTTATGAATCATCCAGACTCTTAGCTTGAGAGAAATTGATGAGGTTCAGGAACTACTAGCAGATGAAAGCCTGCAACTGTACAATGAGCTCATTGTACTAAAGCCTGCTTTGTTGAATTTCCTTAATAAATGCTAAAAAAAAAAAAAAAAAAAAAGGGAGCATGATTTCACTTTAACCAGAAGAGTATATTTTGGTTTGAACATTAAATCACCCGATCCTGTTAAGGTTGTCTCAAGCACATAAATGGGTTATCATTCACCAAGAATTAAGCTTTCTAATGAGAATTAATGATTACATTTTGACTTGGGTGTGAAAAGGGGAAAACCCTTTTGAAGAGAAAATGATTTACACTTTAATTAAAATGTTACACAGTAACTTTATAATGTTATCTTGATTGACATGTTATCTACTTTTACAAGTCCATGGGATACCAAGAACCACAAACTTTCCAACTGTCCATATCATGTTAACCATAAAGAGTTAAGATTTAGGTATTGGTTAAGTTAAGGCCCATCATTGTCTATATATTTATTTATTATTCACTTGTTTGCACAAAAGTCATGCAATAGTTCAACACATAAAATACAATACTTGTGATGGTGAGGTTAGAAACCCGAGGAGGGCTTATAATGCAGGACGTCAACAAATCAGTAAATTTTAATCAGGACACAAAGAGGAATACAGAACAAATAAAGAGAGAAATTAAAAAAACACAATCAAAAGATTACAAGACGGGCAAGTGAGTACAACAGATTACAGTTATACTGCAGAGGCTTTCTAATCAGTTTCTTTTGAAGATGCATAAAGATGTAGCCTAGGTGGTTATTCCAAAGTGAAACACCTCTGTATTTAACAGAATAATGCCCCCTGGTGGTGGGACACTGCGTAACATGTCGGTAGTTTGAGTTAGACAAGAAATGAAAGCTGGAAATTTTATGCAAAAGTATTGTTGAAATGGTGTGGTAGATATTATTTAAGATTTGTTGTTGGGCTTTTTTATGCCTCTATTGGAGAGATAGGACAGTGGATAGAGTGCGAAATTAAGGAGAGACAGAAAGAGAGAGAGTGGAGAAGGACGTGTGGGAAAGGAGTCACAGGTCGGATCCAAACCTGGGCCATGCGAACCAACCACTTGGCCACCAGCACCTCGATATTTTACTTTTTGAATGAAGGTACATGTTTGTATTACGTTTATGTTGAAAATCAACATAGTTCATATTTTGAGTTTGGAGAATAGAGGTTCTGAAGGATCCTTGGAGTTTAAATTTGTATCTATTCTAACAAACCATTCTTGCATTATATGTAGTTTATGGAGACGTGATGGAAAGTTCCTAAGTCTCCTTCTCCCTCAACTGAAGAAAGGAAAACTTAATCATCGGCATAATCCTAACTTAATATTCCAGCAGCAGAAAATGGGAATGATTCAAATTAGTAAAACATAAAGATATGCCAAGAAAATCCAAATCCAAACAGCTTCCTGTAAACTCAAAATCATTAATATGTCACCATGAGGAATCATCCCTCGACCAACACGTGTTAAAGGCACAGACGTTGACTTATTACTATGTTTGGTTAATATTTTCTTGAAGTCTTGTCTTTTCCTGATCTGCAAGCCAGGAGATGATTTTTTATTCCGTGCAGATTCTCATTCAGTCAAAGTGAGCTGCAACAGCAACATATTGAATCGTTGTGTAGTCAACACTGTATCACAGAGAGGCGGTGGGTTAAAGCGGCTTAAAACACCAAGCATACAGCGAAAGGAAACATGACCACCTGCTGCATAAGTAACCATTACATAAGTTAAGAAAACACGTGACTTGTGCATTGTTTATTGGGAGAAGAGAGAGTGCATGTGAGGGAGTCTTTGATCGTTTAAATATCTTCAGAAATGTTTGCAAAGTGTTTGAAAAAAAAAAAGAGAAGTGTGTTAGCCAAAGACGTACAGAGGATGATTTTAAAGAATCCCAACACAGACGAGAGTTAAAGTTTGATTTAGTGAAAGTGCAGAAGAAGCTTCAGGAAAGGAGAAGAAGGAAAAGTAAATCTATTTAGATGATGAGCACTTTTGCAAGACAAAACAATAAAATGCATGCAAAGTGACAGATCCTTTTCCCTCTTGTTAACACATTTACAAACATCAGAGACGGTGTGCATCCATGCAAATACTCACATGCTGTTTGGTGGATGGTTTGAAGTTTTCTGCGGAGGGAAAGAAGCCAAAGTCCTGTGCAGTAAACTTTGTGTGTGTGTGTGTGCATCAGAGGATTAAACCCTCCTTGGTTCCAGTGGGTGTGAGAGCATGTAGCCAACCATGGCACATGTTTAGTTAACTGATCATTGTCTCGACCTTAAGTACCGTCTCTGTCAGGGGTCTAGGATCATCAATAAACCATCACATGTCAAGATTTAGAGCCATTGCATCCCCTTTTCCTTTTTCTTTTGTTGCCTCGGGAGTGTTTTCTGTATGAGTGAGATGCATTCAAAACCTGCAGAATTTGTTAATGCTGCTTAAGGGGATCATGTGAAAATGTGTTTACATTGTTCAGGGTACACGACTTCATGGCTGATTGATTTTAACAAAAAAACCTGTGTGCACTTTATCAGAAAAATAATGATTGTTATAACGTCAGGAAAAAATATTTATCAGAACTCAAGCTTTATAAAATCTTTGTGAATTCAATGGTGCACATTAAGAGGAATTCAAATTTACGAGAAACAAACAAAACGCGTCACAGGATGGAGTAAGATAAGAGCGATACCACACTCCCAGTCCTATTTCTAAAAAAAAGCCTCAGGCAGTTAGCTTGGCATAAATCAGTTTAGCTTTCTGCCTTTTCGATTATAGTGTAACATTTGTGTTCTTTTCTTTTAATTGTCTCTGGGAACTTATGAATGTATTGTTGCCTTTATTCGATAGGACAGCTGAAGAGAGACAGGAAAAGTTGGAGAATAAAGAGAGGGGGGTGGGGGGGGGGGGCATGCAGCAATGGGCCGAGGTCGGATTGGAACCTATGGCCGTTGCGATGAGGACTACAGCACCTGTACATGGGGCATCCATAACCACTAGGCTTTCCAGCGTCCTGTGAGAACTGATTATTTTATGGATATCCTCTTATCTGTGGCTCATGTGACTCTCTCGCCTTCTCTTTATTATTGTTATTGCCAGAGCCCGACCGATTAATCGGCCAGCTGATATTAGCATTTCAAGTGAGTATCGTATCAACTAATTTTAACTCAGATATGCACCGATATTCGATTTATTCACCAATCAATTGGCATTTTATTTTAGTTTCATTGTGTTACACTAGCAGTTCTCTGTCACCAGCAGAGGGCGCTGTATGGATTGCAACAAGCATCATCACACTCCATAATGTCAAACTGTGACGCACGTACATTCAGTTATTTTACAGTTGAGTGACCATCTTGTCTTCATAATATATCTTTTCCACAAATATTACATAACTGCATTTGATCTGCATACAGATCGAACACAGCTCTAGGAAAAATATCAGCCAATGGTATCAGATTTTTTGTCTTTACTTGCTTTGTGGCTGTATGTGAATGACAAATAATACGGCACTTTTATTGGTTAAAGGTTTTGTTTTTCATTCACCCCTTAACATATTTGTTGGCTCAGAAAAGTAATTAATGGTCGTTGTTGTTCGTTCAGTTTCGGCTGTAAAAAGTCAAACAGGCAGAGAGGACAAACACATCCTGAATTCTGAAGCTTAGAAACAAAACAAAACTGATTCAGGTCCTTTAAAAAAAAAATGTTTAATGTTCATCAGTCATTTTGAGAGTAAAATGTACATGATTCATCTGAAGTCACATCATGTATGAGAATCAATCAAAAACATCTGGTTTTTGATTGATGGTCATTACAAAAAACAAAAGACAGTCACAGATCACTTCAGTGTTCAAAAATAAACAAGTCCAAAATCAGCACGAGAATTTAACAGCGAATAGATCAATTAAAAAAAATAAGCTTAAAACCATAAAGTTAAGGCGGCGTTAACGGAGACTCTGTAAACCTCTGAGGAGTTTAATAATGTTATTAAATGTGATGTACTTCAGCAGCATGATTAATAAAATGACCTTACAAGGTATTAGTGCATCTCAGAGGTATACATTTAGTTACTTCAAAGAGCGAGATTACACAACGTGCAAAACTGTTTACTTTATGACTCAGCAGAGTCAGACTTTATTCCTGAGAGGTCACATGGCATTAGTGTTTATAAGGAATATGGAAAAAATCTCAAATGATACAAAATGTTTGTATAAAACATTACGAGAAACGACGTCACCCAAAAGACTCGCTGCACGAGTAGCTCGACAGTTCCAGGCACAAAGAAATAATTTTATCACAAAATAAAGGAATGGTGCTGAATCAAAATGAACCGCATGTTTCCAGTTACTGCTGACGTCAGCGCAGCGTCACTGAAAAATCTGGAGGTGATGAAAGTGTAGCTATGATCACGATTAACGATACATCGATCAGAGGTAGTGAAACATTAAAAACTAAAAAAAAGATTCAAAACAAACACTCCTAGGCTCTTGTGTATGAACAGGATCACAGCTTACATCTCATAGTGTAAATATTTCTTACAAATTAAACTGAAGAAGAAGAAACTTGGATGAATAAGTTCATCACTGCATCCCTTCGGAGAATCGTTTTCCATGTGGTCTCTTGTTGTGGCAAACAACTCCATCAGCGTCTGTTTTGGCTAAAGTAAACAACTTGTATCACAGAGACTCTTTATAAAACACCACACAAAGCACTTGTGGTATTACTGCATCATATGCATCTTACATCCCCTGGGCCAACGTGCAGCAGCACAATGCTCCCATTGTGCAGGAATGTTTGTGCTCTCGCTGCCTTGGAGGCCTGTGAACCAGGAGAGGATGAGAGGGCAGATGAGGTGGAGACAGATCAGGTGCCTCACTCAGGGAAAAACAAACCCCAAAAACAGGGTTATCAGGAAAATGAAAGGGGACTCTGTCTGTGAAACCATAACAGTTCTCTCTCTCCGGTTAGCTGCAGTTATCCACACATTCCTGAGCGCGGGCGAACATGTGATAGATGTTGATCATGGGGAACATGGTGAGAGCTCCAATGAGGGAGCCTGCCTGGATGGAGATGCCGCACCACAGCAGAGCAGCGTGACCGGCCTCGTGAAGCAAAGTCCCAATCACAACCTTCAGGTAGGAGAAGAGGCCCGTGAAAATGATCCAGGAGGTGACCTGTAGAGGGAGCAAGAGAGCAGCTCAGGTCAGTGAGAACCACAGACTAGTAAATATGAATGGATGAAGCCTGAGTGACATCACCCATCTGTTACCGCAGGGGGGGTTTGGAAGCCCATCGATGGCGGTCGCCATGCAGTAAATTCTGTCTCAACTTAACGACAGGCTGAGAGCTGAGGCGCGTTGTAAGCCTCTTGACGAACCGTTACATGGCACCTGCCTGTCAATCAGGTCAGCTAAGCACCTTATTGTGAATAATTCATATTCTTCATGAAATTAAAACGGATGACTCATCATAAAATTCATCCCCTGTGCAGTGTGTGCCGTTCCAGACATGAGCTAATCAGACCTACTAAGTTTTTTTTTTTTTTTAAATCAGGCTGTAAACATGTAAACTTCTGCTGTAAAAACATGCTTTCTTTAATGGGTGTGTATGTGGCTTCCTGTGCTTCTGCAGCAAGCCTCTAGTGGACACTCGATGAACTGCAGGATTTTGAACTTCTTAAATCTGTGAGAGGGAAAAACACAGTTCTTGGGGTATTTTATACTTTTTAACATACCAACTAAAATAAAATATGGGATATTGTCTGAAATCTCAGGTTGGACTCTTATGTTTATTTATTCTTTATGTTCTTTTTTTACACTTTTGTTTTAGCTCTGAAATGGATTCTTCTGTTCAAATCTCAGAGTTGTGTTGTACAAAGTGTCCCCCCCCCCCGCTGTTACTGCTGCAGCTGCGCCCCCTCCTCTGTGCGTGTTTTAAATTCCCTTTTGGAGTGTTCTATGAGTGTGTGTGTGTGTGTGTGTGTGTGTGTGTGTGTGTGTGTGTGTGCGTGCGTGCGTGCGTGCGTGCGTGCGTCCGTGCGTGCGTACATGAACTTGAGCTTATATAGCTTTTTCTACTGCCAGTCTCACACATACCCACACTGACTGCAGACTCTGCTATGTAAAGTGTCCATCAGTTGTAACTAATCCATTCAATCCACAATGTTAGCAATTCCGGTTTCAGTGTCTTGCCCAAGGACATTTCAACATGTGAATGCAGGATCTGGGGATCGAACCCCCGACTCTTCCTGTTGAGAGAGTCCCACTCTACCTCAGTGTGGTCGTGTGTATGATGGAAAGTGGGCGGTGCTTTCTCAAGTTGATGCTGATGCCATCTACCTGTGCTGTACAGCCATTGAAGAAGCCTGATTGGTCTGCTGTGCACCAATCAACCAATCAGAGGGGAGCACGTGTCAACTCAGCCATAAGAAGACTGCCAGTGCTGTCGTTCAGCAGCTGCTTGCCTCCCTTTGTGCCTCATCATAACTGTACTCTGTTAGACTGTGCTGGAGGGACTCGTCCACGACCGGATCGGGACACGTATGAGTGATTTTAGGAGCACGCATTCACACACTCACAAGGAGATGTTCTTCATGTTTAGAGGCACCAGGTTAGGGCTGCTGCGTGTTGTTTACTTTGATTAGTCGTAGTAGGCAGCTGGGTTTTATATACATTTCTTTTCGATCAAATCCAATTCTTAGTGGGCGTTAGACTCATTTTAAATTGAACCTTTGACTAAGTATTTGGACTCACCACTAAAGCAACGCCAGTGGGGTTTCCCAGGAGAGGAGGACAGGGGCTGAGTGCTGCTAACGCCATGAGATATGCAGCAAATGCTCCCCCTGCTAAAGACAAGAAGCCAAGAACAGCGGAGGACCTGGGAGACAAAATTGGGCCAATCAAAACACTGCTGTCACAAAAATTGCCAAAACTATAAAATGTCACAACAACTGTGAAAAAAGTGTAAAAGCTAAAATAAATTGTATTGTGTTCAATAACTTTTCCATTTTTCTCACCTTAAGACAACAAACATGGCCAGGAAGCAGGCCAGGGGGTTTGCTATGTTTCCGAGGACCACGGAAAGGTGAAAGGTCATGGTGCCGTAGGGTAAACAGGTGAAACTCTGCACAGAGGGAAGGACCCCGTTGCTGAGA